AAAATCTAACAATTCGTTAATATTAAAAAAATTACTTGTTTTCGGGTTGCTAGCCCGTAAATGCCAGTTCCTGGCCCTTCCGGTCTTTTTGACTACCAGAAACCATTGATCTCGGCCAAAACGTCTTAAGGTTGAAAGAGTCTTGTTGAAAATGTGGCCATCGTATTAGCCTTTTTTAGGTGGAGCGTGTCGAAACGCCGTTCGTAAAAACCGTTCCGGGCCCGCGATAGCATTAGGCGGAGGGATCAGTAGTCCTCTATGGTCATAAAAAGCCTGGGTGCCGGATTTTTTGTTTTTTTTTAATTAATGGCGGCTGTTCGGGAAAATAGAATTTTGGGGGGTTTTACTTTTAAACAAATACGTCTTTCTCGCTCTCTCGCTCTCTCTCTCTCTCTCTCCTCTCTCTCTCTATCTCGCTGTCTCTCCATTACGGCACCAATGATCCGGGCACTGTTTTTTTCTAACTAACCACTGTGGTACCGTACCGTACCCTGAACTTTGCTTTTCCTCATCGGCCACCCTCAATTAGCCCTAATCCCAATTTCAAGATTTTCTGGATACTCCTGATTCCCAAAGGTATCAAAATCCGCCTGTTGTGCTTTGTCCCCAATTCAAAAATTTGCGTGGTGGGAAGGGGAGCGGCACCAAAAATATTGAGCTTGAATTTGGGAGCTTCCGAAACGCTAGCTAAGGCTAATCCTAAGACTGAGCCTAAGCCTAAGCCTAAGCCTAAGCCTAATGCAAGCCTAAGCCTAAGCCTAAGCCTAATGCAAGCCTAATCCTAAGCCCAACCCTGCGCTCATCCTGCCCTACACCAAGCTTAATCTGAAACCGAGCTTATATCAAAACCAGTTGGACTACTTCCGCTTTCTCTAAGCTCAAAGACCAAGCCCCCATCGGAATTGGTAGCACCCCGTCATTACCCTATCCGGGATTAGCCCCGGCGGCCACCCCGGGCTAATTCCGTTACGCTCCTAAGGGCATTGGTGGCCCCACGTCCAAAGGCCTAGATTGCGGCCACGCGACCAATCCCATTACGGTACCCTTTCCACACTATAATGTGGCCCAAGCAGCGGAATTGATGCGTGCCATTAAGCCTGTTTCGGTGCAAAATGGGAATGCCAAATGCCGTCGTTGGACTATGAACAGGTCGGTGGAGGGGGCAGCATTTGGCAAGTACGGATTTGGGCAGGGCGAAGAATCGAGAATAATTTAAGAGGAACGGCTGTAAGGAAAAGTGGGAAACTGCTGAAATAGTGGGGGCGGTAATAGAAAAAGCTGGAAATTAAAAACAGGAAAATCCAGAGGGAAATCTTATTGCATTTTTTTTTCAGACGAATGGGGGGAAGGAAGGCTCTCGGTACATATACCCATTTTGCCAAATAGGGTCACGTTTTAGGCGGCGAACGATGATCATCGAAGCACACAAACAAATACGGAGGAATTCGTAAACAAAGCACTTCGACTGGGCGGGTACGGTAGCTGGGAAGAGACCGGGAAAGAAGAACATTGGATTTAGCGAAAACGATCTTATCGAGCGCTTTTTATGTGAGATGGGGGGCACTGTAGGGAAATACCCTATGCTACTTAAAAAAAATTTCTATAAGAGGAGGTTCTGTAGAAGCAAGTTTTTTTTTATTTTTACATAAAAAGATGGAAACGCAGCTTTACGTAAAGCTAAAAACCAGGCTTTTGACAAATTTCATTTGACTCAAGCCCGGTATAATAAGCGTTCATTTGATAAAATTTTTGTCTAACTATTTTAATTTTAACTTAAGCTATATGTTTAGGTTAATTCATCCATTTTTATTGCATAGCCAGAAGCAAATCTTGAAAATTCACTTCTATCGCAAAGACCAAGAAGGCGATCCGTCAAGGGGAATCTCAGAAAGGAGCAGGACCCCCGCCTCAACACTTTCTCTAGTGTGCTCACCCCCAGCCGGCTGGTTCCTGGTTTTTGCCTAAAGGGTGGAAGGGGCACCACAAGTTCATTCTGCTTTTTGATGCCAACTACCAGAGCTTTAGACGTAGCATAGACGAGAAGGCGATGATTGGAGGGCTTTCTTCACGTTCCCTGATTTGAAATAGTGCATTCGGCAAGGGCTGTGTGTTCAGATTATACGGGCATCCAAAGAACAGCGCAAGCTTGGAGCTAAGCTCAAGCTTAAAATAAGCCTAGTCCTACGCCTAAGCCGAATTTAAGCCAAGGCTAAGCCGGAGCCGAAGCCTAAAATAAGCCTAAGCATATGCCTCAGCCTAAACCTATGCCTCAGCTTAAGCCTAAGCCGAAGTGCTAAGCATACGCCTAAGCCTAACCAGGAAGCCTCCAAAAAAATCAAAGCCGGAAAATCCAGAAAATTTACCGTATTTTAAGCATTTTTAGACGTCAAAGTTCCCTGACCTCCCTGAAGACGCCACGTGCCGATTTTGTCGTGTCCGAGAGTGCAAGAAGAACCTCGCGATTCAAAACTGCAAGCACATTTCCGACAAAAATATTTTAAAGTTCCTGAACTCCCTACAGTAGCCTTAGAGCCAGCTTCCTGGTTCCAGCCAAGGCACGCATAGTTCATCCCCTCGAATCGACAAGCCGATTTCGAAGCACTCGGATGGCTTGAGGGGGGCTTGCAACCGGCTTTTTCCAGCTAGAGAGAGGGAGAGAAAGAGGGAGACGGAGAGCGAGAGAGAAAGAGAGACATAGAGAGGGAAATAGGAAGAGGGAAATAGAGATAGTGTGAAGTGAGGCGGCTCCCGGAGTCTCCGGCCAGCCCGTGAGATGTGTGGATCGTTTCCTGCTCCTCCTCCCTTCCTCATACTAAATGGCAGATACCCGGATCGGATCTGGCACTCCTCTTCGGAATTGGCTACCCGGAATTGGCGCAGTGCGGAAACCGTTGCTTCCCACCCAGCCATGACGAAGCGGCACAAATTGCGATGGAATCCGAAGCGCGGGATGAACTAATTGTTCTGGGAGTGAAAAGGAGTGAAGGTTTAAAGGCTTTAAAAGAATTGAATACCGGAAAACATGGATCGGGCGATAGAGTGAGCCAAAGAGAGAGAGAGAGAGAGAGAGAGAGAGAGAGAGAGAGAGAGTGAGTGAGAGCTTTTATCTGGTACAGCTTGGCTTTCGTGATCGCGCCTCCATATTTCATAATCCCCCAAATTGCGACCAGACCGCAAAAGGAATGGTTGAAGCTCCTCTAACAGGGATGGTAATAGTATTTTAGATATGAGCCATGGACTACGCAAACACACATCAACATCACACGCTAGGAGGGCGCTTTTTTAGTGATATTTTCATAGGCAGAGAGCATACATGAAGACCCTGAGCCCGTTATTGCTCATTTATGGCCTTTTGCCGATCCTTCTATCGCTCATGACCAGGCCCGTAGGAGGGGGGCCAGGGGGCCCTGGGCCCCCCTCCCCGAAATCGGTCGAGGTCCGAAAAATTCATAAGGGGGGACCCTTATGATTTTGTAGTTACAAAAATTTTTCTGCCTGCGGCGCTGTTTATTACTGTTTTTCAAACAGTTTTTACTTATATGAAGCCTATTTTTCCAAAATTTTTTGCCTGCGGCGCTGGATTTTCATTGGTGAATCAATTGTTCATAAAAATTTTCGCCTGCGGCGCGTTTTCGGCCGTGTTTTCACACGAATTTGAGTGTAGCTAACGCTTTTTTTGCGATTTTTTTTGCCTGCGGCGCTATTATTGACGCGATTTTCGGATGTTTTAAAAGTGGCGACCGGAGGGGGGAGGTCGCCAAAATTTTTGGCCCCCCGAAATTTCGGTTCCGCTACGGGCCTGCTCATGACTATCGATGTGTTTTGAACGTCTCCGCGATATTCATTCAAATAGCTATAATATGGCAGTTTTTCGAGTCGTCGTCGTTTTGGACAGATTTTTATGAACGGGCTTAGGAGATGCAAAAACAGGGAATAAATTCCTTCAAATTTTTGCCGATAATTCCTATGTAAATGTTGCTTTTCCCGCTCTAGCTAAGCCATTCACGCCTGTAATAGGATTCGAGCGTTTGCGAATTTTGAATGGAACACGCTGGGCGGCGTTCCGACAGAGCGTTTTCAAGAAACTCTTTACCAAAAATTCCCACCCGGCACCAACGTCTTTTTTACCGTTTCTGCCATAATTTGGTTGCTTTTCCATTCTTCCTACAGGATTTTCCATATTCTTTTTTGCAGATAGCGCTTATCCAAATTACAAAATTTTGGTCCCATTTTCAGCCCACATGCAAAAGCTGCACCCCAGATTTTGGCTTGGTGTGAATTTGGGATTGCTGCTCTGCGTTTTATTCCTGGTTTCTTCGAACTTGGACGCAACTTTCTCTACTGGATTTATGTTGCGGGCAACAGCAAAAATCGAAAGTGCAAAAAATTTGCTAGAAAAACCGCTGTTACTAGAAACGACGCCTTTGATTCCGTGGTAAGCAAGAATTTTTCCAAAAAAAAAGGCTGGAGCGAGGAGAGCGAGAGAGAGGGAGAGAGGGAGAGAGGGAGAGAGAGAGAGAGAGAGAGAGGGAGAGAGAGAGAGATTTTCAGGCTCCCGACTTCTACTCTGGACCCGGCCAAAACCTGGTGCTCACCAACTAACAGAAGTTGGCGAGATCCCACCCAAAAATACCTCGTCGGATATCTCGGCATGCATCATGCCGGAAACCAAATGGGGAACCTGGTTTTTGAAGTGATTGGCTTCGAGGGGATCGCTAAAATGCTTGGGAGGTAGAGAAATTAGTTTTTTGCCTCTTTAAATGGACTGGGAAGCGCTAAATTTTATCTCTAAAACCGGCAAGGTGTCGACAGGATATTTAAGAGTCTTGCTCCTAGAAGTGATGCGGATGCGTGATTCCGAGTTTCACGCAGCTGTCGAAACCTAGGCAATGGAAGCGGATCGATTCTGACTCGTCCTATCCCCTAAAATGACTATAAATAAATCCAACAATTTAATTACCATTCATTTCTTTTTGAATTTAAATTTCAGGACCCCAATAATGGTCCTGGGTGAAAAATTCCACGCCGAGTCGGGTCCCCAATATTGGGACAACGTCATCCACTTCCCCCACCTCTATGATGGCATCCAGATTGTTTGCGATCCATTTTTCAAGGTGGAAAAATGCCTTTTCCACGCCATACGCAAAGTTTCAGTTTTTAGAAAAGCGCCTATCCGTCGGTGAAGTTCCGGGGAAGGAATGATTCTTATGCTGAGGTGGAGAAGTGAGTTGCGTTTGTCGGAAGTGCTAATATTCGGAAATTGGAAGTACATGCTCGACGGTTTGCGGAAATGACATGCTGTCGAAATATCATTTTGTCGAAAATAATTTTGTGGAAATTCCATTTTGTCGAAATATTTGTTGTGGAATGCGGAAAATCTGTTTTGCGGAAATTTCATGTTTCGAAATTTCGACAAAATAAAGCTTCAACAGAATACAGCTTCGACAAAATGAACTTTCAAGAAAAACAAATTTGGAAAAACAAAAATATATATCGGCAAATTTGTTTTCGATAAAATGCAATTTCGGCAAATGAAAACTTCGACCAACCGATAGCAACTCATTTCGTCATTTTTAGAGCAAAACAAATTGACGATCAGGTCCTAGTGACCTCTATCAGCATGCTGCAAGTGAGCTTTTTCACCAGGCAAAAAATTCACAGCCTTTCAGACGCGACGATACTTTGAATACCTGGGAAAACCAATATTCCGAGAACGCCTGAAATTTTCCCCCTTTTTGATGCAAGTTGGAAAAGATATGATACCGTATCCGTTTCACGCAAGTGATCACAGGTATGTTTATAAAAACATAACTTTGAATTTGAAATTTTGGCGCAAAAATAAGCCATTTTGGTGGGCTTCTAACAAAATCAATTAAGTTTTATTTTTTTAGACTCTGCGTCCACATGCGGCTCAAGGATTTCAAGAGGTCCAGGACCCTGAAAGCCTCGGATCCGGCGTATGCAGCTAAGGCCATCAAGGAAATTATGAAAAGAGGTAGGTGAGTTGTATCAGGCTAGAAACTACAAATTTTTTTGGAAAATGCGTCCTTTACAATACTTATTTTCTCCGACGACCCTTATGCTGTAGCGTCGATGGTTGCGAATCGTAGTGAGTTTGCAGGTGAGCGAGAGGTTTGAAATTTTTTTGATGAATTTAGACCTGAAATCTCAAATCTATCAACCCCCGCTAAAACCTTGGAGGTATCCAGTGCCGAAGCACTTTACATGGTTATACCTAGGGTACTACTGTACTCATATATTATTAACAGGTATTTTTTTGAACAAGAGAGAGAGAGAGAGAGAGAGAGAGAGAGAGAGAGAGAGAAAGAGAGAGGGAGAGGGGGAGAGACAGTGAGAGACCAATAGAGAAAGCTAGAGAAAAAGAGTGAGAAAGAGTTATAGAGAGACAGGAGGACAGTGAGAGACAGAGAGAGCGAAAGAGAGAGAGAGAGAGAGAGAGAGAGAGAGAGAGAGAGAGGGGGAGAGAGAGAGAGAGAGAGAGAGAGAGAGAGAGAGAGAGAGAGAGAAACTCTAAATTCCAGCCGCCCAATCGACCTTCGGCATCATCGGTGCCTACTTGGCTGAGGACTCCGTACCAGTCTACCACAGTACTTACTACGGCCCTAAAGCCGACCCAACGCAAATGTGGCAAGAACATTGGATATCGTTGGAAGTGCAATAATTATAGGATTTTAAATTATTAAAAATAAATTTATGCCTTACAACCAGAGAAAAAAGGAGCTGAGATCTTTGGCTTTTGTTCAATTTGCCGTCGGCCAGGCACACGACGTGTTGAAGCACTTCATGCCCGGAATCTCGCAGTCAGAGTCTGGAATTTAGAGCTATTTTTTAAGGAAGAGCGACACCTACAACTGACTCTTTAAGGCATTAAAGCTGTTCAAATTTGTAGGTATTTGATAATACTACCTTTTTAATACATTGAATTTCATCAGACTTAAGATTTTCTGAAAACTCACAAAACGTTTTGATTCGCAAAAAATAGCCAGGCTACAAACCAGCACTTTAGAACGGTGAATTTTCATATCGCCGAATTTTCATATCGCCGAATTTTCATTTCGCCGAATTTTCATATCGCCGAATTTTCATTTCGGCGAATGTTCATTTCGCCGAATTACGTATGAAAATCTATGTTGGAGACCTTGGAATTTACAATATTTTGCTCCGCCTGCCATATGATTTTGTCGGAGCATCAAGAAGATAACTTTACCTTCGTTGAAAACAGCGGCACTGATGTTTGCTTCGACCTATTCCTGAAGAAGAGGCCAGCTGAGCTATATTTTATTGTTCGCTAGATAACGGGCTACCAAAAACCGGCCGAATGAAGTTTTGTGCAATAAACTTTAGACGAAATACACATTCGGCGAAATAAAAATTCGGCGATATGAAAATTCGGCGAAATGAAAATTCGGCGAAATGAAAATTCGGCGATATGAAAATTCGGCGAAATGAATGTAAATCCTTTAGAACGGCTAGCTTCAATATTTTTTGGGTAGTCCGAGCTACAACTCTAGCTGCAGTGTTTTTAGTTCACCAGCTATTTAGTTGTCGTCGATTCTGGCTATAAGCGAACTGGTATAGGCGAGAGAGAAAGAGAGACAGAGAGAGAGACAGAGAGAGAGAGAGAGAGACAGAGAGAGAGAGAGAGGGTGAGAGCGTTGGCAAAGTTATGGTCGAAAGCTGATGCCACCTTTCCCATTCGGACAGGCAAAAGCCGTGGAGGGCCCCTGGCAGAAGCCAAAGTCTGAGCACGTCTGTTGGTTGTTAGGCCAGCAGTCCTCGTTCGAGTTGCAGCGGCCCGTGTATTCAGTAGCTACCAGGGATAACAGCGCCTGAAAAAAAAATTAAAAAAGGCGCTTCGATTGAAAAATGAATCGCATAAAAATTAGCTTACCAAAAGTAGCAGCGCCGTCCTCATTTTCCGCTAGTAAAATAATAACACGGAATGACTTTGTGAAATAAATGGAGCGGCGGCTTGTCGAATCGATACGGCGGCTTTTCCAAATCTGGGCAGGTGTGCGGGGTGGCGTTGAGGTGGAAAAGCTGGCAGTAATTACGTTTATGGGCGGAACACTGGGGTGTATGGAAGAAACTGAAGGCAAGAAGTAATCAAACTAGCCCGAGGATAGAGGAATTTAAAGGCAGTCAATGCATTGTAAAAGTAGAAATAATTCCAGAACTCCAAAAGTGTTCGCTATTTATTTTGTTAACCTGGAAAAATTTGGCTTTTAGAACACGATGTAATTTGGTTTTTTCACTCGCCTTGAAAGATTTTTTTGCTATTTACGATAATGTTTTTATCCTTCTAGCGTGAAAATAGCATAAAATTGTCAGAAATGGATCGACTATTAATGCGTTTTCAGTAATGGTCATACCAAGCAATTTGCGCGTATCGATTAACCGATAAGGAAAAAAGAATTCGGGCGGCAGAAGGGAGTGTAAAGTCGGTCTCAAAAAAACTGGAATGGGAAGCCTTTCTACGGAAATGGCGCAGCAAAGTGGCCATGCCCCGTTCCGGGGCCCATATTTGACTTTTCGGCAAATAATGTTTGGTCGGTTTTATGGGGTTTGACCCCGGGAACGGAAGGACTAACAGGAAATGCACAGCAAAAAAATGTTTCTATAAGAGGCAGCTATTTTTAAAAGCTCTTAATAATGGGAACGCTCGTCAGGATTACGTAAAATAGCGTAGTCCAACGTAAAAATGGAGCGCTTTGACAATAGACCTAAACAATGTGCAAATTTTCTAAAATTGTATATATCTGGTTGGAAATGCTTCAGGGGTTTTTTATGGGTTAAAATGAAATTGTTTAAACGCCAAAAAGGATAACGGTGTCGAAACTATGCTATGTTAAATTACGGGTTTTTTTTTGCAAATGGCTGACCCGCATCGTGAGGTTGTCGATTTTCTGCGAGCGTTCAATGCTATTTTTGTATCACCGTCCGGAGCTTCAATTCTCAATAGCTACGTATTTCCAAATCTAAAATAGACAAAGAAAGCCGATGTTTCAAGTGGAAGCGTGCGTCGGCTTCTCCTGGGGCTGAATACCGGGAGTATCAGGTGACCGGACGAGTCGGACCTGTCCGCCCGCCGGACCGTATTGCTGCGCTGTTCTATGCTGTATTGTGGAAATTCCGGAAATTTGTGTTTTTTACTAGCTTGATGACTTTCAGGCCCCGTTAAAACCGGGTAAACTTGCCATTTTCCCTAGTTTGCGACGTGGGCATGGTACTGGGAGACCTAACAAGGCTTTGTTCGGTTAGAATTGGTCTTGCGCTGAGGCTTAGGCTTAGGTTTAGGCTTAGGCTTAGGCTTAGGTTTAGGCTTAGGCTTAGGCTTAGGCTTAGGCTTAGGCTTAGGCTTAGGCTTAGGCTTAGGTTTAGGCTTAGGCTTAGGCTTAGGTTTAGGCTTAGGCTTAGGCTTAGGCTTAGGCTTAGGCTTAGGTTTAGGCTTAGGCTTAGGCTTAGGTTTAAGCTTATGTTTGGCTGCGACTTACTCAAGACTTTTTCGGAGCTCATCACAAAACTGACCAACCCCCGGCTCGGCATTCGAACCTCTGCCGACACCTAGGTCTACACACAGAATCACACACTCGGGCAGGCGCCGCAGAATGATTTGAATGCGGAACGAACGTCCGGGGCGGCCTCCCACCCAAGATCAGTGTCCGCGACTGTCCAAACAACGCTGCTGGGTGGCTGCAGCCTGTAGAGGGGACCTAGTCCCCCCTTCTAGAAGACTAGCGGGGTGAGCGGGACAAGTGTTTGGGCCCCTAGGCCCCCTTAACCGCAAAAGCAAAAAAGGGGAGCGACCCGCTGTGGGAACGACCACGCGGTGGGGCTGAAGCCGCCGGTCACTCCCCTCGGCGGCTCCGACCGGGCCGTTCCGCACTTGCAACTTTGGTCCCAGCGGGCTAGACCGCCCGCCCTAACTATACATACTTCAGGCCCCCGACGTAATAAGGGCCCTGCAAAATCGGGGTCTGGTTCTGGGGTTTTTCTGGCACTTGTATATAGGCGTGGTGATTTGGGCGGTGTTCACGCGTGCTCAAAAATTTCTGGAGGTAGCGGAATTCCTTAGCAGGATAGGATTCGAATCCAAATTTGAGTGGCTCGGGAAACCTTAACTTTCTCAAACACTTTTTTTGTGGCTCCGAGCTTTAGCTGATGCTCAGAGCTCGGCAGAAGTGCTGATTTCGAAAATAGGGTCGCTGTGACTCTCTAGTTAAGCGTAATTGAATTTTTACTGGTTCAGGATTGTACTGACTTTTTCATAACCTGAGCAGCTAATTTTTCATATTTTTAATGCGTTTTCGGCATTGTTTCAAAACTAGTAAATTATAAAACAAAATACGAAAAATTTGAAAATATACAATTCTTATTTTTTCACTCATTCATACATTTTTGAACAAAAAATCAAAAAATTCAAAGCTTTTTGTCCCTTTTATCGTTTTTTTTGTTGTGTAAAAATACGTTGTAAAACGCTACAAAGATTCGCTATATTTTGTCCTAACATGTAGAGGTTGTGGGGTCACAGACTCCAAATCGGCTCAAAATTGGTGGAAAAATCAAATAAAATACGGGGAACACGATGCGATAAAAATTATCTGCCAATGGGCACTTTTGTTTAATAAACTTTTGATTTTAAGATTTGATTGATTTAAGATTTTAAGATTTGATTGATTTTAAGATTTGACTTTTGATTTTGACTTTTGATTCTTTTTCATGTAAGAACGTACGCGATTAGAGTGAACGATTTGGCTAAGAAAAATGCTATCTTTATATTTTTCTTTTTCAGTGTTTTCTTTTAAATTTATTGATGAATTTTCAATTTTTTTTAGATATAAATTTACCCATTTTCAGTACATGTGAAGCCATATCGCCCCTACCTTCAAGTTGCCCACCCCAAAAATTGCGCGCTGCATATGCCCTTGTCGCGATACTCGATATTGGCCACATTTTGTGGCGTCTTATTAATCTTTAGTTACTCTATTTTTCTATATTCCGCATCAACATCTGAGCTGCGATTTCGAAATGTTTCGAAGAAAACGCGCCAGATTCTGAGCAACGATGAGCCGCTCGTTTTTATTGGCGGTATTCCGAGGAGCGGCACGACACTTCTGAGAGCCATGCTCGATGCGCATGAGAATTTGAGATGGTAAGTAAGGGTAGCATATAATATTTAATTTGCCATTTTTAGAAAACATTGATTTTTAAATAAAACGAAATTTTAGTAGTTTTGTTGATTCTGACGCGGAACCGCGCAAATCCCACTGAAATATTGTTTTAGTGGCGAAGAAACGATCGTCGTTCCATTTATTCTTGGTGATCGAGAGCGCTGGTCCAAAGGAATGTTGATAGGTGAAAAATCAATTTTTTTTTTAACGATTCCTTACGAATTTTGGTTGTTTTGCCAAAAATTAATAAAACAAAAAATGCTGAGCATGACCTCATTTTAAAAAAAAGACAGGAAAATTCCAGGAACCAAAATTGACAAATTTATAGAATCGGATTTCCAGCTTCTCAATTGCTGTAAATAACCGTAATTGCAAAAGCTAAATAGCGGGTTTTGGTTTTATTGAAAGGGCTAGCTTTTTCTTCGGCATTTTCAGCTTCACCGACTGTTCGTGGTAGTGCCTCGGAAAAAGCCTAAAAAGTTAACAAAATTAATTTTTCACTTCTGAAGAACGTCTAGGCTTCATCTTGCTCAAAACTCCACTCCAATCCAAATTGCAGGCACTCGCGTGACGGATGAGGTTGTCGACGCGGCCGTGTCGGCATTTATTTCCGAGGTTTCACCATTTACATATCGTAATTCATCCCTTTTCGTTCAGATCATCGCCAAGCACGGAGCCCCGGCCCAACGTTACTGTAATAAGGACCCGTTTTCCGCGTGGCATTACGAGTATTTGGGGAAATTATACCCAAATGCAAAGTTTTTGCTGGTAGTACGGTAGGCTACTCGAAACGGTATTTTAAATATGCACATTTTAGCGACCCTAGAGCCGTCGTGCATTCGATACTCTCCAGGCAACTGCCAGTTTCCGGCTTTATCACGAGTGATATTGAGGTAAGTGAAATTTCGTAGGTTTTAAAGGGAATAGGACGCGAAGATCGACGGCTAGGTCTTGACAGCTACGAGAAATTCTTTATGCCTTTGTAGAGATTCTAAAATAGCTACCTAATTGGCTTTAATTCATGTGAAGATCGCGCATTTTTAAGGGCCCTTGACCGGAGGTTTAATGCATCGAGCTCTAACTTCAAAACGGGGAGATTCTGGACCTTCACAGACCCCTTAAAGGCCCCAGAAAGTCAAAAGTTAAATTCCTAGAAGTCGAGACCTAGCCAATTCAGGGGCCGAATTAGTAGTCGTGTAAAGCCCCAATTGTAATCTGTATTTTTAGGGCTGTTTCCGGGTGTGGAACTCGCACATGGAAAAGATGATCAAGCAGTGCAAGAGCGTTGGTGATCGGTGTCTATTGGTAAGTAAAGCCTAAGCCTAAGCATAGGTTGAGGCCTAAGCCGAAATCTAAGCCTAAACCTAAGCCCAAGCCCATACCTAAAAGCGTTTTCAGGTCCACTACGAGTCCCTCGTCCTGACGCCACGCGAGGAAATGACGGATATACTGGAATTCCTAGAAGAGCCGTTCTCCGAAAAAGTGCTTGAGCACGAGAAGCTGATCGGCACGGATATACAATTAAATCCGTAAGTAGGCATTTAACGTAGCGGAAAATTATTGCCATTTTAGGCTCGAATTCAGCACGGGCCAGGTGACCCAGCGGCTCTACCAATCGGCACTCCATCTCTGGAAGAACTACTTTTCCGAGTCCCTACTCCGGAAAGTTGGAGAGCTGGCGCCACTGATGGAGGAATTAGGTATATAATTGCTTCCAAAAACACATCAAAATTTAAAGACATTATTTGGTTTTACAGAGATGAAAAATGCTTTTACCCGTTCCAGAATATCCTGATTTTTAGATTTTTTTATCAATTTTTATCGCCCTGCTTTCATTTTTAGACATTTTTCTGAAAACTCAAACTTGTAAAGCAAAATATCTCTACATTTTGATATATTTTAAAGCGGCAATTAGCAAAAAACGCATTTACAGCGACAAAATCGTCGAGATCGATCCCGTCGGTTTTGCTTTGTTTTTCGGGCCTTTTGTGGGATTGAAATTTTGTAACTTGCCGCATTTTGTAGAGCAAAAATTTCCCTATTCAGTGGTATATTTAAACAACTATAAAATTAAGCTAAAGCCCTAAGATCAACGAACAATTTTTCAGGCTACGTGCCCAGTGTACTCGACCCAGACTACGCGCAGTTCCGCATCACCAAGCAATGATGATCTCAACGCCTATCGCGACGCAGCCTAATTTTTCGCGGTCTCGACAGTACAAATGTCTCGTTTAGTATTTCAGTCTCAGTACAAAATAAATATTTATTTGAATAGTGCGAGAACTAGACAGAAATTACAAAGAGCTAGAGACATTCTAGAACCCGACTGCGTGGTTGTCTTGATTCCGGTCGGTTCTAAAAAGACGATTTCTTTTTAAAATCGTAGGGCAACCTAACTCGTCGGCTCCGAACTGCCACTTGGTGCTCCAGAAGATACCGGAGTCGATTCTAAATTTGCAAGAATACCGTATGTCTGGCTCGCCATCTCTCTTTTTCTCTCCTTCTCTGTCTCCATCTCGTTCCCTCTATCTCTCTGCAGGGCGCTCTCTCCAACTCTCTCGCTCTCTCCAACGCTCGCTGGCTTTCTCGCCCTTCTCTTTCTGCTTACTTACCGGCTGGCGCTCCAGTCGACTTCGTACCTGCAAAAAACATAAAATTCTCGAATCGAGCCCAATCGGATTTGACCGAACCGGTGAAGCCAAACATTTTCCGATGCACCATACTAACTTATGATTTGTGCGCCCCTCGCGACACGCAACGCGCGCCGTTTTCATCGGGTAATTAACTCAGATCCCTCCCGAGGGGGGCAAACTCACAATACAAGATCCTAAAAAGCAAAAATACTATCGTGCGCGTCCCCCCAAAACCCCTTATTTTGGGCCCCACCTCCTCGGCTCGTCGTCACATCCGTACTATGCACATCAACATGTGTTGTATCCTTCGTCGCCTCAGTCTTCCGTTCAGTCGTCGCTGGTTTTTTAGTAGGCTCCGTCGGAATCAGAGTCGTGGTATTGGAGCTTGGCTCTTGCTCCGTATATGATGTAAATCGGACCAGGAAATTTCCGGAGCCATCATTAGTATCGAAGTATACCTCAAAGAAATCGATATCAGAGGAATGGTGTTACTTACCGAGAAGCTTGGGCCATGTCCGGAGAAGGAGAGCTGGGAGGTAGAAGAGGAAAGACTGGAAAGTGTTTGTTTCGGCTTAAAGGGCTGCCGACGGCATGTGTCGATCCTCCCCCCCCCCCATCAACAAATTGGCAAGTAGCCAACAGGGCAGAGAGCGCGCCCGGAGAGGCACAGAAACATTTTCTTTCCAGCGCGTAACCGACTGACCATTCCGTCGGCATCCCTTTAAGCTAGGCATCGGCTTAGGCTTAACTTAAGCCTTTAAGCCCCTTACACTCACATCAACTGCGTCTCGGTGCCGATCTCTAGATATAATTTTCCTGCCGGCGTCCCAGCATCAAAATGGAGCAATTCAACGTGGAAAGTCGTCTGATCTGCGTATTTTTCTGGAAACCAATTAATTAGGTTAATTTATAGAGGCACAAAGCAAAAATTCCATTTTTTTTACTTACCGCTGTCGTCCACTTTATAAATCGCTTGAATTTCGCTGGGTTTATCTGATAGTTCTGTCGCTAAAAATGGATATCCTTGGCTCATCACGAAGCCCTCATTCGTGGCTACCATTTCAAGCTCATTTGCGACGTCCCAGCCTAAAAAGTGTCTTTGTCTCTCACGCTCTCTCTGTCTCTCTCCCTCTCTCTCGCCCTCTCCCGCACTCTCTCAATCACTCTCTCTTTTCTATTTGAACTATTGCCCTCCAAACTACAGGGTTCAAGGCAATTTTGGATTGATTGGCGTGGGTATTATTTGTTGGTGGGTGAGGGCTTGTTATTCTGCGCCCCCAATTTTGGGGGTCGGGCTGTTTTTGTGCGGGACTAAAATAGCGGCGAGACCGAAGAAACGGGATTAAAGGCCAGGCGGAGAAAAGGGCAGCGAGAGACAGTGAGAGAGAGAGAGAGAGAGAGAGAGAGAGGGGGGAGGGAGATAGAGGGAGAGAGAGTTAGAGAGAGTGAGCTAATTAGAGAGAGAACGAGAGCGAGAGAGCGAGAGTAGGGAAGAGAGACAGAAAATGAGTGAAATAGAGTGCTGGAGAGAAAAATTAGATTCCTATCTTCATCAATCTATTTTTTTCTAAATTTTTGAACCAATTATCCACACAGCTTTTTATACAAATTTCCATTTCACCATTTCGCAGGCTCCTTTTCGCCCCGCAGAAGCCCAAAGATCCGAAAAAGAGGCCGAAAAGAGGGCAGCCCCCCCCCCAGTACGGGGTATGGTGAAAGACGCCCGGCACAACAACAAAAGTGCAAGGCCTTGCTATGCCCCAAAAACCGAGGTAAACACAACAACATTTTGGCTATATAAGGGACCAGGGGTAGTGGTTGAGCATCTCGCCTTGACATTTCCACATCTATTTGCTCCTAGAGGCTTGAAAAGCTACTTTTAGAGCCTTAGAAATCACCCAAAAAGTTAGAAAATTCTAAAAACTTTAGAAAAACAGCAGTTTTTTTAATTTCATTTTTAGGCTTGCGATTTATCTCGTTTTTAAATTGTTACTAAGAAAGTTACGTTTTTAGTGTTTTTGAACGAAAAATACATTCCTAAATTTTTTCTGACTTTCATTTCGCATTTTTTTCGTGAGATTTTCATTTATTTAAATCTTTCCAGAAAACACCCACTACCCAACCATGTCCGGAATCATCGACAAGACCAAGGAGGCCGTCTCCAACGCCGCCGAGGCCGTCAAGGACAAGTACCATGACTTGACCGGCGAGAAGGAGTACCACAAGGAGGAGGCTAAGGAGAAGGCCCAGGACGCCTGGGACCAGACCAAGGCTCGCGCTTGTGATAAGGTGAGTGGGGCTTCGTATACTTAGGCTTGGGCTTGGCTTTGGCCTAGGCTTGGGCTTAGTCTTAAACTCAAGAAGCCCTAACCCTACCTAATTCGCATTTTTTTCAGAAGGAGGAGGCCAAGGACTTTGCCGCCGAGAAGCTCCACCGGGGAGCCAGGAAGATCGATGAGCACTAAATAGCCCCATCGACTCTGATCTCTACCAAACTCTACCCTCTACCAACATCCCAATGAGCTTACTTCAACTTCAACTACGACATTCCCAAACCCAAAAAAAACTTCAAAAAATGTAAATTCGAAAATGCAAAATCAACAAAAAACTGAATAAAACTTATGCCCGCATGGCTTGGAGCAATAATGACAAGGCAGGAAAACAAACAAGAGATTAGTGTGAGAGAGAGTGAGAGAGAGAAAGAGAGAGAGAGAGAAAGAACTCACCACCAGCCGTCTGGGCCCAAATATCCGCCTCGCAATTTGGCGGCACCTCTACCGTAGCAGCAAAACCGGCGATAAGGCTCTTGGCGAAACGGCGCTCATCTGGGTCAGTTGCGCTAAATTCAGTAATTTTGATTTTCAATGGAACTAAGAAAAAGTGGGCCTGCTAGTGCTCAAGCAGCTCAAATATCGTTATCTTTCTTTTACTCCCTTTAAATCCACATTAATCCTCACCCAAATTCAAAAATGTCATATTTTTCCGCTCCGACTTGGCTGGGAATTCCACCAGAATACAGAGTAATGGTACAATCATTCGGATTCGGCGCCTAAATTGTAGTAATTCGAGGAAGAAACCGGAGAGAGAGAGTGAGAGAGCGAGAGATAGAGGGTAAGAGAGAGTGTGTGTGTGAGAGAGAGAGAGAGAGAGAGAGAGAGAGAGAGAGAGAGAGAGAGAGAGAGAGCATAAAACTTACAACATAAGGCCAAACATACAGCTGCGGACTCGGAGATCCTAACGTGTGAATGAAGGTGAAGAATTGGGTTTTATTCGCCTTATTCACCGACACTTGGTAGTCTTCGATAGCGTTTGGGATGTAGTAGATGGTATGATCGGTGGATAGAACAGGATCGGTTACTGTAAAATAGGGTTCCGAAAGCTTACAGAAATTTTTAAAGGGATCGGGAAGCGAAAGCGCTCTTACTTACAATTCTTCCCTTCCAGCCTCCTGAATATCATCCAGAATTGATAGTTCTTGTTGAGCTCGAGGTTGTCGAGGGCCAAATTTTGTTGAAATACCGCTTCCGGCGGGAGTGCGGTAGAGCTTAAATGTAATTTTTTTTCATGATGCGACGGTTACCGACCTATAATTTGTAATCCCGTCCTGAACAATAAATTTCGTCTCGTTCTGGCTGCCGAACCACGAGTTGAGCATGATCATTGAATTGTCGTCAGTTTCGACGAGGAGCATGATCTGAATTTTTTTTGAGCCTAAGCTGAAGTCTAAGCCGAAGCCTGAGCCTGAGCCTGAGCCTAAACTTAAAGGTACACTAAAGTCTCGTTGGTTTGGTTACCGGCCGGTAACCGTCCGCGGGATAGCAAACAGGGTTACGGTAGGCGCTCGCCGCGGAGCAAAACCGAACCCGCGCCACTCGCCTGGGGCAAGCGCTTTGGACCACTGGGCCATGGGACAGACGGGAGAGGGGACAGGGGAGAGAGGCTATGAAGGGTTGGGGCGAGCGGCGGCAGAGAACCCAAATTCCCGGCCCCTGCGAAAATTTTTGAACGAGATTTTAGTGTACCTTTAAGTACGAGCCATACCGCCTTACTATCCTCCAGTCGGGTTCCATCGAGTACAAATGACGCATCGATTTCAGTTAATTTTATTGTGATTACTTGAGCATGACCTAATTTTTTGTATTTTTATACACCCCCAAGCTTACTGTAACTTAGTCCAATTAAAAATATGCATAGCCTTAGCAAAATCTGCATTTTAGGGCCGAGGAGAAAAACGGAAATTTCTGCTTATCGCCGGCCTGCCAGTAAGCCCATTGGCACGCTAAAGCTGTTGAGCGTCTTAGAGATGACCAAGAGGTGTGAAAATTTCTTCTCTCTCACTCTCTCTAGCTCTCTCTCTCAATCACTCCCTATCTCTCTCTTTAGCTCGCTTTCTCATTCTTTCTCGCTCTATCTCTATTTCAGGCTTTCGCTTCTAATTCTATCTCTCAATACCTCGAGTTCTCTTCCGCTTTCTCGTTTCTAGTAACTTATTTTCTATGTTTTCACATTTATTTCCATATGACACGCTGCAATAATCAAAAAAGCAAGTTGTATCATTTAGCACCAATAAAAAATGGAGACCATCATCGTCACCAGCAAGCACAGCAGTGAGAACCGCTCATCGGAACTTGACGGAATCAGGGAGTATCTAAATAGATACCACAACCAGTGCCCTAAGAGCACTCATGCCTCACTTCAAGACCATTCCCTTTTCGCACGGAATTTTGGTACATGACCAATTGTATTGGATCCAGACTTTCGCTTCACTAGTGTTGTAATCGCAGGTACCATTCGAGGCGTTAAATCTGGAAATTGATGATAAATAGAGTGAGAGAGAGCGGGAGAAAGAGAGAGAGAGAGAGAGAGAGAGAGAGAGAGAGAGCGAGAAAGCGGCTTACACTATCGGCTGCGTAGTACTCTCTACAAAAATCGTGAGCGTTGAAGCGCCAAGAACCGGCGAAAGGAGCTGGAGGTGGATTTTGCTTTTTTCGTTGTTGAGGTCCTCCTAAAAATCAAATCCTCTACTTTTTCGCCTTTCTAAGCCTTTGCAGCCAGGTGCCCCCGCTCAATACCTTTTGAAGCTGGTAGACAGTCACGAAGTCACCAGGAATCGAGGCAGACCCCGAGTAGGGCGGCGAATTCAAAACCCCTGAATGACCCTTCCTGACCTTGAAGGTATGATCGGTGCTTTGATCTGCAAGAATTTACCGAATTACTAATAGTTAGGTATTCAAATATTAATGAAAATTTTCCAAACTCCCAAAACTCACCCAAATATCTGGCGCTCCAGGCCACTCGACACATCTTGGTGCCATGCGTCTCAAAAATCATGTAGCGATTGGCGACGAAATCCGGGAAGCCGTCGCGAGGTACGGTAGATCGGCAGAAGGTGGAATTGCCGCTAAATTCTCTCTCTCCACTCTCGCACGGTCTCACTCTCTCTCCCTCTCCCTCTCTCTCTCCCCCCTATCTCTCTCGCCACCTACCCATATAGCTTCGTCTCATCCCCACGATACAAGCTTTTCCATATCATCAACGTTTCGCAGTCCCCTTCGGGAGCATCAAAGAAGATGCCATTATATCCAGAATTATCTTTTGAAGTCTAAAATTTTTCCTGCAAAATTTACATTATCTCCAAATTTAGAATCGTAATATTTAATTTTATACCTGATACAAGACATAAGTCTGCCCATCCTTCGTAAAATCGAAAGCAAGCTTTTGAGAGGGATCGGGGGCTACGGGCATAAGGTTGTAGCTGTTGACTGGTACTAAAAAAAAAATCGGGATTTTTGCAAGATTATCAGGATCCAAATTACATGTCGACATCAGCTGGTGGTAGCTGCTGGCGTTGGACTGTAGCCGAGTGATACGGATCGAGATCGGGCCCGTCAGATTTGCGTACGTGGTCGTGTAGTTGCAACTAAAATAGGGTTCCGAATTGAAAATTCCGTATTTTACGGTCTACCGATTTCACATTTTACATTTTTGCTTTTATATAAATCTATAGCTTTTCGGTACTATGACAAATTTGTAGATTCCTCGAAAAAGTCAAAACTGCGTATTTCATGTTTTTTAGAAGTTGATCGTTTTCCGTGCAGTATAAATAATTCAGGATTTTAGCTTAATTTAAATCCGGGCAGCACTATTTCCTATATCTAAATCTGTTCTAAATCCGGGTAGTTTTTATTGCTTCTCAGTAGTGTTGCAGTTTATGCAAAATTGGCCTACCCAGCGATGACGATCGGTTCTCCGGTGTCCAGCTCTCCTTTCCAAGCCTCCAAGCTATGACCGAGAAGCGGCTGGAGGCAATGGGCGTTCATTAGCCTAAAAGCTGACATTTTTATAGCACTAAACGCTCAAAAATACTACTCTAGAATACCATGACGTAATCTGTTGTCTTATCTGCGTTATGCAGCGTATAAAGCGGCTAAAAACGCGAAAATCGACCTCCAGTTGTCAAGCCACTAGCTTACTTGTTGCCACATTTCTCCGTCGACAACCGGTATGTCACCGAGCTGTTCACGCCAGCTAGCATATCAGCATGGACCGCCTCGAAGGGGTAGTTGCACATGTCGATGTCATAGCTGGCGAATGGGGCCGGGGCATCTGAAGAATTGGCTTTAGGCCTAGGTTAGGCTTAGGCTTAGGCTTAGGCTGGGGTGAGGTTAGGTTAGTCTTAGAATCAGGATCAGGATTAAGTGTATGTGTAAGCTTAGCTTCTTAATAAAAAACACTTAATTAAAAATACATTTTGAGCTGCAAACCCACCTATAGGGGTTTTTTCGACAGCAAGTTCAGCTTCTTGTTGCTTCACGGCCTGTAATAAGGGGCTTTAAATGTTGAAAATGGCTGAAAAATGTGAAAATAATTGTCTATTCTGATTAAACAAGCTGATTAAATACAGATGTTTTAAGTAAGTGTAATATTTTAAGCAGCTTAAGTTTATTTGCATCTTAATTTCCATACCCTAAAAGTTTACCTGTTGCAAAGAAAAACCGGCCAAAACAAGAACTATCAGCAGCAGATTCGTAAACATAAAGATTCGATGCAGGGGCGAAATGAAGAGAAATGCAGCGTGCACAAAATAGATATGACTGGGCGCGGTGAAACCGAGCCGCAAAAGAAGAGAGGCGTGGTGTGTTCTCTTTTCAAAGACAACAACTTGATAAGCCTTCCCTTTGCCAAATGATCAATGACAATACGGTTTTTGGCGTGTGCTTATGGCGTTCAGAAACGGGAAAGGGCGAAAGTTCAAGTGTTTTCCGGACTTCATTGAATTCTAAGAATGCCACAAAATTCTAAAAATTCCGGATTTTGGTGTAGCGGCAGAGAACGTTAGATGCGTTTTGCAAAGATGTAGCTTGTGCTGTCTCGTATTTCCGAAGACAATAATCCAATAATTTATCATTGCCTATACAAACGATCGGTCCTTGTAGTTGTTCGGGTTATAGCGCGCGACAACGGCCTGCTGGTTAACCACTAAAAATTTCATTTTTTTGAGAATGCTAGGAATCTTTAGGGGAATTTTTCGTGGTAGCGCACAGCGATCAAGGACTACGATGAACACCTCAAAACGAAAACACCAAAAAATCGTACCGTCAAAGACGTTGGGCGCCGAAAACAGGATGCCGATCGTCCCGCCGAAGGTGATCCCAAAAAATATGTACAGCATCAACCGGTCCAGAACGATCGCCACAAAACGCCAATCATCACGGTGCTGAAAAGAGAGATTTGAGAGAGAGCGAGCAAGAGAGCGAGCGAGAGCGAATGAGAGAGAGGAGATAGGGAGATACAGAGAGTGAGAGAGCGAGCGAGTGAGAGAGCAAGCGAGCGAGCGAGAGAGAACGAAAGAGCGAGAGAGTGAGAGAGAGCTACAGGAAGAGAGAAAAAGCAGTCTCAAAAAGACTCACAACTTTATTCTCCTCTTCGTCCTTCAAATGTTCCGTGATGTACTCGATGGCGTCGATCGCCTTAATCGCCTCCGGCGTCAGGGGGTAGAACATCGCCGTTTGCGGGTCCCGCGGAATCGCGTCGTTGGTGGTGGCGAGGATGCGAGTGCTGTAGGAAAGACCAGGTTTTAGAGCAACAAAACTCTCAACCTCAAACTGGCGTTCGCACAGTACGGATGGTGGGCGGCTGTGTTCATCGTGAACTGCCCGATACCGGCGAGGGCTGTGTTGAACTTGGTTTTCTGGAAGTTCAGAGTTAACTGTGGCTTTTTCTCTTGCTGTCTCCCTCTCTCTCTCTCTCTCTCTCTCTCTCTCTCTCCCTCTCTCTCTCTCTCTCTAGATCTCCCACCAACCTTCTCATGCTTTTTCAACGTCTTCGGTGGCTTCATGCAGATGAAGTGGGGTAGAATCTAAATTTTTTTGATTTTTCGGCGCTCAAACACGTTAACCTCCATGAAGAACCAGCGGACCCAAAAGGGCATCCGATGGGTGTGAGGGCCCCGGAAATACACGTTGATGATGATCACCGTCACCAAAATGGTGATGACGTTCAGGACGAAGGTGAGCAGGAGGTATCTGAAGGATAAAGCTTATAGACCGATTGACCAAAGCCATATGGCTCCATATCTTTGAAAAAAGGCCGGAGTTTTCGAGGAAGCCGACGATTGCAAGCCGTCCGTAAAATCCGGAAAAGCTGCAGTCGCCCGGATCCAAGTCGTTCAAGTCGACGTAGAGATTCAACAACTCACTTCGCCATCAACGGGATCGTGCTGGAGGTCGGTGGCAAAATCTTGGAGACGAGCAACAGGAACACGACGATGGACAGCAGCACGGAGATGGTCAACGTCATCTTTTCGGCTGAAATTTGAGGTGCCATCTCTCTCGCTCTCTCTCTCTCTCCATTTCTCTTTCTCTCGCTCACTTGAATCAGTTGGCAAGAAGAAGACGGCCATCGACAGGAAGGCCATCAGGACCGTGGGGATGATCAGCACCACAGTGTAGAAGAGGGTTTTTCTTCTGAAATTTTGGCATTTATGGTGATCTCCATCTAGCCGGCATCCTTTAGGAACCATCAAAACCTGAAAATCCTACCGTATCCGGATCTGGAACTCGATCTGACTACGATTTTTCACGAGAGTGGCTGGCGCATCCGCAATGTCCCAGATGGAAGAGTTGAGGTACACTTGATTTCAAGCTCAAAAACCCGAAAAAGTTCAAAAAAAACCTGAGAGATCAGCCCCAGGGATGGAGACAAAATCGAGCACAACCTCTTGAGCATTGTACTGAAAGTTGTTTGGGTTACGGTAGCTAGGGCGAGAAATACCGTCCAAGACCCGAAGCGCATGTAGCAGATCTGTTCGTCGAAGGGGAAGTATTCGACGTCTGGAACGTTCAAAGTAGAGAGAGAGAGAGAGAGAGAGAAGAGGAAAGAGAGAAAGAGAGAGAGAGAGAGAGAGAGAGAGAGAGAGAGAGAGAGAGAGAGAGAGAGAGAGAGAGAGAGAGAGAGAGAGAAAGAGAGAGAAGAAGCTTACCTATAATACAGGAGCTCTTGTAGATGGCTGGCGGTACCCACAACATCGAGCCGTTGTTTTCGATGACCACGTTGCACATAAAAGATACCTCGAAGTGGCCGTCGGCGCTTAAAGATTGCGCTTATAAGGATGTAGAACTCGAAGTGGGCGCGAGAGAGCGAAAGGGCGGCGAGAGAGAGCGAGACAGGGGGAGAGAGTGCTTGAGAGAGAGAGAAAGCTTACTTGTTGAAAAGGACAACGTCTGGGATCCAGACTTTATCAGGCGATACCCTAATGGTCTGAATATCCCCGTAATCTGCCGGGTTCCACTTCATCTGGAAGTCGGTCCATTTCTAAACATGAGAATGACACTTTTATTTTCATGAATTCTGAACCTACCATCGTCACCCAGACGTTGGTGTGCATAATTTGCTCCTTCTCATCCTGAAAAATGAAGCGTTCTCTTTATCTCTCTCTCTCACTCTCTCTCTCTCTCTCTTTCTCTCCCGTCCTTTAGTTCTGGCTTACCACATTGATCAACAATTGTAACTGCATGGCGACATTGACGACTATCGGAAGCTGGGTGAGGTTTCGGACTGGCTAGAGTCAAAATCTTAGGTTTTACCCAATCGAAACTTACCAGAACTAAATTATTATACCCCCGGAAAACGTCCATCATCAACCGTTCTTCCGCTTCGGAGCATTTTACTAAAATGATTGAAGCTACAAAACGTAGCCAAAGCATTGTGGCTGCAATTTAGCTTTTCCTTCCGGATTCTGACGACCGACCCCTTATGCCAACTTACCTGATAAAAACAAGGCACTAATCGGCAGCAATATGTATAGGCAATAATATGGCGTCATCTGGGCGCGGTTTTTAGAAAGAATTGGACGTCGAGCCGCATAGATGTTATTTTGGAAGTCCTGGTGCAAAGCTGTATTTTGGTGTCGTAAACCTTTAAGTGAGCTGAAAAAAACACAATTTGCATATTTATCAATTAAAACTGTAAAGATCACAGTGACAAGCGTGAAATTTGGAGGAAAATAGCTAAAAATCCAATATCGGAAATCAAAACCATTTAGATGAAAAAGACTGTGAACGAAATAAAATTAAATCAGAACATCATTTCGAAATTTTTGAAAATTTTTGGTAAATTTTTGTAATTTAAAAACGTGCATCAATTAAAAAATAAAATTTAAAATCAAAATCAAAATACAATTTTTGTATTCTCGTGGCCCGCTGTGCAAAAATGAGCATCAGCCTTGAAATCCCCATCAAGACTTAAAAATGACTAGTACGACCCTGAAACAGCCCTTTTCGTCTCCGGGACTCCAAAATTTTCATAAACAAACGATTCCGAGCAGTTCAGAGCCCTCCCAGGAGCAAAAGGGCCCCGGCTTTTGCTAGTGAGCGATGCAATAGAGGACACCAAGCCGGAAAAGAAAGAATTGGGATGAGAATGAGCGCTTTCCCAGTGGGGCTCGGGCTCGCCTTGCTGGACCTCTTGCACCGGTGTAATCCTAGCCAAATACTTTCAACTCCCGCTGCCGGCGCAAGGGCTTGGGAACGCGGGAGGAGAAGGAGCAAGGAAGGAAGGGGCGCAGGAGCGTCGCTGAATAGAATGGACATGCACTAATGGCTATTTTCTTGGTTCTCATTATGATGGTTGAGTTTTGAAGTCATTGAAGAAGTTATGACGCCTTTTTGTAACAAAAAAAACTAATAAAAGCTTATTTCGGCCCCCAAAACTTGAAGAAGAGCCTCACGTACTTGTCTAGCGGACGAAGAAGAGCTCTGGCTGCTTGCTCGTGCTCAAAAGCCGATGCTCCTTAGAACACGTTTTTGCGCGAAGACTTGAAGCATTTTGTGAAGATTCCATTGTTGTCAAAAAATGTTTTGGGCTATTTTTTTGGTCACTCAAAGGACCTATTTGCGAACATTTGTCACAGCAGTGGGCCCAAGCACACCTGACTTTTGTGACGCCAAGGGCTGTAGGCTGTCCCTTTAGAACTAACGGCGCGAAATATGAGCTGGAGATGGGAGCAGGTGTAGTACTAACGGGGATACCAGAATTGATGCCTATCGAGAGAGAGAGAGAGAGAGAGAGAGAGACAGAAAAAGAGAGGGAGAGGGAGAGACATGCGCAATTGACGCCAAACTTATCGAAGCGCTGTTTACAGGCAAATCCTAGAAAGCCAAAAGTTAAGCTAGAAGCTTCAACTGCTCCTCAAGAACGTAGAGATCAAATTGCGGAAGGGAAAATCTCTTTTTGTGGTTGAGGTGGGAACAGACATAGGTGGGCCATATCTCTTCTGGGCCATCAAGCCGACCACAAAGGCGCTGACACATTGGGGCCACAAAAAACGAGAGAGGGGGAGCGAGAGAGAGATAGAGAGAGAGAGAGAGAGAGAGAGAGAGAGAGAGAGAAAGAGAGAACCAAATCCCGCTAGGTGTTCCGCTTCGTCTTGATATCTAACTAGACAAAGCCAAGAAACGGCAGAGATGGAGATGAAAAATTCGGAGGTGAGGGAAGGGGAAGACGGAAGATTTGGGAAGGGGAATTCCACCCCTAGCAAGTAATGCATTTCAAATTTAGGAATTTGGTGCAACTAGACCTGCCCAGCTTCAAATTCCCAAAATTTCCTTTCTAGCTTGCCCCATCTTAAAGTTCCGGAAAGTTCTTTTCGGCTTTGGAATTCGGCACCGGGACCCCGAATTTTCCAGACGCTGCACATTGAAAATTATAGAACATAGATTATTTTGGGCTGTAATCACAACTGATTCTACGCTCGATATTCGTAGCTGCTTAAAAATGTTCCATCTAGGTGGACGCCATCCGGATTTGGGCTGAATAGATCAGGGAGAGAATGGATAAGTACATCATTCATGCATCCATCCTCCCCATGCCAATGGCCAGGGGCCCGGGTCCATTTTCCACCCTATTTGGGGTGGGCCCCACCCTGCCAGGGATGATGGGGGCCCTAAGTGGATACACCGATGGTCTTCTCTAGGTCTTCTTTCTGGTTAAGGTACGATTATACTAGAATGGGGGGCAGGCTAGCAGAGATTCTTGAAGGCGTAAAAGTTTTGGCCTAAGGGCCTTAAAAAGCCCAGGCCTAAGCTTAAGCTTAAGCCTAAGCCTAAGTACTCAATTTCTCGAATCTATTTTCGATGCCTTACTCTTTCCGGCGCCTGAAAATCATAAACCGCGTGCAGTGAGGCTGCAAATGTACCCGGGTGCCCAATTCAGACTTTTTCAATATCGCAAATAGAATCTAGCCGGAATCCGATGTCCAAAAATCGGTCATTTGACCCGGGGAGCAGCAGAGGAGCATTGTGGGGGAGGAGCAGGATAAAAGCCTCGCACCGGGGGCATCCAGTGGACTCGATAAAAACACAATTTATCCGTCCCGGCTTTGGCCAAGAATTGGCCTCCTGGGTCGCCCGCTGCGCGTTTCACCCTGCCCGACTATAAAATAACCGGATGCGGGGATTGGGACACACTTTTTTCAATAACGTTTTGCGCTCTATATTTCGAAAATGATTTCACGTGTGTTGGTCATCTGCATGCTGCTACTCGTGATCGGTGAGAAATTTTGAGAACATTAAATAGAGAGGGCACAGAGAGAGCGGGCGAGAGTGAGAGGGAGAATAAAAATTTTTAACTCTAGCTCCAATCATCGAAGCTGGAGAGCCATCCGGAATGAACTTCATCCGCCGGATTCTGGAGTGCAATTCGGCCTGCGCTTCGACAACTCCGATTGCTAGCTTGCTGACTTGTTGCAAGGTAAGCCGAAGCCGAGCTTAAGCCTAAGCTGATGCTTAAGCCGATGCCTAAACCTGAGCCAAGCCTAAGCATAAGCATAAGCCTGATCCTAAGCCTAAGCATAAATGAGTCTAAGTCTATGCATAAGCCTATGCCTAGTCTAAGCCTAAGAATGTTCCCACTTCAGAATCGCAACGCTGGCAACTACGGCTTCTGCACCGGAAACAGACAGGCGATATGTGCAACGTTGAATACCTGGTATTCTTAAGTGAGAATTCTATTTTTCTGATTTTTCTAATAACATTGTATGTATTTTTTTCATCAACAAGCCTGTATTATAAAATACATTTATGTACACAAATTATCTACACAAAAATACATGAATAAATGTGACAAAATAAGCAACATTTTTTTAGTTTTAGACAAGTTTTGGACATACTCGTACATAAGCTATGCGATTCAGGGAGGGAGGGAAATAGCTACCAGTAAACAGGTTTTTTACAAAATTACAATACACAAAAAGCGGCATTAAAGGGGGGTAGAACGGAAAGCACAAACGCCAAAAAGATTGGGGTAGCGGGCGGGTGTTATTTGGAGCCTAAGAGACTGTAGAGAGGGTACGGTAAGTTTCAGAATGTCTCAAAAATGACAATTGCAACAACCAGATGAGAAATGTGGTGAGAAAAAATTTTGAGGGTCTAGAAACTTGGCCAAAAAGTTTTTATAGTTTTTCAATAGTTTCCTATAGACTTGTGAAGCTGGCCAAGCTTCAGAGTACCTTTAAAATAGAAAACTGACATTTTTAGAGTAGAGAATCGATTTTAAAGGGCCACTACAGTAGAAAAAAACACATTGAAGGGGGCAGGAACACCATCGAGATCAGCTACATTGAAATTAGTCCACCTCCTCAATGGTCGGGCCTGCCTGGCGAGCCTGCTGGCCACAGCTCTGCCCGGCTCCGGGGTGACCTCCTTGCTGAGGACCAGCCTGCTGGTACATCTTGGAGATGATGGGGTTGGCGACGTGCTCGAGCTCCTTCTGCATCTCCTCGAACTCGTGCTGCTCGGCCGTCTGGTTCGAGTCGAGCCAGCGGAGCGTCTCCTCGCATTTCGTCTGGATTTGCTGCAGGTCGTCGGCGGAGAGCTTCGATTTTGTCTGAAAAAATTGGATAAGTTTTGAATTCGATTTTTAAAGGGAACGTGACAGCTAGAAAATTCTTGAACACCTACCGCATCATCGTTGATCGTCTGCTTCAAGTTGAAGGCGTACGCCTCGAGGTTGTTCTTGGCGGCGATGCGCTCCTTCTGCTTGTCGTCCTCGTCCTTGTACTTTTCGGCTTCTTGGACGAGGCGGTCGATTTCTTCCTGAAAATTGGATAGTTAATTTTTGGATTCAGAAAGCGATACGATAAGCCTAAGCCGAAAGCTAAGCTACTCACCTTTGACAATCGTCCCTTATCGTTCGTGATCGTGATCTTGTTCTGCTTGCCGGTCGACTTGTCGGCGGCGGTGACGTTGAGAATTCCATTCGCATCGATGTCGAAGGTGACTTCGATTTGGGGCACGCCCCGAGGAGCCGGCGGAATGCCGGACAGCTCGAACTTGCCGAGGTGGTTGTTGTCCTTGGTCATGGCGCGCTCACCTTCGAAGACCTGAAAAGATGAGATAACTCAGATTCATCTGTAAGCCAAGCTAGCTTAAGCTTCAAAATCTCTAAAAATCCATACCTGAATCAACACGCCGGGCTGGTTGTCGGCATAGGTGGTGAACGTCTGGGTGGCCTTGGTGGGGATGGTGGCGTTTCTCTTGATCAGCGGCGTCATCACTCCACCGGCGGTCTCGATTCCGAGCGACAGGGGGGCGACGTCGATGAGCAACAGGCTCTGGACGGTCTCATCTTTGTCGCCGGACAGGATGGCGGCCTGAAAATGAACAGATATTTCTTGATTTTCAATATATTTTAGATCTCTGTGTCTCCTCCCTCTCTCGCTCTCTCTCTCTCTATCACTCTCTCTCCCTCTCACTCACCTGAACAGCAGCTCCATAAGCCACAGCCTCATCCGGGTTGATCGACTTGTTCAACTCCTTCCCGGAGAAGAAATCGGAGAGAAGCTTCTGCACCTTCGGGATTCGCGTCGACCCTCCGACCAAGACGATTTCGTGGATCTAAAAAAGAAATTAAATCCAGAATTTCTTAAAAACAACTGCACTGCTTGAACTTGATGGAAACCAAATGCCTACCTGTGACTTGTCCATCTTGGCATCGCGCAACGACTTCTCCACGGGGTCCATCGTCGAGCGGAACAGATCCGCGCACAGCTCCTCGAAGCGCGCCCTGGTGATGTTGGTGTAGAAGTCGATGCCCTCATAGAGGGAGTCGATCTCGATGGACGCCTGGGTGGATGAGGACAGCGTGCGCTTGGCGCGTTCGCAAGCAGTTCGGAGACGTCGGAGGGCTCGCGGATTGGTAGTGAGGTCCCTCTTGTTCTTGCGCTTGAACTCCTCGACAAAGTGGTTGACCATCCGGTTGTCAAAGTCCTGAAAAAGAAAGAGTTAATTACCGAAATTTGGAGGATCTGAAGCACTTCACAAAGTCGTCGATAAATCTCGCAAAAAATGGGCTGACGTTTTATAAGTAAAAAATTTAGTGAACTCTTCAAATTCCTGTACTGGTCGAAGTCGTCGCAAAATTTCACGTACCTCTCCACCAAGATGAGTATCTCCGGCCGTCGATTTCACCTCGAAGATGCCGTTGTCGATGGCGAGGATAGATACATCGAAGGTACCGCCTGAAAATTGGGGGTTAACGCTGGAATTAAGCAAAGAATCTCTGCTAGCTTGCCATTTTCAATAGCCACTTCCAGGAAATAAAGTGGGTTTAAAAATTGAATTTGTTGAAATAAAAAATCCATTTTAAAGCGGCTTGGAAGGCTAGCTTTTTGTGCTGAACTCCTCAAGAATCGCTGCTAGACTACTTTCCCACCTTCTTTTTTGAAGACAAAGTTACCAATCCCTTTAAAAGCAGTATTAAACCTCTCAAAAACATACCTCCAAGATCGAAAATCAGCACGTTGCGTTCCCCGCTGGCCTTCTTGTCGAGTCCGTAAGCAATGGCTGCAGCCGTCGGCTCATTAATGATGCGCAGAACGTTTAATCCAGCGATGGCTCCGGCGTCTTTAGTAGCCTGGCGTTGGCTGTCGTTGAAGTAGGCGGGGACGGTGATGACCGCATCTTTGACGGCGTGACCGAGGAAGGCTTCCGCGGTTTCCTGAAACATTAAGTTTACTTGGGCTTAGGCTACGGCTTAGGTTAGGCTTAGGCTTAGATTTGGACCTACCTTCATCTTGGTCAGCACCATCGACGAGATCTCCTCGGGGCTGAAGCTCTTCTGCTCGCCCTTGAACTCGACGTTCAGCTTCGGCTTGTCGGCCTCGCCCTTGGTGACCTTGAACGGCCAGTGCTTCATGTCCGACTGCACGGCCGTGTCGTTGAACTTGCGGCCGATCAGGCGTTTCGCGTCTGAAATAGGAGATTATTGATTTGATCCGGGTTTTTCTATGTACCCAAATTCCCAAAGATCCTCTGCTAGCCTGCCCTTCCCATTAACTTCCCAGTCCCTTTAAAATACCTACCAAAGATAGTGTTGTGCGGGTTCATGGCGACCTGATTCTTGGCAGCATCTCCGATCAGCCGTTCCGTATCCGTGAAGGCAACGTATGAAGGTGTCGTCCTGTTGCCTTGGTCGTTGGCGATGATCTCGACCTTTCCATGTTGGAAAATGCCGACGCACGAGTACGTCGTGCCCAAGTCAATTCCGATTGCGTTCGCTTTCGGCATTTTGCTGAAAAAAGAAATTTAGGGATTAAGCTGCTTGGGGGTGTTGTTGTTGGTATATCTGGGGATGTACTTTTGTTGTGAGGTTTGTGAAATTCGAGAGAGAGTGAGAGAGAGAGAGAGAGACAGAGGGAGAGCGAGAGAGGGATAGAGACAAATGGAGAGAGAGAGAGAGAGAGAGAGAGAGAGAAAGGATGAGGCAGAGCAAATGTGAATTTAAATTCTAGAGATTTAGCAGCATTGAGGAAATCTCCAGATCGACTTTTTCGACACGAAAATTTATAGAAACCTAGCAAATATAAAACTACTGATCTCAAAAACCGTAGCGATAGATTCAAACGCTAAAAAATCTTCTGCTATTTTCAAATATCCAAAAGCTTCATTTTTTGATAATTAGTCGCAAAATGGTCAACATTAGGCCCAAAATTTCAAAAAAAAAGAAGCCGAAATTCAAGCCAAAAATATTTCTTGTTACCTCAAGAAGCTCAAAAATTTTGATTTTTTTTCAGAAATTGCTCAAAGCAAGGCAAAAAATGTAAATTTTCAAAGGTGGACTACTGTAGCTCGAGAAATTCTACGAAAAAATGTGAATAAGAAAAATGTTTCGAAAAATGGCTCTTAAGGCTACCAGGAAAGAAAATGGAACGCAAAGATCGCCAAGAAAACTTCAAAACGCGAAAATTTTGCAGACTACTGGGTTACGGTAAACATGGAAAACGATAAATTTGAAAAATTATGGCCAATAGAACGTTTGAAAGCTAAAAGAAAGCAAAAGGGAGCCGCTAGATACGCAAGGAGCTTAAAAAACCAGATATTATGCAAAAGAATACGGGATACGGTAGCCAAGAAAAAGCGCTCAAAAAATCAAATCCGAAGGACCTACCTTTATGCTGTGATTAGTAGTGGTAAGATAGTAGCGGTGTGATAGCTGTGATAGCTTGTATGCAAGTTTTCAGAATAAATTTCTGGGTATCGGCAGCCCGGGGGCGCGGGCTTATATACAAAACATAAGGACATTCGGGAATCTTCTCGCTGCGGCCAGCATCGCCTGGAAAAGGCCAGAGAGAGCGGGGAGGTTCGAGAGGGAGCAGACGAGAGGGCGGTGAGGGAGGCGGGCTGGGGAGAGGGGCAGACTTGAGAGAGAGAGAGAGAGAGAGAGAGAGAGAGAGAGACCTTGCCCTTGCCTTGTTTACCGGATGGTCAGCAGCCCCCAAACAACCCGGGCCCCTAGGAATATTTTTAGGGGCTTGGAGGGTGTTTTCTAGGCCCTTCTCTTGTTCAATCGCACGTACTCTCTATGGCATCTCTCACACTCTCACTCTCTCTCTCTTTCTCGCTCTCTCTCTCTCTCCCTTTCTCCACCTCTATAATAGACGCAAAGTGGCTAGAGCAATCCCTCTGTACTTTCTAGACACTAGATGTCTGATGTGCACAGAGAAGTGACAAATAAGGACGCCAAAACAACTGCGGGAAGCGAGCACGAGTTCCTGGTTGGTTAGAAAAAACAAAGATAAAAAATCTATTGCTTAGTTCTGAATCAAAATTTATAGATTCGCATTTTAATCTGCTCCCGTTTTTACTATGCTTCAAAATTGGCAGGAATGGTAAAATGTAATCTAAGGTCCCTGAATTTTTGCGATATGTGACTACAAAAATTTCAGCTGACCAATTTTTAAAGGAAAATTATGTTTATTATAGTATGTACACTCGTTAAATTCCATCAAGAAGCCCCAAACAAAAATTGCTCGAAGTTATTCGCTGCCGCTCGGATATTTCATGAGGATTGTGATGGGCCGGGAAGCGGAGCTGGCTCTGAACAGTGGACTTACAAAGGTTCTAGCGGATTTTAAAGACATCAAGGAACGATATTTGCGAGAAACTACGCCTCACCGTTTGACCTTCTTCAACCTCTTGAAGCAGGGCCTCGACATCAACACCGATTGCACAGTGCTGTTCGTCGTTAGGAAAAAGATGGAGTTGAGCGAGTGATTTGTCACTAAAACGCGAAAAGTTACAGAGAGCGAGAGAGAGAGAGAGAGAGAGAGAGAGAGAGAGACAGAGAAGAGAATAGCCTACCTGAAGATACCGTCTTAATCGTGTTGAATAACATTGCCCCCAGCGAATCGTCATTATATTGAGGTAGCAAATCGGTACAACGCATCACCTTAAATATGCAAATAACTCTTGTATAGTGAAGTGAAAGATAGATTGATTACTTTAAAAAATTCGATAAATTTAGCGCAAAGGATAGTATTCTGTACTTACCTCAAGCAATACGGCTTCAATAAATGCTTGGACGAGCAGCGACTTATCGTTGCTTTTGAGGCCTTGGCTTGTGTTTTCTCTAGAAAAAATGTGGTTTTTTAATTTTGGCAGCTTCAAGCAATAGCCTTAATAAATTTTGGTTAGCTTTTCGTTATCTAGAAAAGTTATCCAAATCTATTCGCCCTTAACTACCCTATTTCCAATTTTAACTCCCCCAAAACGTTTAATGCTGCTGAGTATACCTCTGTTTCCTGATCGTGTAGTAGATCCAGACATATAGAAATAGGTTAATGACCGGCAACCCGTATTGTAGAATTATAACAGTAAAGACAACGAAGCCCGAGTCAGCCGCCGAGTTTGTGTACATCATCTGGGTATGGTCGAACTGCTTGCTGTACCCCGCGCTCGCTCGCAGCAGCATAATGCCGGGGAGCGCAAGTAGGGTGCAGGCGATCGTGATTGGCATCGCACGTCTGGAAAGTTGCGGCTTACCTAGCTCCCAGTTATCAGATTTTTTGTTCCAAACATTTTTCTGACTTTTATCTTCCGCCGCTCTTTACCTTAAAGGCTCAGAAAAGCGCAAGTTTCGCCCTCCTAGCGCGACAGGGTCTCGACAAGTACTCTCAAGACCTAGGAATGCGCGTGAAAGCGCTCGTACACGTCCCCTAGGGCTGTAAATCGGCTTTTACGTTTCACTTATGTTTTTTCTCTTCTGTGACGCGTAAACACGATAGCTAGTCCACAAACAAAGCAATTTTCTGGCTTCCCCGTCTCTTTGGGATACAAACTAGTAGTTTGAAACTACAGACTACAAATTCCAAGATCCTCCTTACTTTGTGAAGATGCATTGTAGTCTTCGAGCAACGAAAACCGCGAAACGATTTAGGGTGATGAGAGTGACGAGCAGGAATAGCGCCTGATCGGTCGAGTCCAAGCCGTAGTCACCTGGAATTTTTTTATGTTGAAATTCGTGCAGAATTCGCGTAGGCTTTGGCTCTGACTCATAGGCAAAACTAATAATTCCTAAGTTTTCTCTATGCCTCTTAAAAGGTGACTTTATTACGTTCCCTCCAAAGAATATTGAGCAAAATAATATGTGCAACTTTTGCATGAAAAATCAGTCTCGAGGGACCCAAATAAACTATCGCCCATTCATAACCGCCCGCATTCCGGCTATTTTTTTGGAAAAATAAAAGGAAAATAGAACTAGAATCTTGAAAGGGGGCTAGAGAAAACGCGCGAGAGAGATAGAGAGACCGAGAGAGAGAGAGAGAGAGAGAGAGAGAGAGAGAGAGAGAGAGAGAGAGAGAAGAGACTCTTCTTACCGATGATAGAATTCTCCAGCCATTGATAAAATGGCATACTGTCGGTGTCGGCAAATAGACTCGGATAAATCTGGACCCATTGCAGGATTATATGAATACAATCGACAATCGCCAAAGCTAGCACTATTTGATAAAATGGTGTCTAAAATATGATAACGTTAAAGAATTTTAGTATTTTCCCTACGTCTCGAAACTTGTGCCAGCCATAAATAAGTATCGTCAGGAATAATATCACCGAGACGGAACCGATCGATAAAACGATTGAGAAGATTATCTCGATCAGCAACTGGTAGATGCTGCTTTGGACCATGTTGACGAATCTAAAATGGATTCTATAAAAGTTGATACAGAAAAAGTTTTTAAAATCGGGAAGGAAAACTGCAGAGCAAAAAAATGCGAATGAATCGGGTTCATCCCTGGATCTAAGCTAAGCCATGCCTAAGCCGAAGTCTAATTGTAAGGCTAGGGCTAGCCCAAGCCTAAGCCTACGCCTAACGCAAGCCCAAGCCTAAGCCGCATCATCAAGGTGTGTGAGCTTCGGCTAAGGCTTGGGTTTAGGCTTCGGACTAGGCCTAAGCTTAGACTTAGGCTTAGGCTTGGGCTTAGGCTTCGGCTTAGACTTAACTTAAGCTTAGGCTTAGGCTTTCTTGGGGCTTAGGCTTAGGCTTCGGACTAGGCCTCGGCTTAGACTTAGGCTTATGCTTAAGCGTAGAATAAACGTTAGCCAAGCTTTTCAAGAAAAGCACTGAAAAGCTGCGAGAGCTCGACATTAAAAGGACCAGAACCAGAAACTACAATCTCCGGAAAATGCCTCGAATCCTCCGACTATTTATCCCGTCAGCGCCGCTCTTCAAAGAATCACACCCCAAAAACCATCCGTAGCCAAAAGTCAACTGTCCATTAGACTGAATGGCCCTCCGGGGGATTACACGGAGACAGACGGTGATTAACAAAAGCGCGTGTGTGCATTCGGAAGCGAATTGAATCAGTCACCCGGGGTGAACGTGGCAACACATTGTTTTCAAAGAGTTGCTCTTCCGGGGACCGGATCAGAACTTGAAAGGTCTGCACTTTAAGCTTTTTGGATCTTTATGCAGAAATTTTGTATTGCCACTTTAGTGATTAAAAATTATAACGTTTTAAGGAAATTCAGAGATGCAGGAACCTGCTGATTTTGCATACTTACAATCCAAAAAATGCTCAGGTTTGTTGGTTATGACACGAAAATTGATTCTTCGTGCTTTTCGGGCGCTTTCCAATCATGTTGTTAATCGTCCAATTTATTTTAACGAGTCAAAATTTTCGAGAGTTCATGATTCTGTTGTCTTTTTTTGTTGCATTCAAATGTAAAAAAATCATATAGCAACGTTTGAAATCTTCTCTCAAGGATGCTCCAAAAATTCTTGAAGTTGGAAAATTAATTACGTAGTTTAAGCGCCATCTTTTTCGCGCTATCTCTCAGTTCTGCCGTTTTCTATTCCGTTCACGTCTTAAGAATTTTTGGAATTGGACTAAATTCCAGAAACCTAGGATAGGTACATAAAATCGACATTAGAATCCATTTATTCACCACTGGCGTGAGATTTGACGATTAAGGTGATCGGGCGCGAGCTGGAGCGAGATCTAAAATCGTTTCTGGGGGGAAATTAAATTGAAAGGGGCTTGGAAGGCAAAAAAAGCCAAAGAAATCGCTAGCGTACCTCTTGAACTTTCTACAGCAGGGCATCGACCTTAGGACGGAGCGTACCGTGCTGTTTGTTGTGAGGAAAAATATTGAATTCAGGCAGTGGTTCGTCACTAAAATCAGCAGATCAGGGAGAGAGAGAGAGAGAGAGAGAGAGAGAGAGAGAGAAATTCAGAAGCCGAGACATAAATAAATCCAACCTGTCGATATTGTTCTTATTGTATTAAACAACATTGCAGCCGGTGAACCATCATCATACTTTGGGAGCAGATCTGCACAGCGCATCGCCTAGAAGACCAAATATTCAGAGTTTGAATCGAAACCTCCTACCTCGAGCAATAGAGATTCGATAAACGCCTGCACCAAAAGCGACTTGTCGTTACTTTTTATGCCCTGCATCGTGTTTTTCCTAAACAATAAATTATTTTTGCCTCCACTCGGACCTCAACTTGAACCTTCTAAACGTTTAAAATTGCCGCTTTTTGAGCCTGATCTGTTTAAAATGTTGCCAATGCTTTATAAATACATTAGATAAGCGTTGTGTCCAAATTTCCACTTCGATCCGGGCAGAAATTGGGGAGCCATGCTCGTTTTTGGGTTTTTTCATCCGACTCCGGTACCTCTGGTTCTTAATTGTGTAGTAGATCATCACATAAAGCACCAGATTAATGACGGGCACCCCGTATTGAATAATCTCCGTCACCGAGCTGCCCAGCGTCCGATTGGCCGGCCCAGAATCCGTGTACATCATCTGGGTGCGGTCGAACTGCTTGCTCATGCCGGAAGCCGCACGAAGCGCGATCAATGCCGGGAGGAGTAGTAGTGAGATCGTGATTGTGATCGGCATGATACGCCTTAAAGCAAAGCTTAGGCTTAGGCTTAGGCTTCGCTTAGGCTTAGGTGTCGATTCGCCCGTTCGCTTTGGCTTACTTTGTGAAGATCACTTGCATCCGGTGAGCAATAAACACAGCAAATCGATTCAGCGTGATCAGGGTGACCAAGATGAAAAGCGCCTGGTCCGTTGAATCGAGCCCGTAGATCCCTGGAATTCGTTTTTCTGCCTCAAAATGATCGCTCTAATATTTTTCTCTGGTCAAAAAATTAAACGTTTTAGGATACCAACTATCGTATTTTTCACATTTTTCCATTTTTCCCTGCCCTTTTCCTACCAATAAATGAAGCCGCTAGCCACTGATAGAACGGTATACTATCGGTGTCGGCAAATAAGCTCGGATAGATTTGAACCCATTGCAGAATTATATGAATACAGTCCACAACGGCTAGGGCGAGCACTATTTGATAGAATGGCGTCTAAAATATCGTTATTGTCTTTTAGCCGCTCTTTGCCTCACTTCTCTGAACTTGTGCCAGCCGTAGATTAGTATCGTCAAAAATAAGAGCACCGAGACGGAACCAACAGATAAAACGATCGAGAAGATGATTTGGATCATCAGCTGGTAGATGCTGTTTTGCGCCATTTGTGTCACTCTAGAATATATATGGGTCGAAGCCCGGGGGCGCCGCCAGAGGCGCCTCCCGAGGCACCCCCTGGGGGCGTGCCGAGTGGCGCCTGTGGCGGCGCCTTGGGCGGACCAGGAGGCGCCGGGAAACCGAGATGCAAATCAAAACATTCAGAATTATTATTGGAATGAGATTTGACTGCTGATCCCTGGTATCAAAGAAGGAAGAATACCCGACGAATCCGGATCCTTTTGAATTATAGAGGAAAGGGGAGTTTATGGGGGAACCAACGTTTTTCCAAGAATCTTTTTTCTAAAATACATGGTAGAAGTGTTTCGAAAGCGTTGTTATTATTCCCAAAGTAACTTCACAAGCCTTAACTAAAATAGCGAAAAAAATCGATTTATCTCCCAAAAATCGCCGATTTTCGAATCTCACTTATTAAATTTCGCAAATTCCACCTACAATTTTTCCAAGTTTTTTTTATTGTTTTTCCACTTAATGTAGTTAAATTTTACTAACAGCGTTATTAACTGACTGACTATTAAGTTATTACGCATTTCTGAAGTGCAAGGGAAAAGTTCTTTGCAAGTTCCTCTCTACTGTCCGTTGCTCTTCCACTCGAAATGAATAATAAACATTAGAGTCAAAATTTGCATAATCACACAGGCGCCGTTGGTGACGCCCCCCGCCCCGTTAAAAATCATAGGGGCGGCGCCCCCAGGCGCCACTCGGCACGCCCCCCAGGGGGTGCCTCGGGAGGCGCCTTTGGCGGCGCCCCCGGGATTCGACCCATATATACTCTAGAATCACAAAAATAAAGTTAGTCAGCGAAATACAACGCGGAAATGGCACAGAGAAAGCGAGAAAGAGAGAGAGAGAGAGAGAGAGAGAGAGAGAGAGAGATAAATTGAGAGCGAGAAGTCGCGAATTGCTTGAAGAATTGCAGCACAAAAAGGCTAAACCGCTTCGAAAAATCGTGCTTCCGGGCGCTACGATCACGCCACGCTACGGAAGCACATGCCCCGCCCAGAGCGACTCTAAGGCTCAAACCATCAACGATGCAGTGAACCGGTCACAATGTACCTCCATAGAACCGGTGATTAGGCGCAACACACGCCCGGATCACGAAACTAATTCAATCGGTCGCCCCGGGCGAACGTGGCTACGCAGGCTCGCAGAGCGGTTTTTTTTTGTTGGGCCAACAAACCAACCTATTCCTCGCGGCGGCGGCGGGCGAATGGTGCAAATTATTAGCGCTCGCCACACAGCTTGCTGCGTGACCATCTTAATTGTTTTGTGACTCGAGTGCCGCGTTCAGTCTGGCAGTTTTGGCGCACCAAATTCAATTCCTCCGAGTTACGCGGCAACTTCTGAGCTCAGAAAAACGGTCTCAATGGTCCCGGAATAGCACAAGTCGTGCTGTCGATCCTGGAGGGACGGGGAAACCTGGAAGACAGATGTTTATCTCCACAAATTACCAATTTCAAAGCCTTTTTCACGCGTTACGCAAAGCTTTACAAATCTTCTGCGATGGTGTTTTTTAGCCGAGAACTCAATTTACGACCAATTTCCTTTCGCTTTTAAAGATTTTCGACTTCATAAAATTTTTGTAATTTCGAAAAAGACTTTTAATTACAAAAGTTTCTGCTCAAATTTCGTCGAACTTCGGCAATAACTCATCACAACTTGCAAGAGTTTATCCAATTTGCTAATCCTAAATGCCTTGCCGGCCAACGACTGCGGGGGAACAATCAATTTTGAATGGGTGTCGCGCGCGTGTGGCGCGGAGGAGCAACATTAAATTTCGGGCGGGCGACAACGAATAACGGGGTAGGGAGAGCATGAGGAACATGGGGCGCACCGGAGATCGGGAAATCCATAACGAAAATTTAACTCACCAAAAACATTGAGAGGGATGGAGGGGTAAAAAACATCAACCGGTGGTGGTAGTGTGGTTCACTCGAATGATCACAACGGCTTGGACAACAAACGGGGGGAGGGATGGGTTTGGCTAAAGGACCGCTGAAGGCTATGCGGCTAGCGATCGCAGAAATCCATAATCTATCCTGTGTAGAAATTTCGCTGAACCCGAATACGTTTTCCAAATTTGCAAAAGAGTTTGCCTTCAAAAGTTACGATAGTTTTTTTGTTATGAATGCCGAAATTTCGGAAAATGGCTGATTTGAGATCTGTCTAAAAAATAAGTTTTGCAATTTATGTTAAAACCCATGACCGTTAGCGTTCAGCGGTTCTTACGATATGCGAGATACCCTAGCCGGAGTGGATAACAATAACAACAACAACAACAGCGATTTTGGGGGTGATTCAGGCGCAGGCAGGATGGGTGTGTGGGCAGATGAAAGACAAACGATTCAGATGATGAGGGCGGAAGTGGTGAGGGCGATGGAACGGTTGGGGCATACCGGTGAAGAGCACGTAATAATCCAAAACACGGATGTATCACAAAACGCAGTGGTAGGTCTAGCAGATGCTCTGGTTGTCGGCGCCGACGCCGTGGTGTAGACGCGATTTGAGCACGTCCAGTCGCTCGATGGCGGCTTCCTGCAAAAAAAATTGAATTGGAAGTATTGTCATAAATGGGCATTCGTTCGAAAAATCTACATTTTCTATTTTTTAATGAAAATTTCTCAAGTTTTGCTTAAATCCGAATTGTTGTAAAAAACCCACAAAGCCATTCTCGGCGCCGATCCGCTTCAGGTTGATCGACAGGGCGCGGATGCAGTCGTAGCAGGCGTCCCGGTTGGCGAGTCTAAAATAATTTAAAATCAATAAAACTAAATAAAAATATAGAAAATGAAAATAGCCCGCCGAATTCCGAGAAAGAAAAAACGCCTACCTTTGAGCCTCATCGTAATCCTCGTTGTTGTCGATGAAGCGCTCCATCACCGCCTCGGCCAGTGTCAGAATCCAGCCGAAGGCGATCTCGTTGTGGCGCCAGATGCGGTCGGAGCTGAACAAGCAAGGAAATGTTTTTAAATCCACAAAAAAGACGAACTTGAATTCATTGCACAGGTAGCGGAGGAAGGTGTCGAGTTGCAGCTTCATCTTGTCCATCAGCCGCGTGTAAAAGGTGGGCGGGAAACGCCGATCGCGGCCCATGATCAACAGCTGCGTGATGATAAATTCTAAAATGAGTTGGTTTTTTGGGAAATGCAGAGAGAGAGGCAGCGGGAGAGAGAGACAGCGAGAGAGAGAACTGCTCACCTGTAGGAAAATAGTTTGACGATTGGTAGAGCTGGGAGAGCTCCACAAGACAGTTGATCACATTTTCCATGCCGCAATCAGGGGAGCCTTCCATTTCTAAAAAGAAATGGTTTAAATGTCATAAAAAACGGGCGACTTTACTTGAGTTTTAAAATTATCAAAAGTACCGACCCTGCTCCAAAATCTCGATCCACAGGGCCTGAATGTCGTCCTCCTTGTAGTGGTTGGCGCAGGAGAATGCGGTCAGCATCACGCGGTGCAGGCCGTAGGGCTGGATGTAGCGCTCGCAAATGTCCTAAAAGTAACAAAAAAGATCACAATTAGAAAAACTCGAATACCTGTAGCAAAAACAGCTGACGATCGAGCTCGGCGGCAATCTTGCGGTACTCCGGGGTGTTGACACGCGCCAAGACTTGTCTAAAAATTTTCGTTTATTAAAGTTGAAGAACGTGATGATGTTTTATTAAAAAGAAACTGGTTCGTCTGAATTAAAAAAAACTCACTTGGCGCTGAGCTGCACGTTGGCCACGTCGAGCTTGTCGCGCAACTCCTGAATGCCCTGCCGGATTTTCGGGTCGCTGGCCGATGCGGCGCAGATGATGGCGTGCGAGAGGTGGGCAATGCGCTGCTCCAAGGTAATGTCGGGGCTAAAAGAGAAATTTTTGACAACAATAATGAATTTTACAATGTATTGTCCTCGGCCAGTCTTCGCAACAACGTGGCAGCCTTGTCGTAGGAGCCCGTTTTCTCAAAGTACCTGCAAATCAAGATAAATACGTTCTAAGTAAACAAGTTTTTAAGAGAAGAACAAAACTCACTTCCACAACAAGTCGATGTATTTGTAGCTGCCCCCACGGGCCATCTCGTGACTCAAGAAACCCTCGATGTACCGCGAATTAGACTAAACACGAAAATATTATTTCCAAAAACTTTATAATACCTGTAGAATTTTGTCGGTCTCGCCGTTGTGCATCATCCACCGGAACAGCGTGGCGTGGGCGAGCTCGTCGTCGCTGGCCAAGACGGCTTGCTTGATTTGATCACGCGCCGTCACCTAAAATAAAATCATAGCTTCCCTAAACACCTAACAAAACCAACCGTGTCCGCCGTGCCGCCCACTTCTTCAAGAGCGCGCGTGATGATACGGTAGGCGTCTTCCCTTCTATTGACGGCGTCGGCCATCTTCTTGTTGACCTCGGTGCGGGCGATGTTGTTCCGGAACGCCTCGACGGCCAGCTTCGACGTGTCGTCACATTCGGCGCGCCGGATCGCCAGCTCGACCAACGAATCGTAGGCTTTTACTAAAATTGCGGAAATAGATTTTTAAAATTTTGATCATGGAGATGCACGGGCAGAAAATTGACAAAAACCTAGTGCCGACGACAGAGGCCATAATTTTACATATGCGGAGATGATCAGCTTCATCGGCCCTAGATTTTTAACAATTTTAAGCTCCATCTCCCCTAGTACCTGCAAAATAAAATCCAAGCGTATATAAAACCTACACTCCATCAACTCGATGGCGACGCTGGGAAGTGGCACCTTGGAGATGGACTGCTTCATGTACTCGACGGCTTGGTCGACGAGCTTGCGTGTTTGCGGGCTCGGGCCCGAACGCCGGGCCCGGTCGAGCAGTTCGACGGCGTTCGTCAGCAGCGCGTCTTCTTTGCTAGAAGAAAAGAACAGGTTTCCGCGAAGCTACATTTTTTACCTGTACAACGTCGGGCAAACATTGCGCAACCGCTCCGACAGTATGCCCGCGCCGGCCTCGTCGTTCAGGAAGAAGCGTATGAGGCCGCGGATGATGTACTGGTTGAGGTGGGTGTCGTTGGTGACCAGGTCGGAGAGGCGACGGCCAGAGAGTTGTGTAATGGCCTAAAACCGAGTTTTTCAAAAACCGAAAAAAATAGTTACCTGGGCATCAAGACTGGCAGAGACGGCTGGGAGCTCGTGGGAGACGGCTTCGGCCCAAAGTGCCAGGGCTTCAAGGGTGCGGTCGACGAGCTCGGCGAGGGACACCAGAGACGCATGTTCACGGGCGAACGCCTCGGCTAAAAGAAAAGATATAAACTAGCAAAAAAAGCATACTTCTAATAAATGCCGCTGAAAATAGGTTGTTTCTAAAAGTGAGGAGATTTATGCAGAGATTCAGAATTTCAAATTCACTTTGTCGAAACTTCGAAAAGTCTAAAAGTTTCGACATTGCATTTTGGGATCGTGGAAAAATTGTATCTATTGAAATTTCGATTTAGCAATTTCAGTTCATATGGGTCTCGACATCCTTATAGAACACTTATCAATTTTACCTTGGAATTTGGCGTTCATGTTGTTGTGGTCGACGGCAGGGGTCGGCTGGGCGATCAGGTTGTTGTCGTTGATGGCCATGCGGAAGAGCCGCAGCTGGTGGGACATCCAATTGAGCGTCGTCGCCGAAACCAATGGAAACAACTGAAAAAAAACACACATAAAATTCTCAAAAACCTTCAATTTTCTCAAAATACCTAAGTCTTCACCATTCTGAAATTGCTTACCGCATCCTCAACCTTTTGAACAAGGGGTTGATTCCACAGCGGCACGACCAGGCGAGCAAAATAGGCGTAGAGGGCATCGTGGCGTTTCGAGGCGCGGAATTGCTGGGTCGAGGAGCCCTGGACGAATGAGTAGTCCTGGCCGCCGGGGCTCATGCCGTTGAACGAGTTGTTGCTGATGCGCTTGTCGACGAACGGTGTTGACGAGCGCAGAGGGGCTAAAAATATCGTACACATTTTTGTTCGGAAACTTGGAAATTTTTCGAAAAACCCGCAAACTCACATGGCATTCGATTGGTCCAGTCCCTGAACGAGTCGTTGGCCTCGTTCCAGACGCGCGACACGCCCTGATCGTAGTCGACCATCTCCGGCTGGTCCTTTTGCGAGTGGAACAAGCGCATGACCTAAAGAATGGTTTCAAAATCCCAGAATTGAATCCACCTTATCCTGTTGCGCCTGATCAATCGGCTTCTCCGACGAGAGCAACGAGAGGAGCAGCACCAACGAGTTGATGTCGCCCACCGTCTTCCAGAGTCTGTCAATTTCGGTGGCTTCGGTGCCCTAAAACCAAAAAATTGTCGAATTTTTAGCATTTTAATACCCGATCGCACAGGGCCTCTCGCAGTAGGATGGTCGGTGTGCGATGCTGGTACATGTGAAGGCCCTGAAACAACACGCATGTAAAAAATTTCAAGCTGAAGCTATATCTCAAGTGAAAATAAATTCATAGAGCGTCGAAAAACGCCTAAAATGTAAATTTCCTATCCAAAATCGGACGTTTCTTTGCGAAAAATAGAGTTTGATTGTATTGTAAACGACAAATCTCTCATGTTTGCCGTTTACCTCGCTGGTGAACAGCAGCAAGATCTCGGGCGCCGTCGAGTGAATCCGGTAGAATGGGTGGACTTCCGGGGCGGGGAGCATGTCGTTGTGGTCCCGCTTCGTGGGGCACATGGACTGCTGATGGAGGTGGATGGCCCAGACCGGTCCGTTCACCGGGAGTTCCGTCTAAAAAGTCTATTTCCAGTTATAAAAAAACTACTCACAATAGTTTCCACAAAGTGATTAACGCCGAGAGGGTGGTAGAGGTCGGACATGGCGTAGACGGTGAAGCGGCCCTCAGGGTTCCCGCAAATGATCGAAGTGGCTGAAAAAAATTATTTTTACAAAAATATCGACAAAAACCAACAGCTTGTGATCTTTCCCAAATAGACGCCCTCCTTGCTGTCGCGCATTGAGGTGAGGGGGCAGAGACCGGGCGCGAATCGAACGTGGCACAGCCGGAAGGTGTGCGGCCTCGACTCCGCTTGGGACATCACCTAAAAAAGGAAATACAACTTTGACAAGGCTTTCTACCGATTGCTGCACATATTGGCCGCCAATGGGCTGGGCTTGACGAGGGAGCACCGAGAAATAGAGCCGAACGCCCTTCGTCGTCACGCCGACCTAAATAAGTTTTGTAAATCGAGTTCCTTATAAAATTCCTAACTGGTTTTCAAAGCTAATGGGGTTTCGCGAGGTGATATCGCTCATTCATTACATTCTAAGCAAGTCTCATTTGTCCAAAACCCCCGATATTCAAGCTTGAGCAGGAGCTGATTCAGAATTTTAAGCGTTGTAGGATGAGCTAGATCACATCGGAAAGTCCATAAGTACCTAAAAACAATAAAAGCAAACTCGGCTCACCAAATGCAAATAATGCGAGCCCTCGGCCGGGATGACCGAAATGGAGATGATCGGGCTGAAGAGGCTGGGGTCGTGCTGCCCCTTGGTGAGTTGCGAGGCGACGTGCTAAAAAGTCAAATAGACTGCTTGCAAAAGGATTTGTACCTTAATATGCTCGGCGGCCATCGTCGCCACCCGCGTGCAAGTCTTCTCGTTGATGCCCAGATCGTATACGTTGATCGAACCCTTCACCGACAGCGTGTAGAGGATGTTGCGGGAGCGGTCGATGCACACTTGGAGTATCTCCTCTGGAAGAAAAGAATATTATATGAGTAGCAGCAATTGACAAACCAGCAACGGGCTGCAGGAATGGGATGAAGCTCTGGAGGAGATTTGTGGACCGGTTGATCTTCTTGCAGTTCTTGCCAAACCACGCGCTATCCTGAACAAAAATTAATAGCTAACTTGACGCGGTTTACCGTGTATTCGAGCTCGAAGAGCGCATCGTCGGCCACGAAAAAGATACGCCCATTGTCGGTGGCGACAATATCGTTGACGATCGAATTTTCGAGATCAACCTGGAATAGAAAAGCGTACATTTTGTTTGCAAAAAGTTACCTTGTAGATTGCATCCGGCGTGACGCAGACTTCATGCCCGTTCGAGCTGACGGCAAACAGCGAGATGTCGACGACCGTTGCCACGATCAGCATGTAATTGATGTGGCCCTAAAAACTTTAGATTAACGTTAAAAACGTTCAAAGCCATACCTGAAAAACACCTGGCTTCGGACGCGCCAGCGCGAGCTTGACGACGGTGTTCTGGATTTGGTCGAAATAGGCGAGATCATCACTAAAAAGAGCTTTACTTTTCCTGCAAAAAATCCCCTTACTTTGTCTCATAGTTCCACATATAAATATCGCAATCAATGGCCACCCAGGCACGGCCAATCTCGGGGAACAGCCCCAACTCGCATCGGGCTCGGGTCTCTAAAAAGGTAAATTCAAAGAAAATACAAAATCATCGTACGCAGCTGCTGTGTGTGAAGCTCTTGTGGTATCGGCAGAGTGCGAATGAGCTCGAATTCGCGGCCCTTCGTGTAGTAGCGCTCGCCGAGGCCAGACACCGTCAGAAGCTCTGAATTTTGGGATTAATAGATGGTGTATAAGTTACCATTTTGCGTGAGTCGACGCGAAAAGTCGGCGGTTTCCCTGATTTGGTCGAGTTGGGCGACGACGGGTGGGATGGCGGCGGTGATGTCGCCATATTCGTCCGGGTACCCGCTAGTTCGTAGCATAACTGAAAATATTATCATATTAGAGCATTAGAAAGGAATTATGGAACAGTGAAAGATTTTGATGGCAAATAACGCAGAAATAAAAGTTCAGGGGCAATGAGATGAGACTTTCGCTGAGGAATTCGACCCTTTTTGGAAATTATACGAAAGTAAAAGCGTTATTAAAGCTGCAAGTGTGTCCAACCCAAGAGCGTGGAAGCCACAAAGCGCGCAAAAATCTCATAGATAAAGATTTTTGCAGCAAGAAAAACAGAAACGAAACTTGCTAACAATCGGATAAAGTAAAGCGGGCCGTTATTGAGACCAGAAGCGGGCAGAAGCTACAAAACCTCGTAAAAGCTAATATTCGTCACATTCCATTATTTACTCGCTAAAATATTATGTACTCTTTTAATTACAAAGAAATTCGACGACCAAAAAGGCTCGCGGATCGGGAATTTTCGAAAGGGCGCCCGACCTGTCCGGGGGAAAAGACGTAGGGGAAGGGGACAAACAGGCAACATTTCGCATGAAAAAAATCTGTTTTGGCGTCTAAACTAAGTTTATTTTGTTACTGTTGTAGATGTGGGTGTGCGTGAGTTCTTGAGTGCTGGCTCAATCCAAGGGGATACCTTGCGAGAGAGTCGTTTGACACCTGAATTGATTTGGACGAAAGAAGAGAGAACAAAGTTTATTTACAATAACGGCAAAGGCCTAAAATAACACAAGCGGCCGGACAAGACGGGCGAAGTGGAAGAGTGAAAAAAGACCCGCACAAAAATGGGGTTGTGCCGGGGGACGGGGAGGGCGCACGCAGGGCGCGGTGCAAAGGGGTGCGCCGTATTGGCATCGCGTAATCGAATCAAAAGTCTTTCTTTTCTTGCTTCCGCAACAGTTACCATTACCTTACAGTTAGATTTACAAAAAAAGAAGGAAGGAAGACATAGAACCATTGGCTTCGATTTGATGCTACCCCGTTCAAAATTTAGGCACAATAAGAAAGAACTAGCGTAGGTAATTCCTAAAAAAAAGGTTATTTTATTCCATTTCGAAGTACAAAAAGTTTTCAAGAGTTACAAATCCCGAACGGACAGTCGTCATTATGAAAATACGCGTACAACTATGGAATTATTGCTCCGCTACTCGGTTGGATGCAAAGTTGGCTACTTGGAAGGCAGCAAACTGTTCGAGTGGGAGACTCGCTTTCTGAGCCCGCACCTGTTCTTTCCGGTGTTCCGCAAGGTTCAGTATTGGGACCTCTGCTTTTTATTCTTTACGTCAACGACTTAAATGATTCCCGATGCTTACCCCAAGCACTGCTCTTTGCGGACGATCTTAAAATGACGTCCCACTTCTCCAGCACCATTCCCTCGAGCATGGCCGATCAGTTGCAAAAACTCGAGTCCTGGGTCAACGAGAATCAACTACCCCTTGCTGGCCCAAAATGTTCTACAGTCCATTATGGCAGAAGAAATCCGAAGAACCACTACATTCTTGATGGTATTCGTCTACCGCAGACAAATTGCATACGTGATCTGGGTGTCCTGATGAGCAGCGACTTCAGCTGTACTCCACATGTATTAGAGGTGACGAGAAAGGCAGCTCGCTTCTCCTTTCTCATTTTTAAAATTTTTACCAGTAGGATACCAGCGTTATATATTAAAGCTTTTCAAGTATACGTTCGCCCATTAGTCGAATATGCCTCAGTAGTGACGTCACCGTACTTTAAAAAAGATCAAAAAACTATAGAATCAATTCAGAAAGACTTCTTCCGTCGAGTGTGCTATCGTTGCCGGGTCCCGTATGGCTCCTACAGTTCGGCTCTCACCAATTTCTCCGCTGAACCGCTGAACTTTAGGAGAACCATCATGGACCTTTGTTTCCTATACAATTTACACAAACGTGCTTCCAATATTTCCCCTCAAAACTTTTTCGAATGTGTTCCATCCCGAACTCGTGGTTTGCTCGTTAAGCTAAAGCCTATTCTCGGTCAAAAAACCTCTGTACAAAAGTCGTTCTTTTCATTGCGTGTATGTGCTCTTTGGAATTCTTTGCCCCAATCTGCCTTCGATAGTTCTTCAACTAAGATATTTAAAAAGCAGGTTTCCCGATTAGTACCTATTTCATCCATTCTTTAATTAATCATGTCCAATTAACGCCTTAATGCTTCCTCACCCCCCCCCCCCTTTTTCTTCAACAAACTTCCAACCTTACCTCCACTAATAAGTGTTTACTTGTAAACCTAAGTGCGAGAAATAAATTATTAATTATTTTAAGTTACAAAAGTTCTTGCTCAAGAAGGGACGATTTCAATAACAAATCCCTACAACTTGCAAGAGTTTATCCAATTTGCTAATCCTAAATGCCTTGCCGGCCAACGACTGCGGGGGAACAATCAATTTTGAATGGGTGTCGGCGCGCGTGTGGCGCGGAGGAGCAACATTAAATTTCGGGCGGGCGACAACGAATAACGGGGTAGGGAGAGCATGAGGAACATGGGGCGCACCGGAGATCGGGAAATCCATAACGAAAATTTAACTCACCAAAAACATTGAGAGGGATGGAGGGGTAAAAAACATCAACCGGTGGTGGTAGTGTGGTTCACTCGAATGATCACAACGGCTTGGACAACAAACGGGGGGAGGGATGGGTTTGGCTAAAGGACCGCTGAAGGCTATGCGGCTAGCGATCGCAGAAATCCATAATCTATCCTGTGTAGAAATTTCGCTGAACCCGAATACGTTTTCCAAATTTGCAAAAGAGTTTGCCTTCAAAAGTTACGATAGTTTTTTTGTTATGAATGCCGAAATTTCGGAAAATGGCTGATTTGAGATCTGTCTAAAAAATAAGTTTTGCAATTTATGTTAAAACCCATGACCGTTAGCGTTCAGCGGTTCTTACGATATGCGAGATACCCTAGCCGGAGTGGATAACAATAACAACAACAACAACAGCGATTTTGGGGGTGATTCAGGCGCAGGCAGGATGGGTGTGTGGGCAGATGAAAGACAAACGATTCAGATGATGAGGGCGGAAGTGGTGAGGGCGATGGAACGGTTGGGGCATACCGGTGAAGAGCACGTAATAATCCAAAACACGGATGTATCACAACAAAACGTAGTGGTAGGTCTAGCAGATGCTCTGGTTGTCGGCGCCGATGCCGTGGTGTAGACGCGATTTGAGCACGTCCAGCCGCTCGATGGCGGCTTCCTGCAAAAAAAGATTGAATTGGAAGTTTGGTCGTAGATCAGCATTTTATCGAAAAAAATCGACAATTTTGTATTTTTAATGAGAACTTCTCAAGTTTTCACTAAATCCGTCCGCAGGCGTCCAGAATTGTTCCAAAAAACCCACAAAGCCATTTTCGGCGCCGATCCGCTTCAGGTTGATCGACAGGGCGCGGATGCAGTCGCAGCAGGCGTCCCGGTTGGCGAGTCTAAAATAATTTAAAATCAATAAAACAAAATAAAAATATAAAAAATAAAAATAGCCTGCCGAGTTCCGAGAAAGAAAAAAACGCCCACCTTTGAGCCTCATCTTAATCCTCGTTGTTGTCGATGAAACGCTCCATCACCGCCTCGGCCAGTGTCAGAATCCAGCCGAAGGCGATCTCGTTGTGGCGCCAGATGCGGTCGGAGCTGAACAAGCAAGGAATTGTTTTTAAATCTCCAAAAAAAAGACGAACTTGAATTCATTGCACAGGTAGCGGAGGAAGGTGTCGAGTTGCAGCTTCATCTTGTCCATCAGCCGCGTGTAAAAGGTGGGCGGGAGACGCCGATCGCGGCCCATGATCAACAGCTGCGTGATGATAAATTCTAAAATGAGTTGGTTTTTTGGGAGATGCAGAGAGAGACAGAGAGAGAGAGAGAGAGAGAGAGAGAGAGAGAGAGAGAGATACAGCGAGAAAGAGAACTGCTCACCTGTAGGGAAATAGTTTGACGATTGGTAGAGCTGGGAGAGCTCCACGAGACAGTTGATCACATTTTCCATGCCGCAATCAGGGGAGCCTTCCATTTCCAAAAAGAAATGGTTTAAATGTCGTAAAAACGGGCTACATTACTTGGAGTTCAAAATTATCAAAAGCACCGACCCTGCTCCAAAATCTCGATCCACAGGGCCTGAATGTCGTCCTCCTTGTAGTGGTTGGCGCAGGAGAATGCGGCCAGCATCACGCGGTGCAGGCCGTAGGGCTGGATGTAGCGCTCGCAAATGTCCTAAAAGTAACAAAAAAGATAACAATTAGAAAAACTCGAATACCTGTAGCAAAAACAGCTGACGATCGAGCTCGGCGGCAATCTTGCGGTACTCCGGGGTGTTGACACGCGCCAAGACTTGTCTAAAAATTTTCGTTTATTAAATTAAACGTGAAAATTTTATTTGTTATCTGCATTCAAAACAACTCACTTGGCGCTGAGCTGCACGTTGGCCACGTCGAGCTTGTCGCGCAACTCCTGGATGCCCTGGCGGATTTTCGGGTCGCTCGCAGAAGCGGCGCAGATGATGGCGTGCGACAGGTGGGCGATCCGCTGCTCCAAGGTGATGTCGGGGCTAAAAGAGAAATTTTTGACAACAATAATGAATTTTACAATGTATTGTCCTCGGCCAGTCTTCGCAACAACGTCGCAGCCTTGTCGTAGGAGCCCGTTTTCTCAAAGTACCTGCAAATCACGATAAATACGTTCTGAGCAAACAAGTTTTTAAGAGAAGAACAAAGCTCACTTCCACAACAAGTCGATGTATTTGTAGCTGCCCCCACGGGCCATCTCGTGACTCAAAACCCTCGATGTACCGCGAATTGGACTAAACGAGAAAATATTATTTCAAAAACTTTATAATACCTGTAGAATTTTGTCGGTCTCGCCGTTGTGCATCATCCACCGGAACAGCGTGGCGTGGGCGAGCTCGTCGTCGCTGGCCAAGACGGCTTGCTTGATTTGATCACGCGCCGTCACCTAAAATAAAATCATAGCTTCCCTAAAAACCTAACAAAACCAACCGTGTCCGCCGTGCCGCCGACTTCTTCAAGAGCGCGCGTGATGATACGGTAGGCGTCTTCCCTTCTATTGACGGCGTCGGCCATCTTCTTGTTGACCTCGGTGCGGGCGATGTTGTTCCGGAACGCCTCGACGGCCAGCTTCGACGTGTCGTCACATTCGGCGCGCCGGATCGCCAGCTCGACCAACGAATCGTAGGCTTTTACTAAAATTGCGGAAATAGATTTTTAAAATTTTGATCATGGAGATGCACGGGCAGAAAATTGACAAAAACCTAGTGCCGACGACAGAGGCCATAATTTTACATATGCGGAGATGATCAGCTTCATCGGCCCTAGATTTTTAACAATTTTAAGCTCCATCTCCCCTAGTACCTGCAAAATAAAATCCAAGCGTATATAAAACCTACACTCCATCAACTCGATGGCGACGCTGGGAAGTGGCACCTTGGAGATGGACTGCTTCATGTACTCGACGGCTTGGTCGACGAGCTTGCGTGTTTGCGGGCTCGGGCCCGAACGCCGGGCCCGGTCGAGCAGTTCGACGGCGTTCGTCAGCAGCGCGTCTTCTTTGCTAGAAGAAAAGAACAGGTTTCCGCGAAGCTACATTTTTTACCTGTACAACGTCGGGCAAACATTGCGCAACCGCTCCGACAGTATGCCCGCGCCGGCCTCGTCGTTCAGGAAGAAGCGTATGAGGCCGCGGATGATGTACTGGTTGAGGTGGGTGTCGTTGGTGACCAGGTCGGAGAGGCGACGGCCAGAGAGTTGTGTAATGGCCTAAAACCGAGTTTTTCAAAAACCGAAAAAAATAGTTACCTGGGCATCAAGACTGGCAGAGACGGCTGGGAGCTCGTGGGAGACGGCTTCGGCCCAAAGTGCCAGGGCTTCAAGGGTGCGGTCGACGAGCTCGGCGAGGGACACCAGAGACGCATGTTCACGGGCGAACGCCTCGGCTAAAAGAAAAGATATAAACTAGCAAAAAAAAGCATACTTCTAATAAATGCCGCTGAAAATAGGTTGTTTCTAAAAGTGAGGAGATTTATGCAGAGATTCAGAATTTCAAATTCACTTTGTCGAAACTTCGAAAAGTCTAAAAGTTTCGACATTGCATTTTGGGATCGTGGAAAAATTGTATCTATTGAAATTTCGATTTAGCAATTTCAGTTCATATGGGTCTCGACATCCTTATAGAACACTTATCAATTTTACCTTGGAATTTGGCGTTCATGTTGTTGTGGTCGACGGCAGGGGTCGGCTGGGCGATCAGGTTGTTGTCGTTGATGGCCATGCGGAAGAGCCGCAGCTGGTGGGACATCCAATTGAGCGTCGTCGCCGAAACCAATGGAAACAACTGAAAAACAAACATAAAATTCTCAAAAACCTTCAATTTTCTCAAAATACCTAAGTCTTCACCATTCTGAAATTGCTTACCGCATCCTCAACCTTTTGAACAAGGGGTTGATTCCACAGCGGCACGACCAGGCGAGCAAAATAGGCGTAGAGGGCATCGTGGCGTTTCGAGGCGCGGAATTGCTGGGTCGAGGAGCCCTGGACGAATGAGTAGTCCTGGCCGCCGGGGCTCATGCCGTTGAACGAGTTGTTGCTGATGCGCTTGTCGACGAACGGTGTTGACGAGCGCAGAGGGGCTAAAAATATCGTACACATTTTTGTTCGGAAACTTGGAAATTTTTCGAAAAACCCGCAAACTCACATGGCATTCGATTGGTCCAGTCCCTGAACGAGTCGTTGGCCTCGTTCCAGACGCGCGACACGCCCTGATCGTAGTCGACCATCTCCGGCTGGTCCTTTTGCGAGTGGAACAAGCGCATGACCTAAAGAATGGTTTCAAAATCCCAGAATTGAATCCACCTTATCCTGTTGCGCCTGATCAATCGGCTTCTCCGACGAGAGCAACGAGAGGAGCAGCACCAACGAGTTGATGTCGCCCACCGTCTTCCAGAGTCTGTCAATTTCGGTGGCTTCGGTGCCCTAAAACCAAAAAATTGTCGAATTTTTAGCATTTTAATACCCGATCGCACAGGGCCTCTCGCAGTAGGATGGTCGGTGTGCGATGCTGGTACATGTGAAGGCCCTGAAACAACACGCATGTAAAAAATTTCAAGCTGAAGCTATATCTCAAGTGAAAATAAATTCATAGAGCGTCGAAAAACGCCTAAAATGTAAATTTCCTATCCAAAATCGGACGTTTCTTTGCGAAAAATAGAGTTTGATTGTATTGTAAACGACAAATCTCTCATGTTTGCCGTTTACCTCGCTGGTGAACAGCAGCAAGATCTCGGGCGCCGTCGAGTGAATCCGGTAGAATGGGTGGACTTCCGGGGCGGGGAGCATGTCGTTGTGGTCCCGCTTCGTGGGGCACATGGACTGCTGATGGAGGTGGATGGCCCAGACCGGTCCGTTCACCGGGAGTTCCGTCTAAAAAGTCTATTTCCAGTTATAAAAAAACTACTCACAATAGTTTCCACAAAGTGATTAACGCCGAGAGGGTGGTAGAGGTCGGACATGGCGTAGACGGTGAAGCGGCCCTCAGGGTTCCCGCAAATGATCGAAGTGGCTGAAAAAAATTGTTTAGAAAAATACAAAATTATTTTCACAAAAATAGCGACAAAAACCCACAACTTGTGATCTTTCCCAAATAGACGCCTTCCTTGCTGTCGCGCATTGAGGTGAGGGGGCAGAGACCGGGCGCGAATCGAACGTGGCACAGCCGGAAGGTGTGCGGCCTCGACTCCGCTTGGGACATCACCTAAAAAAAAGGAAATACAACATTGACAAGGCTTTCTACCGATTGCTGCACATATTGGCCGCCAATGGGCTGGGCTTGACGAGGGAGCACCGAGAAATAGAGCCGAACGCCCTTCGTCGTCACGCCGACCTAAATAAGTTTAGTAAATAGATTTCCTTATAAAATTTCTAACAGTTTTTCAAAGCTAATGGGGTTTCGCGAGGTGATATCGCTCATTCAATACATTCTAAGCAAGTCCAATTTGTCCAAAACCCCCGATATTCAAGCTTGAGCAGGAGCTGATCCAGAATTTTAAGCTTTGTAGAATGAGCTAGATCACATCGGAAAGTCCATAAGCACCTAAAAACAATAAAAGCAAACTCGGCTCACCAAATGCAAATAATGCGAGCCCTCGGCCGGGATGACCGAAATGGAGATGATCGGGCTGAAGAGGCTGGGGTCGTGCTGCCCTTTGGTGAGTTGCGAGGCGACGTGCTAAAAAGTCCAATAGACTGATTGTAAAGAATTTGTACCTTAATATGCTCGGCGGCCATCGTTGCCACTCGCGTGCACGTCTTCTCGTTGATGCCCAGATCGTATACGTTGATCGAACCCTTCACCGACAGCGTGTAGAGGATGTTGCGGGAGCGATCGATGCACACTTGGAGGATCTCCTCTGAAAGAAAAGGATATTAAATGAGTAGCAGCAATTGACAAACCAGCAACGGGCTGCAGGAATGGGATGAAGCTCTGGAGGAGATTTGTGGACCGGTTGATCTTCTTGCAGTTCTTGCCGAACCACGCGCTATCCTGAACAAAAATTAATAGTTAACTTGACGCGGCTTTACCGTGTATTCGAGCTCGAAGAGCGCATCGTCCGCCACGAAAAAGATACGCCCATTGTCGGTGGCGACAATATCGTTGACGATGGAATTTTCGAGATCAACCTGGAATATAAAAGCGTACATTTTGTTTGCAGATTATACCTTGTAGATGGCATCCGGCGTGACGCAGACTTCATGCCCGTTCGAGCTGACGGCAAACAGCGAGATGTCGACGACCGTCGCCACGATCAGCATGTAATTGATGTGGCCCTAAAAACTTTAGATTAACGTTAAAAACGTTCAAAGCCATACCTGAAAAACACCTGGCTTCGGACGCGCCAGCGCCAGCTTGACGACGGTGTTCTGGATTTGGTCGAAATAGGCGAGATCATCACTAAAAAGAGCTTTACTTTGCCTGGAAAAAAATCCCCATACTTTGTCTCATAGTTCCACATATAAATATCGCAATCAATGGCCACCCAGGCACGGCCAATCTCGGGGAACAGCCCCAATTCGCATCGGGCTCGTGTCTCTAAAAGACAAATTCTAGAAAACCAGAAGCTATCTCACGTAGTTGCTGTGTGTGAAGCTCTTGTGGTATCGGCAGGGTGCGAATGAGCTCGAATTCGCGACCCTTCGTGTAGTAGCGCTCGCCGAGGCCAGACACCGTAAGGAGCTCTAAATTTGGGGGTTTATAGGAGGTGAATAAGTTACCATTTTGCGTGAGTCGGCGCGAAAAGTCGGCCGTTTCCCTGATTTGGTCGAGTTGGGCGACGACGGGTGCGATGGCGGCGGTGATGTCGCCATATTCGTTCGGGTACCCGCTAGTTCGTAGCATAACTGAAAATACTATCATTTTAGAACGTTAGAAACGTGAAATATAGAATAAGGAAAGGTCTTAATGGGAAGTAAAGCAGAACCAAGTGCACGGGAACTGAGCCGAGATTTTGGCTGCCAATATAACTTTATTTTCGATTTTGGCTAAAGTAAAATAGACTGTGGGGTTAAAAGCCCCGAGGCGCGCAGAAGCTAAAAACCACATAAAAATCTTAACGATAAATATTTTTGTTGCAAGAAAAACTAAAACTAAACTTGCTGACAATTAGATAGGGTAAACTGGATCGTTTTTGACGCCAGAAGCCGCGTAGAAGCTACAAAAATTCATAAACGATAATATGCGTCATTTTCTGTCGTTTACTTGCAAAAGATTATGTAATTTTTTAATTACAAAGAAATTCGACGACCAAAAAGGCTCGCGGATCGGGAATTTTCGAAAGGGCGCCCGACCTGTCCGGGGCGAAAAGATGTAGGGGAAGGGGACAAACAGGCAAAATTTCGCATGAAAAAAACTGTTTTAGAGTTTAAAGTAAGTTTATTTTGTCACATTTACCTTACAGTTAGATTTACAAAAGAAAAAGAAGGAAGGCGGCCATAGAAAGAATACGGCCGCTAACCCCGATCTCATTCTGCTCCGTTCAAAAAGCAAGAACTAGCGTAGGTAATTTCTAAAAAAGGTTATTTTATTCGGCGCTATTGCGATTTGCTGGCCCCACTTATATCGGACCAAACCGAATCTTTCAGGAGTAGTTTTTTGCGCTGATTACGAAAAACATCAGCCTGAATCGCGAAAGTTCTGTTTTCCAGGACAAAAACTACATTTCATTTTAGATTTGGGTACGCACGGGGTAAACTAGGTTTTTGAATTGAGCATTGGCTTCGTGCCACCGCAATAGCGCCTAAAATTGTGATTGACTTTTGCGCATGACGCTGAATGGTTATCGGACCACACCTACTATCGACGAGAAAAATTCTTTTGCTACCGGAATTGCAGTTGATTTTGCCAAAGCCAGGCGAGTAAATCCGACACGTTTATCCCGCTACACAATGCATAAAAAAAATGCGGGATGATAATATCACAGTTCAAGAATTTGCAAAAAAAAAAAAATTAGATATGAAAATCGAACACGAGAAAAGCTCAGCGGGGGGCGAAAGGGTTGTACTTCGAACGGTGCAGAAGTTGTACCGGCGGGCGTCATCTATCTACAGCTCGGGGTGGATGAAGGGGTTGGCGTCGGTGGCGTCGAGTTCGGCGGGGCACTTCTGATTCAGCCGAGCCAGCGCCATCTGAAAGTAGATAGATTTTGGGAGGTTGTGCAATATCCAGAGACTGGCAAATTTTTTCTAGAAATGAAGCCATGCCTAGCAATGCCACAGGAATTTTTATTGCATCTTTCTTTAAACTTTGCTTATGCAAGCGGAAAATTGTTTAGAAAACTTCGAAAAATGCGTACAATTTTTTGATTCATAAAAAATGCAGTTTTTACGTTTCAGAATAACCAAAAATAGTCTATACCCGCTTCCTCATCCTCTTAGAAACAGAATTTTGTCTTAAAAAAGCAAACAAACCTCATATATCCCGTAGTAGTGAACGAAGGCCGCAATCACGACGCAAGTGTGGAACAGCTGGTGGGACTGGAACTAAAAAAAATCTTTTTGAGACCATAAAAAATAGAAACGCACCCAAATATCACATTTTCCGGGGAAGAAACGCTCGGGGGTGCGCGTGGCGTACAGCCCGGCCCCGATCAGGTACAGGGCCGCCATCAGCAGCAGCCAGTGGAACGAGTTCTCGTTGAACAGTGAAGGTACGCCGTCCGTGATGATGTAGTGCACCGTGGGCACGACACCTGAAACAAAGGTTTTTGACGATTTAGAATTTTTGGTACAATTTTTGAAAAACCAAGTTAGCTTCAGAATTTCAGGCAAAATTTTTTAGATCGAACAAATTACCGGAGCATCCCATGGCCACGAACACGCCAGCTCGCAGCTGCCGGAAGCGACCCTCGGAGAATTTGTTCCACATCGAAACCGTGATCGCGGCCGCGCCGAGAATGCAGACCAGTGCTAAAAAGGGATACTTCAAAGCTTAACGAAATTCCCGCACCTATATACGCAATTTGTGGCTCCCGTCGACAGTAGAACCCGTAGTATATCCAGGGGATGAACGACCCGATGATGAGCAGCGAGATACCCATGTAGTCAAGCCTGAAAAAGACAGGATAATGATCGAAAACTGTAACTATAACACGTGGACTAGAAAAGTCGGTATTTTCAGCAATTTAAGAAGCTACGGTTAAGAAACTATAATCCTCACTTGCAAAATATTTTCACAACGCCAACGGAATGGCAGGACAGCGTGTGGAAGGCGAAGGAGAGGCCGAGACACAGGATGGCGCCCACGAAGAAGAACGAGAACACGACCTTTTCCTAAAAACAAAATAAGCATTTCGTAACTTGAAAAAACCTGGAGCTGAATGTGATTTTCTGGGCGCGTCAGGAACCAGACGGCGAGCAGGAAGAAGGCGACGCATCCTGGAAACAGTTATATTATTCCGCGCTCCGCGATAACCAAGCTCCTCAAAAAATTCTTCACCTAGCAAATGGGTCCAAATGTTGCCGGTCTCGGTGTGCAGACTCCAGATGCTCTTGAAACACTCGGCAAACGATGGCAGTGGTGGACGATGACCGTGTCTAGATAACATTTGGATAAAAGACCTTGCAAGTCGGCTTACCGCAAAAACTCGTTATCCTGAAGCCACGAGGGCAAGTGCTCAAAGTGCATGACGGTCCATTTCACGTCATATGTCTAAAAGCAAAAGCTACGTTTCGAAAAAGAGTCATACCGTTGTAATAACGTGACCAGCCGCCCCGGACAGTTCCTCCTTGACGTTGACTTCCAGCTCATCCTCATCAGCCGCTGCTTCTTTCTTGATTTCAGCAGCTCCCACCTTCTTCCAGTCGCCACCGCGCTTTCTGAAAATTAAATGATCATTTTGCAGTTTCATTAATGATCAGCAGCCTTTTTCGAAATATAAAATTTACCGTCGATACGCCAATTTGGTCATCCTGGGCCCCTCGTCATCACTTCCGGCCGAAAGCCTGGCCCGTATCGAGTGTGTGCGCGACCGGTAGACGTCAGAATCCGAGATTGACCCTAGAAAAAAACAATTTAACGCTTTCAATTACCAAAATACCCCAGTCCTCGTCATCACTGTTCGGCTGCGACAAGACCGATCTTTGGTCCTCAAAAAGAAGTGGGTAGTTGTCGTTTGCTTCGAACTTGACCATCTAAATCAAGTCTTGTCAAGAGTTTTTTTCTTAAAATAGCTAAAAAGGCAAACAATTCTTTCCCGCCTCTGGTTTTTAGATTTCTCTTTCTTTTAATTTCCTAAAATAGCTACAAAAATCAAAATTAATCGCTAAATCATAACTTATCAAAAGCACTCGCCTCGCCCGTTCGCCACCTCTCAATGGCTTCGGCTGCGTGGGCCGGCTTGGCCCGCGCCTTGGCTCGAGACGCCGTGGTCGAGTCCATAAACTAAAAAAACGCCAAATTTTCTAGTTTCAATCCAAAAACGTACGGTTCCTCTTTTTCGAGGCACTTCTGCGTCGATCCGCTCAATTTCTTCAACCTCATTCTTCTCCTCATTTGCCGGGTCGTCCTCCACCGCGCCCTGGTTCATGTCCTCGTCATCGTCCTCGTCATCGTCAACCACCTAGGTGGGAAATTTAATAGGCATTAAAGTAGTTTAATTTTATCTATAAAAGAAGATCGAAAATATTAAAGGGCTGCCGAGGCCGAGCCGATTACAGCCGCTTCGCGACTGTCATCAGCTGGCATTCGGGCCACCCCGGGTAATTGATATGTACCTTCTCCTTTGCCACCCATCTGTTTCCGAGCGCATTCCGTGGCTGCCCACGCCAAACCCGCGGCCGACGCTTGCCGATCTCCGGATCCGCCTCCAGAAGAGGGGATCTGAAAAACTTTTCAAAAGTAACGCCCAATGCCTTACCCATCTTTTCTGCTGCGTAGGGCGCGAGCTCTGGGCAGCTAAAATTTTGAAAGTGGAAATTGAATAATGTCGAAATCCAGAATATTGAATTTTTTTTCATCAGACTCGGGGATTTTGGCGGAAAATTTGCTAATGTAAATTTCTACTTTTTTCACGTTTTCACCTTTGGGAATAGTCCAAAACCGTTTAGAAACACCTCCACAATTTATAACAATAAAAAAATAAATTTTTGATTCAATAAAAGCCTGGGGGAAGTAATTTTTTTCTTAGGACCGATTTTCCCAAATAACAATGGCGGATGTGCAAACCGTTTTTTACTATTTCTAAACGTAAATTTTTCACAAAATTTTATTAAAAATGTTACAAAAAAAACGATCCTTCGGCCAAAATTCCCACTCTTTGAAATTCGCCTCGCCCGTTCTCCACCTCTCAATGGCTTCGGCTGCGTGGTCCGGCTTCGCCCGCGCTTTGGCTCGAGACGCCGCGGTCGAGTCCATATACTAAAAAAAACGCCAAATTTTCTAGTTTCAATCCAAAAACGTACATTTCCTCTTTTTCGATGGCCTTCTTCCTCGATCCGCGCCATTTCTTCAAACGCCTCTGGGTTCTCCTCATCTGCCGGGTCGTCCTCCATTCGGTCCTCGTCATCCTTTGGATCCACCTAGGTGGGAAATTTAATAGGCATTAAAGTAGTTTAATTTTATCTATAAAAGAAGATCGAAAATATTAAAGGGCTGCCGAGGCATGGAAATGGCCTGGAAAAGAAATAGGTAAATGCTGATAAAAATGAGAGAAAGTAGATGAATCAAGCTAAAATGTAGTAAACTGTGGATATCAAGCTGCAAATTAAAGAAAGTTCGTAAATCAAGCTCAAAATGCGTACCCTAGCCAATTCATTTAAATTTTCATTTCATTCATTTCATTTCATTTAAATCCAAAAACGTACCGTCGCCTGCTTTTGCTGCTCGTCTTCTCGGATCTCGGCTGGCTCTTTCAGCTCCTCCTCGGGGGCGTTCTGCACGGCATTGTCGACGACCAGCTGCGCCTAGGTGGGAAATTTAGTATGCGTTAAATTAGTTTAATTCTATCGAGAAAGGAAGACCGAAAATATTATAGGGCTGCCGACGGCATGTGTCGATCCCCCCATCAACCAATTGGCAAGTAGACAACAGGGCAGAGAGGGCGCCCTGGGGAGAGGCGCAGATACATTTTCTTTCCAGTGCGTAATCGATTGGCTATGCCGTCAGCATCCCTTTAATAATTCTTGTAAATTCTTCTATCTACGGACCAGCCGATTACAGCCGCTTCGCGACTGTCATCAGCTGGCATACGGGCCACCCCGGGTAATTGATATGTACCTCCCACGGCGTCTTAGGCCTTACTTGGAGCGCGCACGAGGGGACGGGAGGGACTGGGCTAAGCCACGCCCCCTTTTGGTCCCCAAAATGTATGGGAAAAAGCTTTCTAAAGGCTATAACTTTTTTTTCCAGAAAGAATTACAAATTTTCCACCTGGCGATCGATAGAGAAGACTCTATGGAACATTTTGGTCAAAGAATCTGGGCGATCGCCGGGAAAAATTGGGACTTGAAACGTTTTGACGCAAAAATCAAAAATTTTTCTGGTTACGGCCTCGGGACCGTCCCATCTGCCCAATTTTCTACCTGGAATTCGCTAAAGATTTATTGTCGTTGCTTTGTAGAAACTTTTGCAAAAAAAAGCAAAACGGTGTCGCGTCTTTAGGCGAGGGGAGGAATCGAACCAGCATCCCGCGCCTGCCGCCGCCTTAGACCACTAGGCCATGCCCGTCCCCACCTCCGTGCGCGCTCTAAGACACCGTGCTCCGCCTTTCCTACCCATCTGTTGCCGAGCGCATTCCGGGGTTGCCCGTGCCAAGCCCGCGGCCGACGCTTGCCGATATCCGGATCCGCCTCCAGAAGAGGGGATCTGAAAAACTTTTCAAAAGTAATGCCCAATGCCTTACCCATCTTTTCTGCTGCGAAGGGCGCGAGCTCTGGGCAGCTAAAATTTTGAAAGTGGAAATTGAATAATGTCGAAATCCAGAATATTGAATTTTTTTCATCAGACTCGGGGATTTTGGCGGAAAATTTGCTAATGTAAATTTCTACTTTTTTCACGTTTTCACCTTTGGGAATAGTCCAAAACCGTTTAGAAACACCTCCACAATTTATAACAATAAAAAAAATAAATTTTTGATTCAATAAAAGCCTGGGGCCTGGGCTTGGTTTAGCCTGCGGCGCTGTTTTTATTACTTTTTATTAAATTTTTTTGCCTGCGGCGCTGCTATTTTAGCAAAATGTTTCGCCTGCGGCGCTTAAATTTCGAAAAAATTTCTTTGCTGCCCCCTCCGAAATGTCGCTGCCCCCCGAAACTTGGGGCCAGCTACGCCCCAGGGCACTGGGGAGTGGGGGTGGGGCGGGGGTACCGTATGCCTGGGGGCGCGCAATAGCGGGACCGGGGCAGACGTGTGTAGGATTGGGGACCCCTCGCCCGACCTGTACGGGGGAAAAGACGTAGGGGAAGGGGACAAACAGGCAACATTTAGCATGAAAAAAGATTGTAGTTTAAAATAAGTCTATTTTGTTATATTTACATCACCGTTACAGTTACAAAAGAAAAAGAAGGAAGGAAGAAACAGGCTGCGATTTGATTCGGCTCTGTTCATAATTTAATAAGAAAGAACTAGCGTAGGTTATTATTTATAAAAAAAGTTGGGCGCTAATGCACTTGGGGGGGGCAGTCCGAAATTGGTAGTAAGGGGTTACGAGACGCTCCGCTTATGCTACTTGGGTTTCAGCTGAGCGCAGGCATAGCTTAGCTTTAACTAAGCTTAGCTTAGGCTTAGGGTTAAGCTCAAGCCCAAGCTAAGCTTAACTTAACCTTTAAATTGCCTCAGGTGGTCAAAATAGGGTCATTTAGGGCTAAGCTTAGAGCTAAGCCTAGCTTGGCTCAAGCTAAGCTCAGGCTTTGTTTGTATGAAGCTAAGCCTAGGCTTAGGCTTGGTTTAGCATTTCCAGAGGCTTCGAGTTGAAAAAAACGGCAGGAGCTATTGATGTTTGGGGGGGGGCATCTTTTTTTGGGGGCTTTTTCTGGCCTAAGCTTGTCTCAAAGCCTAAGCTAACCAAGCCAAGCCCAGCCTAAGCCAAACCTAAGCCGAGCCTAGGCTTAAGCCCAAGTCCAAGCTAATCCTAAGCTAGCTCTAGGCTAAGTCTAAGCTAAGGCTAGGCGAAACCTAATGTAAGCCTACACTAAGCCTAAGCTAAGCCAAAACCAAGCCCAGGCCTAAGCTAAGCTTAAGCCTAAGCCAAGCCTAGGCATAGGTTAAGTCTAAGCCAAGCGTACGCAAAGTTAAAGCTAAGCCTAAGCCTAGACCCAGGCCACCAAAAAAAAAATGCCCCCCCCAAACATCAATAGCTCCAAACGGCATTTGGAGCGTCTTGTAGTCAAAATCCGGACTGTCCCCCCCCAAGTGCATTAGCACCAAAAGTTGTTTTACTCCGTTCCGTAAAGAAGGTTAGAAAAGTCCCGAACCCGAAATCCCGAACGGAGAGACGTCATTATCAAAATACGCGTACAACCAAGGTGCGTAAAGTTTGGCTGCGTAGTCGAGCGTCGCGTATAATGTGTAAAGGATGTAATGAAACTTATATCAACCTATTTTGGCATTCGAATAGACATTTATTAGACACTGTACAATTCGGCAATTTAGCAGAAGCCGCAGGTTTTGGCGCACTGCTCCTTCATCAGGTCGACATAGTTCGGGTCTTTGCACAGCGACTTCTTGGCCTCGCAGTCCGAGTCGCCAGTCATGAGGTTTTTCATGTCGGCACAGCCTAAAGTGCCTTGTTCTGCATTTATGGTTTCTATTGGTGGCTTTTAGACAAATCCTGGGGTCTAATCCGGGCACATTGAAACCAAGAACGCACCCGGCTTGTCCGTGGCCATCGGGATGTCCTGGAAAAGTGGTAATTCCGAGAATTCTGCCTTTTGTAACGTTTTTTCAAGGTTAGGTCCTTTCGCATTATCGCGGGGGGGGGGGGCAATTGTAAGTAAGGTAAGTAAATAGTTTAATGCTGTTTTTCGTAAAATTTAGCGTATTTCAAGTGGAAAAACAATTGGCAAAATTTGGAAAAACTTTTAAAAGACATTTTCGTTTTGAAATAGATATTTTGTCCAAGCGTTAATGTTAATTCGTAAGGTTTTTGCGTTTAGGATAACAAAGAAAAAGTTTAGAAGCAATTTCCCGATTTATATGTATTAGAAGAAAGTTTTAAAAAAACGAAAAAGTTTGCCCCCCCCCCACCCCGATAATGCAAAGAACCTTGATGGTAGATTAACACTTACACGGCAGCACATACCGCCGTACGGGCAACACCAGTAACGGCCTCTGGCCGTGGCCGGGCACGCATTGTTAACGCAAGCTGAAAAAAAGCTAGGTGTTTCGAGCAGGATGAGGCTTACGGCCAAGATCGCAGATGTTGTTCAGCTCGTGCGGCGTCAGCCCGAACAGCTTGGCGACGTCGGCGGGCTGGAAGGAGCGGAAATCGGCGTTTTTTTAAAGAGCTTGCTCGTTTTCCAAAGATTTTGGATTGGCAGTTTCGCCGTTTCTCGTTAAGCGAAAATTAAGCTACTATTTTTGCCTAATTTTAAAGGTAAAAACTTTGCAAAAAAGTGTAGAAACACGCGTTTTCAGCGAAAATATAACAAAAATCGTCAGGAGTTCTCTAAAACTTTAAACTTTACAATATTTTAAAAACGTGGCACTAAACCCACCACCGCCGCCATCGTGCCAGCAACGCAGAGCGCAAGGAGGATAGTGTACTTCATGACGACGCTCCGGAGATGATCAAGAAACCCAACTTCAGGTGGTGTTCGCCCAACTGACTGCCCGGGGGTTATCACCGAGTTCGGGTTGGACAATGGCGCCGACCCGATAACCCGCAAAGTAGGTGCCATTTAATCCGGCTAAGGCGCTTTGCAGCACGTCCGCATGACTTCGAAGAGTTCAGCTGGCAGGTATTTTTTCGGGAAAACAGAGGAAAAGCCTAGAAAAAAAATGGTGTCGGCGTGCGGAATTGGAGGTTTTTGGTGTTGGGACGGACGACGAGGTGAAGCAGAACGGAAGTGCGGGTAGCAAAGAATCGTTTCCGGTATCGGGAAAGTACCATAATTTCGTCCCTGTATCAAAAATGTAGTTGTAAAATGTCGTAAAAAATATTAAAGCCTAGAAAAAACTGTTATGGGCGTGCGTAATTGGGGGTCTTTGGAGTTGAGACGTGCTAAGGGGGAAGGAGAAGCGGAAGTGCGTGAGGCGTTCAAGGCATCGGAAAAATACTCTAATTTCATCCAGGTACCAAAAATGTAGTATAAAATAGATACTGAGCATTAAACAGCTCACCAGGGAAGGGCAAATGCACGAAGTGGAAATTCGAAAAACGCTCGCGGCTACCCCTAGGTACTAGGTTCGCGGCCACTTTAAAAAAAGTTTTCTGAATTATCTGCAAATTTTTAGACTCTTCTGAATATCTATGTATGTAAAATCTAGTATAAAACCTCATCAAAAATATTCAATATTTAGGTTGCAATTTAAAAACTTATGTGACATTTAGTGTAGAATGGCCTTGGTGTGGCTGGTCTTTAGTGTGCGTTTGTTTATAGTTTATCGCTTTCCCGAAAAAGCAAGTTCCACTACCTCTGATTTTTTTCGGACAAATTGGAACAACTTTAGAACTTGGAAAACTTCTAAGTTAGAACTATAGCAAACGCAAAAATGATTTTCAGCCTTTTTTACCTCATTTTTGATCTAAATCCAGATGAAGACCCGGATTTGGTCGTCGCAAACAGATTTCGTTCTATGAAATCCGCGTTGACGTTTGTCTGGAAACGCCCCTTTTTTCTCTCAAAAATTTTTAAACATTCTTATTGCCAAAAAAATTGGCACAACGCACTTTCCGCTCATAATTTTATTTCCTAGAATTTCTTAACAATGGTCGAAATTCATTTTTCTAATAATCACTTAAATTCCGGGAACTCCAAAGCGCTGTAGAAAGACGGCTCAATTTTATAATGGCGATTATCACTTCATTTCCGGGAATTGCGAGGTCTTGTTTTTCATCTCCGACCACCTAATCCAGGCCCGAGAATACAGATCAGGTCCCAAATTCCACTAATCGCCACGTATTTCGAGTGATTCTCGGGAATGCGCCAAGTACATACACCCGGCGCGTCAAAATGCTAGTTATCCACCTGGAGCGGGCTCGTCAAATCCCGGCTGGGTGGTAATCTCAAATCGGGTGGCGGGAGGTGACGATTGAAAAGCCAGCCCGGGCCCGAATAAGTCACCTAGGAGACCCACATTTCCGAGTTGCTCCTTTCTTTCATTCTTTTTCGCTTTGGTTTCACTTTCGTCTGCCCTTCAAATATCGTCTAGAGGGTTGATAAGGTTTTCCCACCGCGTTTCATTCCCGGCGGATTAGCAAGGTTTTACGAGGTAAGTTGGGCTTTTTGCGCGGCTTTCCTGGAAAAGCTTCTTTTCTCTTGCTTTTGTATTTGTTTTTATTAGTTTTTCGTTTTTATTATTTTATAGCTATAGTATAAACTTAACAAAGCATTCAATTTTCGCCAATCTCTGGGTTTCTAATTTCTAAATCCACTGAATAGACACTTTTTTTGTGTTTTCAAAAGCAGTTTTTTATCTTTTCTTAGTTTCCTGGCTCCGCTATTTTTTTTAATAAGAATAGAAAGCTAATTTATTCAATTACATAACTTTTATGAAATCTCTCGAGGTTTTTATCAACTATTTTAATCAGAATGGGCCCTGCGTGCCAGGTGTGCGGTAACCTGAAGGGTGTCTTCCGGTACTACGGCGCCGAGGTGTGCGGGTAATAATGTTAAATTCAGTCTTATTTAAACTTTATTGGTCTGGAAAGATCTGGAAAAGAGAGTTTTTTTCATTTTAAGCTCCAATACCAGAAAAATTCCAGCCCATGCAAGATCTTCTTCCTGCGCGCCGTCAAAAATGGCGACAACTACGCTTGCACGAAGGGCGGGGATTGCGAGATTAAATCGGGTAATACAGTAGAATATTAATTTCTTAATTATTGACATTAAAATTATTTAAAACAACACGAGAAAAATTTAATTCATCACTTGATGTTTTTCAGAGCTCTGGACAAAGGTCTGCCGGGCATGTCGGTTTCGGAGGTGCGTCGAGGCAAATATGGACGCAACTAGTAAGTCGCTCAAAAAATTCGAAAAACATAAAGCGCGATATCAAGCAGTAAATAGGAGCACAGCGTAAAATTTTCCAAATTTTAGTGGTCGGAAACAGCCGGACCCGGAAAAAGAAAATCCCTCCTGCCGAACCCACAGAGCAACTTTCACCTTGTAAAGTAGTGGAACTTAAGAATCCATATTTGGTATCAGCGTATTGATGCCAGAAGTCAATTCATTTTAGGAAGTCCAAGATCTCTCCATGGAAGTCGACCTTTCTCCTCCAGCTTCTCCCGGACTCCCGGATTTAGCGACAGTTCCCTCGACCTCAACCACAGTAATTTCCACTCGAGAGGTTTCCACAAAGGTATAGAAAACTTAAAGTATGCCTTAAGTCTATGTTTTAGACGGTGGCTCTGAAACACGGCAGAAGAAAGCGAGGAAGGCCATCTGTCGCTGACCTTTTCATAGCCTCCTTGAACTTGTCGCTGGTAGGTTTGTCTCGTTATCTATCTCTATCTCTCTCTCTCTATCTCTCTCTCTATCCATTTATATCTAGGACTCTGTCTTCCTCGCCTCCGCCGTTGGCGACGTCTACAAAACTTTCCTAAAAACCGACGACCACATTCTTATCGTCTCCAAGCTGGTCGAGCTGGAGAAGTGGGCTTCCAGCTATTTCCTAAAAGATCTTTGCTAGATTGCCTCTTCAATCCTGAACAACTTTTTCAGCAAGTGCTATGCCGAGGACAGCTACTTTGGGTTGGACGAGTTGAGCGCGAACTTGGATATATCGTTGGAAACGGCGTTTCACGACCCCGGCAAATTGTGCAACAGGACGCCGGTTAGTATATGAATATCATGCGCAAAAAATTGAAATTAGCTTGCATGGGGGCTCGTTCGGAATCGTCTCCCGTCGATGCTAGACATGATCAAGCGGTTGTACGGCCGGATGGCGCTGTTATACATCGACTGGCTGCGTTCGATACCAGAACTGGAAAATATTGACGGCGACGACAAGGTAGGGGCGTTCCTCTATGCTATGCTCGTGCTCACTTAGCCACTCTCCCTCTCTCCCGCTCTCACTCTCAATACTAGCCACTTTCAAAAGGAGTCTCAGATCAACCTATCTTCTTTCAGATGCGCCTCATCAGCTATCAACTCGCGAAGGTATCGCTGATCACCATGTTCTATCATGTAAGTTCATCCGATCCATTAAAGCAACCAGAATGTTCCAAAATCTACCCCTCTTGTGTCACTAGGTCTCGACAACTAAGCGTCAGAACCAATCAGGTCATGGGTACATTCCGCTCCGGAAGCGTTACGCCATACACGCATATTTTGTCATGTCACGTAGCTGTCAAAACCTAGTCAAGGGCTCGGGTCGATTCTGATGTTTTCCTGCCCCTTTAAAGCTACTACGCGATAATGTCGACGCTTAGAGCTACAAAACGGGCAGTTCGGGCATGGCCTGGTCGGGCGGATATCATTATGCACCCAGCGAAAACATGACTGGGGTCGGACATGAGTAAGAACTTTGAATATTCCCTTTCATGGAAAATTCTCTCAGAATTGACGTCTTCATGAATCGATTGGTGGCCTATGGACAGGAGCATATTATTTCTGGTATAAAAATACCTAAACAGATGGATTTTATTTGGTTTTAGCCTTCCGGGAAACTGACATCACGATCGAGGAGTACTGTCTTCTAAAAATGATCGCGTTTTGGAGTGGACGTAAGTGGAGAGAGAGAGAGAGAGATGGAGGGCGAAAAAGAGAGAGAGGGAGAGATAGCGAAAGAGAGAGAGAGAGAGAGAGAGATAGCGAAAGAGAGAGAAAATTTCAGGAATTTCCCTGAGCGACAGCGCCGAAGCCGTAATCAAACGTACAAAACGGAAATACGAGGAGGTGCAGAGTTTGGCATTTTAAAGATCGTTAAGGCTTTCTAAAACATTTTTAAAATCATATTTTTAGCTCTTCGTCCGGCACATTAACGACAAGCACGAGGACTGGCCGATCGAAAAACGGGCAGCAAGAGTCGATCGGTTGATCTCATTGCAGTCGTGTTTTCAGGTGAGGGTGAGAGAGAGAGAGCGAGAGAGAGAGAGCGAGAGAGCTGGAGATAGAAGCCTGAGATTGAGGCGCTTTAGAACATGAGCGACTTCGACAACACGTATATCCAACGAATGGTACTGCTCGATCTCGCCGGTTTCCGCTCAACCCTCACCTACGAGGTTCACGTCCGAGATTGATAAAAATATGATGGAATTCTGATAAATTTTGATAGGGAAGCAATAAAATATTTGTTTTGCTCGTTTTACCACATTCTAACAATCCAGAAGGAGCAGGAGTTGTTCTCTTTTTATCTCTCTTGCTCTCAAGCTCGCTCTCTCTGACTCTCTCATTCTCTAACTTCTTCGCTTCGCTTTGTCCTAGGCTAGGCCAAAGCTGAGGCTTATGCGAAAGCTCAAACTCTGTCTGCATCGTTTCAACCATTTTTCCCTCTATCCAGCTCTCTACCGGTCTCTCTCGCCGGCTCTCGTCTCGTACTCTCTCTTGCTTACTGCTCCCCGGAAAGCCAGCATTTTTCATACCTAGAAGTGTTGCCCGATCTCCTTTCCACACTGTTTTTCGTAGTTTGTCCCCCGCCCGGCCACTCACCCTGATTGCGATTTTTGCACATCCGGTCGAATTGGGCCCCTGGTGGGTCTGGGGCCCAAAAAAAAGAGTGGATAATTGCTCAGAGCCGACAGAAAACACACGCCTAGAATCTTGGGCGTGAACTTATCCGGCCGCGCGCCCGATTTTTGTCACGTCCTTCGAATTTCCGGGGATTGGCGTGTGAAGGGGCTGGGCCACTAAACCTTCCATTGGCTTCCCAGGGGGAATCAACAGCCGCCCTAAAATACACACCCGGAGCCAGGGAATTACCGTAATCCGTCCGCCGGCTGACGTTCGCCTGGGCATCAAGTATAACAAGTGCACTTGCTGATGTCTGACAACAGATTACGGTGGATGAGATATAGTGGGATTTGAAAGAAAAGGAAATTTTCATTTTTCTTGGCAATTGCATTCTCTAAACATAATTTTTCCAGGATAAATAATATAAGCAATGTATACTGTCTTGTATATTTAATTTTTCTTAATAGCCATTTTCCATAATAATTGTTTTTGGAGGCAACGTTTCGTAAAATCCATTCTTCCTAATGGCGAACGTGATGTTCAATTTATCCAGTTACGGAAACATTAAGATTCTATAGTTTTTCAAGGCTCTATTTCTCCTCTATTTCGATGGAGATAGATGATTCTCCTCACAGTACGCCTCGATTTCAAGAAATCTCCAAAACAGCTTTATCTCGACAAAAGTGGGGGTTTTTTCTTTATCTAAGGCTCGCTACGCAAAAAAGCGTCAGCATTCTACGCCCTATAACGCACACTTAGAGCCCGGAAATTACCGTAACCCGCGGCTAACGCTCCTGAGCTACAGCATAATAAGTACAGTTCTTATTTTTGGAAGGGAAATCTGTCAACAGGTTACGGTGGCTTAGGAGTGGTGGGATTTGGCAGAAGGGGTGGCAAAATTATGAAAATAGCATACAAAACACGATTAGCTTCCGTTGGTTTACAGTTACCCTTTGCTGTATTTACTGTATCTTTGCGAAAAAAAATAATTATGGCAAAAATTTCAGGACGTCGTCCCGGAACCCATTTTCAAGGCATTAGTGGAAATATAGGAGAGAGCCAGATAGCGAGAGAGAGAGAGAGAGAGAGAGAGAGAGAGAAGAGAGAGAGAGAGAGGAGAGAGAGAAGGAGCGCTGGAGATAGAGAGAGATGGAGATATAGTAAGAGCGGAAGAGAGAACAGAGACAGAAGCAGAAAAAGAAGCTCTACTCAACCTACAGTACCCGCGCGTCCCGAACTCCGACATACACCATATTTCCCGCTCGCCCCCTCAAAGTCTAGCGCAACCCCTCCTATTCTAAGATTGCCGACCTTTCCAACTAGATTACATTTTGTCCCCATCCCCAGGCCATCGAACGAGTCATTAATCCGGAAATTATCGGTTCCCGGCCCCGGTCAGGTTGGGCCGCCTGGAAAACACAGGCCCACTCACCCCCTCAAAGATCCCGAATGGCCAGATTGTAACCTAGGCGACACGGGGAGGTCCCTCCCATCAGCCCCTCTCTTCTGCACACCCCGGAAATCTGTCGCCAAAAATTGGCCCGAGGCCCGGGTTTTTACATTTTTTTTGAGGTCGGGTTGCCCATTCGAGCCCTTGCCTTCGTAGCCTTATTTTTATATCCTTACCAATCAAACGTTGCCTTATTAAGCAAAATCCTGACAAGGTGCTTTGGTTTCTTTGCGCTCGTGCTCAGAGCATGACCGGCTTTTGAATTTGTAGGGTAGGTCACGTGCGGAAGTGGGCCTTTCTGATGAACCTATTTCCTTCTCATTCACCCTCTCTCGCTCCACTCCCTCTCTCTCTACTTTCTCTCTCTCTTTCTCTCTCTCTCTCTCTCTCTCTCTCTCTCTCTTTCTAATTCTCATCGAAACGTCGATCGCGGCCAACAAATTTTGCCCTTCCATATCTTTCTCTTTCTCCAATGCTGCATGTTCTCCTTTCTCCTGTTGCATTTCTTGTTTATTTGTGTGCGACTCTGTGCTCGATAATGATCAGTCGGGCTTTCGCCCCGTTCTCTGTCTGCGTGGGGCACAAGGAGCGCGAGCCGCGCCATATTTGAGCACGAAAGCGTGCACTTGGCTAGTAATTGAGAATAGGATTACTACCAAAACATTCCTAGAAAATAGACAAAAGAACTACTTGCTGTGCTCGAGGTTCTAATTGATATCGATATCTTGTTCCTGGGGATGCCGACAGTTTTTATGCAACTGTTTCTCGCTCTCTCTCTCTCTCTCCCGCTGTCTATCTCTCTCACTCACTCACTTTCTTGCTCCACCTAATTTCTAATCTCTCATCACCGAAAACCCGCTGACCCCATTCTCGTCGGTCTTCTCGCCTGTCTAAATCTCAAAATTCAAGGCCACGCCACCCAAAGTAGCAACCAAAAATTGACTGGCTTCCAGTCTCGTTTTTCGATTTATATTTGTCAGTTTTGGTGTTTTTTAAATTATTAGGCGTTTTATTAAATCTCTAAGTTTTTAGAAGCAAGAAGGCCAAACTATCCCTAAAATTCCGCCATCTTCCGAATGCCGGTCGAGTGCCGCGTATGCAGCAACCCGAAGGGGGTTTTTCGGTATTATGGAGCGTCGGTATGCGCGTAAGCTAATGGAAAATAGAACAATTTACTGAGGTTCTAAGGCCATGCAAGGTGTTCTTCTTGAGAGCCGTCCAGAACAAAGAGACTTACATATGCGGAAAGGATGGGGAGTGCCCGATCACGCCCGGTCGGTTTTATCGATTGAAAGTTTTAAAATAGGTTGTAATGCTTATAATTGAACCTTTTTGAATTGAATAGCTTCACAAAAAACCTACATAGGAATTGATAGTGTGAAAATGGCTTGAATTCCAAGATTTAGAGCGCTGGACAAAAACTTGCCGAGCATGCCGGTACCAGAAATGTATCTCGGTGGATATGGACCCGAAAGGTGAGCAGATAGAGGGAAAGAAAAGATCGTAAGGGGAGAGATAGAGATATACACAATATGTTTTTTTAGCTGTCGGCACATCCAAAGCCCAAAAGAAACGACAACGCGCCATTCTGGAGGGCTGTGACGATCCGTTATGGCCAAAGCAGACAGTGAACCATTGGCCAGCCCTCGTCTACGAGGCTGTCAGTTATGGAGCTTCTACTCGACTAGAGGTTTGGACCCTGAAATCTGTTTTTTTTTACAAGAATCTAGGATTTGAGCGACAAAGCTCTGCGCTCCATCAAGCCTCGGCCGGCCGTCGAGGTTACGGAGGAGTACAACGTACGTCTGGACAAGAATATGTCTCTCGCTCTTTCTCTCTCTCTCTCTCTCTCTCTCTCTCTCTCTCTCCCTCTTTCTCTATCGTTCTCTCTCCCACCCTCTCTCTGCCTCACTCCCAATTTTAGGTTGAGCAGGACATCAAATTCGAGGGTGAGTATCGAGTCCCAAGCCCGCCCGATCTCCCCGATATCACCAACTTCGATCCGGAAGTATCATCTACGAGCCGCCAAAAACAGCCCAGCCAGTCGACGTCATCGTCTTGTACGCAATTGGTAAATTTTTCAAGTCACCTATTAGCCTAAGCCTAACCCTGAGCTAGCTCAACCTGATCTTTCTTCAGGTTTCCAACTCTGCCTACAACTGGGTCGAGCGCTCGGTGTGCCCCTACTTCGCCGACAAGCCGGTCAAGTTAAATATGACAATTGTGAGTTGGTTACCGTATTCGAGGAAATTGGCAATTCTTATCTCAGGACCGCGCCTTCCGGACATCAGCGATCGGAGATGAGTATCTCGCATTTCTACGATGTGAAGACCCGAGGAAGCTGGTCAGGAAGTTGGTCGAGCTGGAAAGGTATGTTCCTTAACTGTCTTGATTAGATTACCCCTAGTTTTTCTTTAAAGCCAGCTTTCGACCTTGCTCTCATTAATGGTAGCTTTTTGCAGCCACTGCTACATGGACCAGGCGAGCATCTACGAGCCGGTGCATGAAAATATGGACTTGCCTTTTGCGGAGGCTTTGAAGGACCCGCTACGATGTGGAAGAAGGACGCCGGTAAGTTTATCTCTCTCTCTCTCTCTCCCTCTCTCTCTCTCTCTCCATCTGTCTCGCACGCTCTCTTTCTCTCTCTTTAAAAAGAATTTTCTTAGCTTGACTGGAACAACAAAGTATTTCGCGTACCGACGATGATCGACACGATCAAAAAGGTGTACTGCCGGCTGACCGTGTATTATATCGATTGGCTACGCGGGCTTCCGGAAATGACCGAGATTTGTGGATCGGAAAGGGTAGGCTAGTTCTCGATACCGTGATTAAGCTGCAGCGGATGTCAAAGCTAAGCTTAAGCCAAAACTAAGCCTTAGCCTAAACCTAAAACTATTTTTCCAGCTTCGTCTTGTCTCCGACCAATTAGCCGCTACGCTCATGACCTCCGTCATCTACCATGTAAGTTCGTTTCAGAAGAACTGAGTAGGAAGACTAGCAGAGATTTTTTGAGCAGAGAAGCCTAAGTCTAAGCCCAGAAATTCACTCTAGTTATGCACTTTTTAGAGCTACAAAACCGGATGCCCAGGCCTGGCCTTGTCGTGCGGATATCACTACATGATGGGCCGGAGAGAGGGACACGAGTGAGTTTTTACAGACCCAGGGCTAAGCCCAAGCCCAGCCTATGCCTAAGCCTAAGCCTAAGCCTAAGCCTAAGCCTAAGCCTAAACCTGCCCTTCCAGGTTCGACTTCTTCCTTGATCGCCTCGCCGCCTACGGACATGACCACATTGCTACAAGTAGTCTAAAAGCTCAAGTCAGATTCTCTGCATTTTTTAGTCTTCCGGGAGATTGACATCACGTTCGAGGAGTTCTGCATCGTCAAGATGATCTCCTTCTGCACAGCTCGTAGGTTTTTATCACGCTAATAAGTCTTAAAGTTTTACATTCTGATAATGGCGAAATTTCTATGTTCTAGACCACGCGCTCGGCTCCGAGAAGGCCGGCAATGTTCTGCAGCATGCCAGGCGGAAATATGAATGGGTGGGTTGCGTGCAGATTTTAGGGTTTGGAGGCGAGACAGGCTAGCAGAGGGCAAGCTAGCAGAAATCTTTGGGGAAACCAAAGTTACAAGTCCATTTCAGGTCCTTGGCGAACACGTTAGGACCAAGTACGCCCATCTTTCCGACTATGAAAAAGCCAGACGGATCGAGAAGCTGAGCTCCTTGCCTCTCAGGTTCCAGGTGTGGCAGAGAGAGAGAGAGAACAAGATATGGACATCAAATAAGATACATGCTTCTTCCAGCAAATGGGCATCATGGACAACGCGTACATCCGGAGGATGGTAATGCTGGATATCTGCGGCTTCAGCGCTCCCTTGACCTACGATATCCATATGCGGGAATTTAATTGAGCTTTTTAAACCCGGTTCTCCTTGTTATTTTGTTATTTTGGAATCTCAACACTGCTTTTGATCTCGTCATACTGACTTGTCATGTACATAATGGAATAAAAATTATTTTAACTTTCGGCCTTAGAATCAGCAAAGCGGGAGAGAGAGAGAGAGAGGGAGAGAGAGAGAGAGAGAGAGAGAGAGAGAGAGAGAGAGAGAAATGAAAAGCAACCAGGCGCCGAGAACAGAAGAGAACCTTGGGATTTATCTTGCCAATTCTGGGTTTTGTTGCAGATTTTTCCACGTGTTTTTTTTAATTGCTGATCCCTTTATATTTTTATATCTTCCTGAAAGAGAAAAATACAGCTTTACATCGCCTGGAAAAAGTTAGTTTTGTCATTTTTCCAGAAAAGTACAACCCCGAATCCAAAATTCATACCCACCTACAAAACACATCCTGCAACTCGTACTTTCCATACCTAATGACGGCCACAACAACACCTGTTTTTCTATGCCTTTCCGCTCTCGCCCGCTCTCTCGTTTTATGTACCGTATCCAAAATGTCTCACGTGCCTCTAATCAAGGTGCGAGCACAGAATGTAGCCTATTCTCGGGATTGAGAACAGAATCTAGTGCAAAATAGTGTGCAGATGGAAGAGGAGTGGGGCAAAAATGTGCAGTGATGAAGAGTCGAGTCGAGAATTCGGTGCGGAAGTCACCCGGGAAACGGCCCCAGGCACACGGCCATCTACTGCCCCCTCTACCAAACACAGAAACGATTATATAATTTCCGGACCGGCCGCCTGGAACAAACAAGTGCCCGCCTGGCACTGGATTCGGACATTTTTTGTGTTGTAATCCGCGATACGATTTCTGAAAACCGATTTTGGGTTGGAAAATGACATTATATGGGTTTCTGATAAGAATAATTTTTGAACGCGCTTTATCTTTGCCTGGAAAAAGGCCAAAAATACAGTCTTTAGTCTGCTAACAGCTTTGAGAGATTTTTCAAGCTCCCCGTTCGTACAAAAACCCGTCGATCAGGCCAAATCCGGACAAAACGGAGGATGCGTGTCTCATAAAGACTTTATTTCACCTTTTACCTGCCGTATTTGATTGCCCGGAATTACCTGTAAACGGCCACCTTTCATACCCTAAATTTTCCAGATCCGTACTTCTTGCTGATGTGCGGAAAGTAGGCTGCATACGGTTTTTCCCCCCACGTTTTTCTCCATTTATTTTTCTTTCAATAATTCGCCGACACGTTAAAAATCCTAGATACGAAAAAATGGTTAAATATAACTTTTCCAGCACGCCGATGGCGCCCTGTGGCGTCTGTGGAGATGCTCGAGGCGTCACGAAATGTTATGGAGGCCAGGTTTGCGGGTGGGTACTGCAGAAAGAGTAGTACCGTATAGTACACCTAAAAAATACAGAATTTACACTTCACTGTGTATTCCACGGCATCCTAATCCCCCTAAACCACCGTTTCCAGCTCGTGCCGCATCTTCTTCCTGCGCGCCGTCGTCAACAACGAGAAGTATGTGTGCGCCAGGGAGCGGAACTGCGTGATTGTTTGCGGTAGGGCCAGAACAACTTTAGGATCTGAGATTTAGAAAAATGGGCCAAAAACTGTCGAGCCTGTCGATATGCACGATGTCTGGATTGTCATATGGACCCGACGAGTGTGGGGAACGTGAAGCGGGCAAAAGTACGATTTCGAAGCATACGCCTAAGCCGAAGCCGAAGCTTCATAAGCCCAATCCTAAACCTAGCCTAGGCCTAAGCCTAAGCCTATGTCTACGCCTTTTTAGAAACTCCGCATGCTCGCCGCCGGGACCACAAAACCGCAGGGCGGAGCGGAAATCACACCAGACGGTCCGCAACAAACATCCTTTCCTGGCTACATGAGGGTCAAGGATGAGGTAATAATATCAGGTTTAAAGATGCAGTATTTTTGAGGTCTTTTCCCCTCCATCCATCCCCAATTCCGATAGCCCGCCACCCGAGTTGCCAGACATTCCGATGCAACCCGTCCAGACACTAGTGCCGATAGTTGGAGCTTATGGTAGGTGAAAGAAACTATAAAAAAAAATTAATTACCAATACGAAAAACAAAACAAATGAAGAGGACGTCTACCTAAAGACCCGCTTGTAGCTGAAGCCTCGAAAACGCAGCGCTACTTCGCATACGAGTTCTTTTTTGACTTTTCACGCGCTAGAAGCCTTTTTAAAATTCTCAATCAAGTTATCTAAGGCTGGAATTACCGGATGCTATGCTTTTTTGAACCCTTTTTAAGCTTTCAAAACGAAAAACTGCCGATTTTCGACTTTCGCCATTTTTCAGCTCAACCCACCATCCCGACTCCCATCGTGGCCATGCACCAAGCGCTCCAAGACGCTCCAGAATTTCGCACCTCGCTCCATCGTCTAAATGACACCTCGCAAAACCACCTTGACACCCTACGACTGCCAATCTGCCCGGCCTACCCCTCTTTCGCTGACAATCGACCCCCAATGCTTCCGATTCTAAACCTCAACCTGAATCGGACTACGGTACCATCAGCTTTACTGTTTTAATATCCTCAAATTCTTCAGGACTTTCTCGGAAACACGTACGCTATCGGCTTGTCATTTGTGGAACTTCTAAAGAGCGAGCTGGGCAGCGCTAGGGCGTACGCGAACGCGCTGCTGGCGCTGGAGCAGTAAGTTGAGCTAGGAATCCTTTGGAAATACAGCATTGAAGGCTTTGAGAACATTAAAAAAACTGTAGCTAATATCTTCAGTATTCTCAGATTTTTAGTATGTCCTTCGGGCAAACCGGATGGATAACGCCGAAACCGAACCCAATCATTGACGAGACGATGGAACGGGATTCGATTGTCGATGTAACGAATCCACCTGTAGGTTTAAAAAGCGCTCCTTAACTCCTGCTCTTATTTATTTTCCAACTTCTTTTGATATCATAAAAACGAGCGAAGATAGAGTACTTTTTCATACTTTTTACTTTTTAATTAAACTTCCCCTTTCAGCCAAACCTGCCGATCCTACCTCCCTTCAATCTGCGGCCCAGCTCGAGCAAAACTCGCGAAATCTCGGTCGCCGATTTACCAAGCACTTCTCGTGAGGTCGGCCTGTCATTTCTAAACCCAGAGATATCTCTTCGAATGGCATTGACAGACCCGCAACAAATCTGCGAACGAATACCGGTGAGGGAAACACATATTCTAGTTACTAGCGAGAGAAAGCCCTTCCAAGCCAATTCCAGATGAACTGGCAGCAGATCCAGGAGGCGCCAAACCTTGACGATTCCTTTCGATTTTTATACTGCAGACAAACGGTCCATTACATCGATTGGCTGAATGCGCTCGGCGGGATTCAGGATTTATCACAACGGGATAAGGTTTGAATAGCAATCGATCTTATTAATGTGTAGGAATGCCGATATCTAAAAAACTCTAAGCTTTTGAAGCCAAAAGCAAGCTCTTTTCCAGCTCCTCCTCATCAGCGGCGGCCTATCACATGTCCAAATTCTGATGATGTACTACCAAACGTATTGCCAGGATAGTCGCGGGATAGCTTATTCACTTGGCTATCACTATGCTGTTCGAGGGCCCGGAGGGACAGAGTAGAACTAAAAGAAATTTCCTTCCATTTGCGTTCTAGACTTGAAAACTTTTTGGATGCACTGGCGATCCACGGCCACGAGTTGGTCATCTCCGAGTTTCGGAGGCTGGACATCAAGCCCGAGGAATACATATTGCTGAAAGCGCTCGTCCTCTATGCGTCAGTGCACGAGCTGAGCGATGAGGGCAAGGAGATTGTCCGCAAGGCCAGGCAGCAGCATGAACAGGCGAGTCAAAAGTCACCCAAAAAGCTAAATAAATTGCAGACCCTCATCCAGTTCGTAAAAGAAGAATATCCCCTTCTGACTGAAGAGCAGCGAACGCTACGCGTTCACAGCATTATGTCGATCAAAAACTCGCTACGGGTTTGCGACCAAAATGACAAACTATGACATTTTTAGACCATTGGCCTCATGGACAATCGATTCATCGGGCGCATGGTTGCCCTGAACATCGGACGAATGCGCTGTCAAATTGCGTACGATGTACATTTGAAAGAATTCTGACACCCCAGCTGAATAAAGACTTTATCCGTAATGGCAGACCGATGAGATCAAACGAAAGAAAATACATACATTGTCTGTTTATGGTTCCATAATTTCTTCTGCTGGGGCTGCTTCCGGCTCGGCGGTGTCTTCCTTCTCATTCTTCTCTTGGCTCTCCTCGTGATCATCCTTCTCGTCCCCGCCGCCACTCTTGCCGAACAGCGCCTCGTCGTCCTCTAAAAAAAACGCGTACTTGATGCTTCCCTACTAAAATCTACCTTCCAAAAATGACTGCATCGTCTTGAGCATCTCGTCCAGATTTAGAAGTTGAGTGCGCCGTTCTTCCAACTAAAACAAAGAGTCGAAGCTTCAGATGATCTCTACCTTGCTTTGCAAAAGATCCTGTCGCAAGCGTAGTCTCTCCAGCTCTGCGTTGATGTCATCTAGCTTCCTAAAAAATTGAAATGACAATAAAATAAACGAATACTTGTTGGTCTCTGCCCTACTCGGGAGCTCTTCAACCTTCTGGCCAAGGGCGTCATATTCTTGCTTGTTCTTCCGGATCACACGAGCCTCTCCTAACCGCACCTGTGCTTCTTTCATGGCTTGTTTGCTTTCCGCAATCTACAAAACAGCAATCTCAAAATTCATGAAAAATATACCTGATCATCGACAGCTTGAAGAAGCTCCTTGTAATTCTGTATCTCCTTGAAGCAGACTTTGGCAACCAACGCTTGTTTACGCATGAACACCGTGAGATTGTCAATCTAAGAAAAATGAAAAGAAAGCGAGAGATAATACCTCTTTTAGAGCATTCTCCGCGGCCACTGTAGTTATATCTTCAGCCGTTCTCAGCGTTTTCAGTTGGGCGACAATTCTTGGAAACCGCTTGTCCTCCAACGTTCCGTCATCGATTTGCACTTTGCGAAGTATAGCCGCATCCCGACGATTCATACCTGAAAAACGAGTTTATATCAAAGCCAAAAAAGGAGCCGAACAATTGAAAACGACGAAACTAGCACTACCCTACACATTCATCATAAATGTTAATTTAGAGACATCAACACAGAAGAAAGGCCTAATGAACCATAAATCAGCTTCTTGGGTTTCCTTAATCGTGGTCCGGGGGAATGTTTACATTCTTCGTTATTTCCAGGAAAGCTAATTGATCCGCGTACTGTCGTCGGTCCAGAGATAGCAGCAGAGGAAATCCTTTCACGAACACTGTGGCAAGTGGCAACCACACTTTCTTCATTTCCGGGGCAATCGCCGCATCCACGACATCTTCTGGCTTGAAACGAAGTGCGCGCTTTCGCAGGAAAAAGTCGTAGTGAATCGTGGTGACGATCTTCTCCTTTTCGTTGTAATGCACTTCGATCGGGAAACGCTTGGCCAAGAAATGTAGCAAAAATGGAGTAAACGACAGTAGCACTAGAAAGCCGTTCGCCACGATGGCGAGGGCCATAGTCGCCGGCCTTTCTTGAGCAGCCTCCCATAGATACGAGGACAGCACGGGCAACATCGCAGCTCCAACGACCGATGAAGCCAGGGATAAACTCTTCGCGAAGAGTACTCCTCTCGATATCAGTTCGTGAGGCGTCTTCGTAGAGCCGGGCGGCAAATTCTTGCTAGTCCAGAGGATCGACGGGCCGAGTTCGGCATCACTCAACGACGAAAGCGGCTGCAGCGAAGCCGACGTCGATGCAAATTTCACCAAGCGCCGGGAACAAAGCTTCAGCAGAAGCCCAGATGCCCGTGTTCCTCTTGTACATATCCCCAATGCAAACATCTAAAACCTAGTGTTTTGTGTTGCTGCAAGCTTTGCCAAATAACGGATTCGATACAGTTTATTGAAAACGGTCAAAACGTTACAACAAAACAATTTATCGATAGTCAACAGATTTAGGCGGTGGACTCGGTCTTCGGGTGTCTCTTGTTATGCTTCTTGGCGTAGCGCAGGTTCTTCAGGAACTTGGGGTCGACTCCCTGCATGGACATGTATCTTTGCTTCCTCGGCCGCTTGATGCCATTGCGGTGAGCCTTCTTATCTAAAAAAGGGAGATAAATGAAATTATGGCAAAGAAAATAAAAAATAAAAGGCCAAAACGTACTCTGGTTGTGATTGGTGTGGTTCTTTGACTTGGCCATTGCGCTGGAAGTTTCTTACCTGAAAAAAAGGTTAGTATTGTTATAAAAATTATAAAAGACATGGAAAACATAATATTTAGTACAATTGGGGGAGAAAACGGGCATAGGGACGTTGTAAAAGCCATTTTCGGGAGAGAAACCAAAAGAAAATGGGTGTTCTAGCCGCCGATGCGCTATTTTTGGCCGCGGGTTACGGTCGGTAGTCCACGCTATAAGGGTGCGCAGCGTAATTGTAGTCTGCACTCGGCGCTGGAAAATTTTTGGAAAAGTAAAAATTACTTTGAAAATTATTTATTTTTGTAAAGAAAATGAATAGCAGCAGCGAGGGACGATTTGTCGCACCAGGTAGGCTTTAACTTGAAGCTTTGAATCTGCTTTAATACGCGAAAATGACCCTGTTTCAGGCGAGGTGGTGGTCGATCTACATGAAAAAAGCGACCACGTCCCTGGAAAAGGATGTTACTTGCTCAACAACCAAATTCGAGCCTCCGTCATCGGATACGTGCATGTAAAGGAGCAGAAAGAGGTGTGTTTGGTGTTTTTGGATTAAGATCTGCCCTAGGGTGACCGTGTGACGAATGTGGTGGAAATTCAAATCAGCGAGTTTGTCGACGATGCATTAATGCCTGAAGAGGGACGAGTGGTCACAGCAATGTAAACAGATCTTTTTTATAATTTTTTTTCTTAGTGTGTCTGACATTGGACCACAATGGGCGCAATGTCATCTTCTATCAATGGAGGACCGGAGAATAGACAAGGACTTTGAGTACAGGCTGCCGAAGAACAATATGAGGGACACGCTTTTTGCTTCAGAGGTATCGCTTTGAGAGGTATCTTGAAATGCTATTTTTTTCAGATTGAAGTGCTCGATTGCGTACAGCCGGGCGATATCATCCTGGCCAGGATCGTGGATTATTCCTTCCGGCAACGAGCCTATGTGCTAACAATTGCAGAAGAAGAGCTTGGAGTGGTGAGCTAATTTCTGTAAATCTAAATCAAAACGAATATTGGGAACTATAACTATTTTCTCATTCAGGTTTACGCACAGGGCGTCAAGTCAAGACTACGTCCGCTCGACTTCGAAACTGTCATCGATGACCGCACAGGCGTCAAGGAGAAGCGAAAGGTGGCAAAGGTAAAAATTCGGATCTTGATAATATTATTAGATTCCTGAAATTGTCAATTTTCAGTGTAAAAATACGATTTTTATCTTTTTTTTTTTCAGGTTCCGATGTACTTGAACGCGTCGCTGTTCGATCAACTTACCACGGCAAAAGACAAACTTATAAAAGAAGAACCACAAGAGGCCAGCGATGCCTAATATCTCTTTTGTTCAGTTGTTTACGGGTTCCCTTTTCTGCGTTTTTCTTGGAGCCCCCAAACCCGCCTTTTGTTTCCGGGGCTCTGTTTGTTATTGTTGACCTTGATATTGTTATCTTCAGATCCTTGGATCTTTGACTTTGCAAACGATAAAGTGTTCATTCAATTTTCCCCGGCTAACTTTGACTTGCAAGGGCTATCAATTCCTGAAATTTCTAGATGCTACTAAATTATCTCAATCTAAGAAATGGCTTTAGTCATGTGATGACCCAAATCACGGAAGGTTCGGCAGTATCGCCGACAAGTAAGATTTTCATGATTATTGAATTTTTCCTTTTTTAGACGGCGCTAATGATGAGCCCTCGTCAAAGAGGAAAGTGGCCCACTGCTTCGATCAGGGATATATCGGTTTGGCTGTGGTAAAAATTCTTCTAATTTTTCTTTCCAGACCAAGTCCGGACGGCCAATGTGATCGTGATGGTCGGGTTGCCGGCCCGGGGCAAGACCTACATCTCCAAGAAGCTCTGCCGGTATCTCAAATGGATTGGCATTAAGACCAGAGGTACTTTGAAGCTGGAATGCATAACTTGTGTAGTTTCCAGTATTCAATGTCGGCGAGTATCGAAGAACTGAGGCTGGGGCTTCTGATGCTGTACACGGTGCCAACGCCAACTTTTTCTCACCCGACAACGCAGAAGCGCAGAGGATTCGAGCGTAATTTAGTAAAATTAGCACTGAAATTTATTTATTTAGTGAATGCGCACGCCGGGCACTGGAAGACATGGCGGTGTACCTGGGGGCCGGGGGTGGAAACGTGGCCGTTTTCGATGCAACTAATACCACTCGAATGAGGCGTTCGACCGTTGTCGAGTTTTGCGAGGGCAAAGGGTACGAAATCGCTGAGATGAGAAGGTATTTTTAATTTTACAGTTTCCGCTGCTTCTTCATCGAAAGTCTGTGCGACGATCAGAAGATTATCGACTCTAATATTACGGACGTTAAGGTAACATTTAACAAGTAGTTTTGAAAATTTTCTTAGATCAATTCGCCCGATTACAAGGGTCTGATGACGGCCGACCAGGCGAAGGAGGACTTCGAGAAGCGCATCGAGAACTACAAGGCGCAGTACGAGCCAATGTGCGAGAATGTCGATAGTAATTTGTCGTTTATTCGAGTGAGTGGTTAAAAATTTCCAGAAATCACCAAAATCATTGAAAAAAGTTTCAAAATGACATTTTCAGGTGATCAACGCCGGCAAGTCGTTCTTCGTGCACAACGTCATGGGCCACGTCCAATCCCGAGTCGTGTATTTCCTGATGAACATCCACCTGCTCCCGAGAAGCATTTATTTGACGAGGGTGTGTAATTTTTTTATTGGAATCGATAAATCAAATTTTTCAGCACGGTCAATCCGAGTACAACGAGATGAACCGGATGGGCGGGGACTCGCCGCTCACTGAGGACGGCCGGCGGTACGCGAAGGCTCTGGGAGAATTCTTTGATCACGAGCACATTGGGGAGCTGCGAATTTGGTGCAGCCAAAAGGTATGCAGAATAAACGTAAACTTTTCGCGACTTGAGAAAGTACGTGAAAAATTGTTAAAACTGTGAAGCAAAAATTAATCGTTAAATTGTGCAAATTCAACGTAACTTTTCCATTTCAGATCCGCGCCGCGCAAACGGCTAACCAAATCGCCTCCCACGCGGCCAACATCGAGTACTGGAAAGCGCTTGACGAGATTGACGCCGGGATTTGTGAGGGGTTGACGTACATTGACATTGCGCAAAGGTGAGTAGAAACACCCCGTGATTTTTTTTTGCTATAAAAAACAATTGAAAACGGTTTTAGATACCCAAAACAAACGGAAGACCGTACCCGCGACAAATATCACTACCGCTACCCCTCCGGCGAGAGCTACGAGGATGTCGTCTCCAGACTCGAGCCCGTCATCATGGAGTTGGAGCGGCAGGCACGAAAAACTTACTTGATTTAACGACTCTCTATTACAGACTAACGTCATCGTGGTCGCCCATCAAGCCATCCTCCGCTGCATCCTCGGCTACTTCTACGATCGTCCGCTGATGGAAATACCGTACCTCGACACCCCGCTCCACTCACTCGTCAAGCTGACGCCTCGCGCCTACCATTGCGACTCGACGGTCTATCAGTTTGACGTGGAAACCGGAAAGGTAACTATGCTAATTTTTTAGTGATTTCGCAAAATTGGGGAATCCCTTTTTTTAATTACGAGTCCAGATACGCCCGGTAATCATCGTCTAAAATAATTTTTTTCTGCGACCCCATGAATTAAGAAAGACCGCATCATTATCAAAAAAGCAATTTCAGTGGACCGAACAACACCGCCAGCTTGCCCTCTGCGACAGCCCGATCTAGATGTAGTTGCCTGCCAAGTTTTTTCTTGTTTCTGTCACGTGTGATTGCCCGTTGTATGCATTTTCTATTCCCCAAGACACTAGTCAATACGATTTATTCGCAATCCACACATGTCTTTGTATCTTTTTCTTTTGGCGCTGATCGCTAATTTCGACATCGGCTTTTTAATAAATGAGTGCCACTTCTCATTCGGCCGGACAGGGTCTCGTCTCGACCACGTAGGTGCCGACCACGTCATCATAGTGCGAGTGGGACGCATGGTTGTAGGAGAATCGAAAATTGAAAGTTCGTTGCTAGCCGTGGTTCTAGAAAACTTGATCAAGTAACACCAACTTGAAGCAAGCCTGCCACTCGTCGGCCAGCACAAATCCTTTTGAACTGCTCCCAAAGTCAGTCGGGATGCCGATCGACGGGTAGACGACCTAAAAATCAGCTGCTTTTTGGAGACTGCCCGACCTGCTCGAAAAAGTCCTGCAGATGGGCAAATTTTGGGCTGGCCGCCCGGTTGATGGTGCCGCAATCCGTCTCGATGTACGCGTCCAAAATCATCGACATCACCAGCGAGCTGAAGGAGTTCAGAGATCAGCTTCATCCTTGAACAATCCATACCTGTACAGCCTCACCGACGCCGTGCCCTCGCTGGCCAGCTTCAGCAGCGTGGCGAGATGCTTCATCCAGCTAAAAGCACGATATTTTTGTAGGTTATCGCCCGGCGTACTCTGTGGAGTCGTTGCTGTCGTTGTTCTCGTTGTTCTCCTTCTTTCCGGCGCTGAACTGGAGCACGCAGTGGCCTGGAGAACCGAGAAGTTCAGCAAGTTTTTACGGAACATACCTTCACGTCTTTGAAAGGGCTGTCCTCGACGGCACTTGGTCCAGGGTTCCCAGCGGAAGGCGAGGGCGAAGTTGGTCTGAAGAACATATATCTTGCTCTTTCTCTCTCTCTCTCTTTCTCTCTCTCTCTCTCTCTCTCTCTCTCTCTCTCCATCTCTCCCTCTCTCTCTACCCACCATAAAGCGATCCCGAAATTTCAGATCCACCGGCTTCTCGGGTACTTTTCGGAGCACCAACCGTTCTCGCGGATCGTCAGTCTTCCCGCCTTCTTCGTAAATCTTGCCCAAAGCGTCCTGAAAACATGGTACTGGGTTGTTAGCGGGGGAGGGGATTTCTCTCCCCCTGTTTGTCTGTCCGTCTCTCTCCCCCTTTCTCTCTCTCTCACCATCCATCCCTGGCATCGTCGATCTCCCGGAAAACACAACGGCGCGTTGGGCGGGCGGTAGATGACTGGCCGCCAATTGAATTGCCACTTGGTGTCGGGGTACATCTTCGTCGCCGTGGCGTCCAAGCATGGCGGGTCCGTATCGCCATTTGCGCACGTGAAACGCGACGTTTCCTTGTACACTGAGCAGTGCATTCTGCCTAAAAAGAAAATGTTTCAGTCCAGCCCTAAGCCTAAGCCAAAGCCCAAGTTCAAGCCCAAGCCTAAGCCTAAAACCAATAACCCACCCATATCCCTGTGCGGATTCTCGCGCTCCAGATACCCGTCAATCTTCTCCATCTGGTGAACGCCGTTGATCGGCGTCATGGCGTGCAACACGTAGAAGTAGCGGACCTACAGTAAGCTGCTTAGCAGATAATTCATGCTCAACATACCGTACTCAACGCCACCCGATCGTAGCACAGGTAGACGCCGGCGTCCCTTGGCGATGCCTAGAGGAATTTGAAGATGAGTTAAGCCTAGCCTAAGCCAAGCCTAAGCCTAAGCATAAGTTCACGCCAAGCCTAAGCCTAAGCCAAGCCAAAACCTAACCAGAAACCTACTTGATGAATGTGCAGATTCTCGCCGTGCTGCTCGAAGATGCGGCCCGGCAAGGCGCCGGGGTAACGGTCTTCCCACAGGTTTGAATATTGGCTTAAAAAATGGAATTACAAGGCTTTCCAAACAACAGATTTTCCTCTAACAAATAATGATATGCGAAAAAGAGTAGAAAGCAGGAAAAAAATACTGCAAAACGATAGACCCACGCTGCGCCGGGCATCTCCCAAGCGTTCTCCTCGGACTGGTCTATGAAGTCTGCAGTTATTCGGTCGACCAGGCGGTCGTTGCCTTCAAAGTGTTCCTTGTCGAGCCGCTGTAAAAATCTCTCTCTCGCTCTCTCTCTCTCTCTCTCTCTCGCTCACTCTCTTACCTACCATTTTGGCCATAAACGCTTGAAAAAATGTGATGGCGTCAGGGCTGTAGCCCCAGTGCATCACGTTGCCGTTGGTGTCGAGGCCTCTAGAAAATCACGAATTCTGAAGGGAGGGTGACAGCAAGGTAAAAGAGACAGAGTGAGAGAGAGCGGGTGAGAGAAAGCGAGTGACAGAAAGCGATAGAGAGAGTGAACGAGAAAGCGAGAGATAGGTACAGATCCCAAGCCCAACACCGTACTTCTTGCAAACGCGGCAAACCAGGCTGACCTGCTGCCCGGGCCAGAAGTAGACGTGCTCGACCTATATTAACGTTTATAACAAGGAATCTGGCAGTTTAAAGGATTTGGGAAGCGAGTTGGTTAGATCCAATCAAGTCGGGGTCGATTTCCACGCTCCCTGAGATTTTTAAGCCCCAAAACCTTGCCTTATACGGTTCCCCATCGGTCGTGCAGGCTGTCGGCCGCGACCAAGTCATGTATTGATGCAAATAGCTGCAAAGCAATAGAGATTTATGCAAATTCTGCGAATTTTTCAGCACCGGTAGATGCGCACATTGTCCGTCTTTGTCTTCTCCCACCCGTCCTTCCAGGGAACCTGAAAATTCCCAACTCAGATTAAAAAAACCTTATTGATAAAGGAAATAGTGAGTCCAAAAAATTCCTAACCATCGGTATGTAGGGATCAAGCTCAAAGATCCCCGCCACTTGCGAGAACTAAAAATTACGTTCAAAAAATTCAAGGGAAGAGGAATACCAAATGAAAACTGAGCAACCAGAGGAGCATCACCTCTTCGAGATCTGGAAGAGAGTTTGCGTTTTTAGTTCGTTGTAATTAGACAGAAATCAAATAAGTATATTTATTCAAATTGACGGATATGCAAATTGTATTAATGCCAATTTTCGGCTTCGGTGTCTCCGGAGTTGATAGGAGAGTTTTTATTGTTCTGGCGAGGACGGCGGCCTAAAATCGATAGTTCGCAGCCTACGCCTAAGCCTAAGCCTAAGCCTAAGCCTAAGCCTAAGCCTAAGCCTAAGCCTAAGCCTAAGCCTAAGCCTAAGCCTAAGCCTAAGCCTAAGCCTAAGCCTAAGCCTAAGCCTAAGCCTAAGCCTAAGCCTAAGCCTAAGCCTAAGCCTAAGCCTAAGCCTAAGCCTAAGCCTAAGCCTAAGCCTAAGCCTAAGCCTAAGCCTAAGCCTAAGCCTAAGCCTAAGCCTAAGCCTAAGCCTAAGCCTAAGCCTAAGCCTAACCCCGGGGCAATCGTTGCCAAATCAAGGGAAACCCATAGGACCCCCTCCACACTGGTGGGCCAGATGAGGGGCGAGTGGGGAGCATGGAAGGATCCGAAACAATATTTTTGGCTCTATATTTTTCTTTTTTAATTTTAAGACTCCCATAATTATAAAAATGACAAATAGACTACCGTAATTTGGGGCTAAAATTTGTAAATTTTTAAACCTGCGACTAAGCATAAGTCGAACTAACTTGTAACGTTCTGTCGCCACCTCCGATACACCGCCAGTGCGAATATCATCGTCCCTTGACTTCCGTTGACTACTGTGAACAAGTAGTGGTAGGCAGTGATTCCTGGGGAGAATATTGCCAGGTATTGCAGGATCTGAAAAACGGCTTCTAGAACTTCAGGGCATTTTAGCAGAGATGCATGGGGAAATGGAACCCACCCAGGGCATTCCGAGGGTCAGTTGCATCAGTAAGAGCGTGACCACCCGCTGCTTGACGTGGGCTCGCGTCAGTCGGACCTGAAAGGAGTTTTTGGAGAGAGAGAGAGAGAGAGAGAGAGAGAGAGAGAGATAGAGAGAGAGAGGGGGAGAGAGAAAGCAAGAAAGAGTAGGACCCCACCTCAGCTGCCGATTCCCCGGTGTAGAACAGCTTCCGGGCCACAAAAATTGTACAAGCTATCCCGTTTAGTAGCAACAATGATAGTGGGATGACGATGGCGAACGCAATCATGTCGTGCCGCACCCAGCAGCTGAACAAGTCCTTTAAGATTTCGAAATCTCGTAAAATAATTAGCCCTAGTTTGAAACTTCCGAAAAAATTAGAAGACAGCTCACAAATTATCCTGGCGTTGATAAAAATAGGTGAAGAAGTACAGCAACGTCGCCAAGATGACGGGGATACCTGAAGTTATTTAAAGTTGCTGGAGAGCTTTGATCATCTACCAAACGAGACAATAAACGCCACAAGCGGCCTGCTGACGTTGCTGACCATGATGGAGATCATTTCCCGATCGCTGTGGAAATTCTTGACAACATTGGCGGATTGGATCATGGTGAGGATGATGCAGCTAGAAATAGCGTGGTTGCGAGAGAGAAAGAGAGAGAGAGAGAGAGAGAGAGAGAGAAATAGAGAGCGAGAGGGGAAATAGAGTATCCCAACTGCTCCAACCTGATAAACAATGTGTAGCTGATCGCGGCGAACTCCTCACAAAACCTGCCGGCGACCGTTTTGTTGGAGAAAATCGTGAAAATCAAGTAGAAGAGGCACAACGTGACGATATACAAAAATTGTAGAGTTGAACGCTGGACTCGCTTCCCGACAATTCTGCGTGCCAGCCAGTGGCGACGGACTTGTGGTAGGGTGGCGCTGAGGCTAAATGAACGCTTTGAAGGACTCTGAGGAACTCGAACGTTTGAGTTAAAAGCGGTAGTTTTGTGCATTAATGATAGCTAACCAACTTGGCCAAGCCGAAGACGACGATAAGCAAGAAAAGGCAGGCGATGGAAGAGATATTGATGACTCTTCCCATCCACATGAGCATCAGGTCACAGACGAGCGGGTCATCCACATGGCCGTCCTAACGGAACATTTTTAAAGGAACGAGGAAGTCTAAGGTCAAGGAGCTAACGATAATCAACACCTTCTAACGGTTTTCCCGGTTTTAAAGGTACTCGTACGACAAATCTTCACACTACAGGTAGCTGATACGTCTCTGCCTTTGTTAGCCATTAAAGACTTACAATCAACAACGTAAAATCCGTCAGATGCTCGCATTCGGCCGTGATCTTGCCGGCCTTGTTGCTGATGATGCGGCACATGTCGTGGCTAGCCCACCGCACCTGGTCCCACCACGAAATTTCGTAGCGTCCGTGGAAGGGATGGACGTACTGGAAATGGTGGTATAAAGCGAGACAGAGAGAGCCAGCGGCCGAGAGAGAGAGAGAGCGAGAGAGAGAGAGCGAGAGAGAGCGAGAGAGTGAGAGAGATAGAGAGAGGAGAGACAGAGAGCGCGACTCACCTTCGAAGTATCCACAGTAATCCGCGCAGTAACTTTTGAAGTCGATGCTTCGGCAGCTCTTGTGATGTATCGGATAGTGTTATTCTCGTGTTTTTGCATAGCCGTCGCCGAAAATATGTGGCCGTTATCTAAAAATGACGGATTTAGAAGCTTATTTGTAGGCTTAGGGTTAGGCTTAGGATCAGGTTCAGGCTTAGGCTTTGGGTTGAGGCTTAGGCTCAGAAAAAAGCTTTGGCTTAAGCGTTGTTATAGTATCTTTTAAAGCACCTTGCATGAAAAGCTGCCGATCACAGGGATGCGGCGCCGCCGGTGGGTCGAAAAGCATGCCGGTCTTGTTCAGCGGTCTCTACAACTTTTAACGTATTTTTGTGTATTTTGAAAAGGAACGGAAAAGGCCGGAAAATCCACCTCATCGTCATCGTCATCATCTAGATCAGCTTCAGAAGCTTTGCCCTTTAACGAGGTCTTGATTTTATTATACGTTTGCCCGACGAATAGCTTCCGGTTCCGGTGGATCGAGACGACGGCGTGAGTGGCTAAAATTAAGAAAAGAAGGTTAGAATTGAATGTTTCAGCGTTGTAATAACACTAGAAATTTCCTTACCTCCGGAATTACACAGAAAACTCGACGGCAACTCTACAGAAGCATCAGAAGACGACGAACCACTATCCGGAACTTCGTCGAATTTTCCGTCTGAATTTTGGAAATCAGATTTTTAGTAATGCAAGACTTTTAAAAAAATCCGAACCTGTGCTTGCGACCTTCAGATTTCCACAGTACCCATCGGCTAGCAGTCGTGTTGCCAGGCCGATGTTTTGGCCGGTATTGAAGTTTATCTCCACTGGAGAGGCGACGACGATTTTTTCGAGTGATGACGTCAGGCTGAATTTATTTGTTTTGCTCTCGCTGGCTCTCTCTCTCTCTCTCTCTCTCTCTCTCTCTCTAGCTCTCTGTCTCTCTAGCTATCTGTCTTTCCCCTACCGATTGCCAGCGTTATTTTCCGGTCCTTGTTCCCTCAAACTCGTCACAAATTCCGCTTCCTTAGCGTTCATCAACCCGTCAAGATTGTGTAGGGCCAGGTGAGGGACCTGGAATCGTCGAGATATCTCGCTCACTCACTCACTCACTCACTCACTCACTCTCTCTCTCTCTCTCTCACTCTCTCTCTATCTGTCACCTACATTATGCGGCAAAACATTCCACTTGGTGCAGCTCTCAAAGATACTGGCAATCAGGTGCAGATCGTCGGCCACCAGCTGCGCCCCCTTTGCTAGCAGCAATTTTTAGAAACTAAGAGCATACTTGTAAATTCCAGCGTCAAATTCAAGATGATCGGCATGTTGTCGTAGGTCATCTGGATCTGAAAACCAACATTTTTGCGGTCGCTGCCTATCTCGAAGATGTTCAAGATGCCGAACTGCTCGAACTTGCCCTACAGCTAGAGTCGCAGTCATTAATGCATCAAATCACTTACATCTGACAAATTCTTGAGGGTATATTGACAATCGGTGCACAGTGTCGGCTCTGGAGACGTCGTTAGAAGTGACGTTGCCGTAGTTTCCAGGCTCGTTGTACTTGTTGCTGGCGTGCTCGTAGATCCCGGGGTAGTAGATGGCGTCTCTGCACTCGTATTTTCCGGAGGTGCGCTTGTACTTGTCGACAACGTCGGGCTCGTGGTGGAGGTCGTTGAGTAAGTTGTACTTGTTGTAGTCATCGTTGTGCATGTTGTAGTAGTAGTAGTCGTCGTCGTACTCCTCGTAGACGGCTTGGTAGGTACAGTAGTGGTTGCAGTCGTGCTGTTTGTTGGCGACGTCGGCTGCGACGTATCTCCTTGTGTCGATTGGATAAAGTCTGTCGGCACTGGAGTAGATGCACTAAAACAGGCTGATTTAAAAAAAACCAGCCGTCCAAATCTCATTAAAAAAGAAACTGCTGATGGTAGATGCTCACCAACTGTAATGTGCGATGTCGCAAACCCTTTTGTTGAGGCGTTTGGGGCAGACTTCAACGACTTGGTAGGGTAAGTTTTGTCCCGATTGGCAGTTGAGGCGGTGCTGGCATTCGGAGCTGATGGTGATGTTCTCCTGGAACTACGGTAATAAAGTCAACGAAGAGAGTGCGAGAGAGAGAGAGAGTAAGAGAAAGAGAGTGAGAGCAAGAGAGCGAGAAGGTTTTAATAATTACCTCATCCGTATCCAATTTCCATAAAAAGTTCATCAACTGCGAGTTGTAGTATACGTCGATGGATTCGACCCCAGCGTAGCTGATTTTCAATTCTTGGTCCGGGTCGTAGGTTGCCGCGCAATAAGGGTTGCAACTAAACAAATATTTTTCCGAGATTGCAGCCGCAATGGAGTAAGCTTAAGCCTAAGCCCAAGCCTAAAACAGACCTTCCATCTCCGGTTGTCATGTTTCCATCTGCTCTGTCGCCACCCATCAACAGGGCGTAATAATAATTATAATAGAGATTCGGCTCCAGAATCAGGTAGTTGAACGCGGTGCCGAAAGAGGCTGTCGCTACGCACACCGTATACGTATTTACGTCCGTATTGTTCGGGGTTGGTTCCAGTTCGTGGCTAAAAATGTGCTAGACTAATTATGAGTGATTGAGTGGTAGCGCGTAAAAGAGCGAGAGAGAGGTAGAGAGAGAGAGAGAGAGAGAGAGCGAGCGAAAGCTCACCAAGCTTGTAATGCCAAACTCGCGCCCAAGCAAGTTGAAGCTGCCGCTCCGCCGACGCACACTTTCATCTCGTCGATGATCCCCCGAAAATCCTTCTGGTAGAATACCGATTCGTCGGTCTTGATGCTTTGCTCACAGCCCTAGAATGCAGCAATTCAAAGCGTCGAAGCTTCATAACGTCGAAATTTTGGCAAGTCAAAGCTCAACTTGACCAACCTCCATGGTGAAGTTGTACTTGCCGTCGCCGACCTTTTGGAAGGTGACGAGATCAAAAAACGCGTTATCGATCGAAACGGTTTGTTTTTCGCTGTTGAACCCGGTGCAGTTGGGCGAACATCTGGAAAGACTGTTTTAAGCCTCTAAGGCCGAATCATTCAGCTTTTCTGCTCTTCGAAATCCAGCAAAAATTTCGTTTATGCAGACGGATTAGGTTGTGAAACTACGCCCAAATTTTGGTTCTCGCGGTAGCTCCTCTTTCTCTCTCACTCTCTCCTCTCTCGCTCGCTCTCTCTTTCTCTCACTCTCCCCCATCGATTAATCTTTTAAAGAAGAAGGATACTTGCTTCTGCTTGTTGACGAAAATCGTATGCTGGGGTGCGGAATTTGTGAGTAGTATGTAAGTATCGCCGGTCAGGTCGAGCTCTAGTCTGTCGTAGAAGTCGGTATGATTTAGCGTGATGTAGTAGATGGCGTCGACACCTTGAAATCGGTTTAAATGTTCGCTTTGAAAGTTTAGAATTGCAAAAGCGATAAAATGCAGTCTTCTCTTTCATAAAATTCTCAAAAAACCTTTCAATTATTAAAAAAGTATTTTTAAAGTTAAAATAAAAAATTAATGAAAAGAAGTAGCCATTCAAGCAGATCAGATGTTTACCTCTCGCTACGCGGAAAAACAAGCAACAAAACAGAAGCAAGAACCGAATTTCCGGAATCATCCAAATAACAGGATCGGCTGGCACGAATTATTCCACTTTCCAGGGCAGGGAATGGTCAGAAAATGGTCAGTAATGTTGCAGACTTAACACGCCCAGGCGTGTAGTAATAATTCGAGTTTGCCACGCGGCGCTATCGGCCAACACCCGCCCGCTTCATGAATTAAGCCGTCTCAGCATAAATGGGAGGGACGGGGGAGGGGTTGATTCACACCTAGAGCCGATTAGGGCCATGGCTTCCAGGGAAGGGCCGGTGTACGGAGGTGTCGCCCGGAAATGTGAAGATCACAACGCGGAAAGAGAGACTGAGCGGGAGAATGAGAGGGAGAGAGCGAGCTAGAGAGAGATGGAATTTTCCAATCCTGATGACAATTGCTAATAAGACGCACCTTTTATTGGGCTTCAAAGGCGTAGTGCTAGGTTTTTGGCTCCTAAAGGAATTTAAAATTGCCCGCAACCGGAAATCAGGAATTAAAAAGCGCACACAGACGCCGATAATACAAAAATCAAGAAAGGCAAACCAGGTTTTGTAGTCACGGACCACAAACATTCATCGGAGCATCGCGTTCTCGGACGTTAGCATGCGCGGTGCTCCAACCGAACTATCGTCCTCCTTGCATAAACACTTTATCCATTCGTCGCTTTCATTTTACGGGTGCTAGTGGAAGCGAGCAGGGGACAGAGAGCGAGATACAGTGTACACGAGCGGGAGAAAGGAGAGAGAAACAGAGACGAAAAGAGACCGACCACATTTTAGAAATTTTGAAAAAGAGTACGAGGCTCAAGATAGAGACTAGGGAGCAAGAAAGAGGATAAGATAGAGAGAGAGAGAGAGAGAGAAAGCGAGAGAGAGAGAGAATGGTTAGTAAGGTTTTCACGATTGTGCTATGTTCAGCCTTGAAAAAGGCCTGTTCTCCAAAGCTATGTTACTCAGAATACGACTTGTTTCGCAACGCAACGAGCCGTTTTGTGCTCGTGTCCGTCCCCTCGAACTCACTCTTTGTTCCCCAAAAAACAACCCACTGCCCAAATTTCGCCACCCACCAACATCCTTGTGTTCTGATAAAGCCCAAACTCCGGAGCGTCAAAGCTCGGGCAAGCCATTTCGTAGCGCAGGGAGAGGCATCGAGAGAGAGAGAGAGAGAGAGAGAGAGAAAGAAAGAGAGAGAGCCAGAGAAAGGCTAGAGAGACCTAAAGAGTCGTAACTCGCTATCTGATCCAGGAAGTTCGGTGAGAAGGGCCGATGACTAGCTTGCCATTCGTTTTTTGGCTGCCACAAACAGCCATAATTCCGGGGGAAATTCCGGCTCGCGGGGTCGGCCCCCTAAAGGGTAATAACCGTGATCAGGGCCCTGATAAGCCAATTTTATATCCCGCGATCTCGGGCGATTCTCGCCTCATTCCGTCGTCTGTTCATTGACTTCGCCCACCCGGGCGCTGCTTTTCCGGATGGTTTCTGGGCTTGGAAATAGCTAGAATTCTTCAGGAATTCTTCAGGACTTTTTAACTAATTTCCCTTTGAAACCACAATCTTTGCAACTTTTCTAGTGCCGTTCTGGCCTTTTGTTCCGACTTCGACGTGCTGAATTGCGATTGTTACCGATTTTATAGCGATAAAGCGATCGATATTTTTAGCGATTCTAGTGTATTTTTCAATGCGGTATGCAATGGCGTCAAAAAAAATCCCGGAAAAATTACGAGAATGGCGACAATTTTGGCAATTCTCTAATATCCCACTTTCAACGCTCTTTTTGTAGCGTCTCCAGCCAAAAATGTATCGTCTGAATGTCGTGAAGCTTAAAAAATAGCCAACGTTTGCTATTTTCAAACGAAAAATCTTTTGTCTCGTTCGGAATCTGATTAAAATCGTATATTCAATTTCTTCGAATCAGTTTTTTGAATTTTTGATATCAGAAACTAAAAAAACGCGTGTTTTCCAGGGTATCCTAATAATGAACCGCTGGGTGGTTTGCCTGCTGCTGCTGCCGGCGCTCGTCTACGCAAAGTGCGGCACGCACACGACGTGCGGCGACTGCGCCGGGGCAAAGGATGGGCTCTTCAGCTGCATGTCAGTCAAATTTTGGCCTGGAAAACGATAAAACTGATCAGGGATCTTTCAGATAACCGGAAGCGCTCTGGTAGAGGCCAGATAGCGCTTCGCTCTATTTAAACGGAGCATGGGGAGCTACAAAAAATGTTTAGCACAAGATTTACCAAAGTTAATAGCGAAAAATTAAGATAATTAGTACATAAAATTCGACTTCGAACTTTTTAATATTTTTTCTAGCTGGTGCGCCGACGACAATGGCTGCGTCTCGAGCGTGCAGACGGACTGCGCGAAAACTGGCCAAATCAAGACTACCTATGATTGCCCGATGAAACCGCCGGCCGGATATGAGTACAACGAGACCCTGGCCCGAAATGTTGCTGTCTACGCCACCGCTGCTACGAACGGCGCCGACCGAGCTGGGGTAAGCAAATGAAGCCGAGCCTCAGCTTGAGCTTCAGTCAAGCCTAAGCCCAAGCGTAAGCCAAGTTTATGTCTAAGCCTAAGCTAAAATCAAGCCAAAGTCAAACCGAAGCCTACGCCGAGCTTTCTAAGTATACGCAAAAACCTAACCTAAGCGTTGATAATTTAAGCAACAGCTAAGCCTAAACCTACCCAAAGCCAAGCCTAGGCTAGGCTCAAGGAATCGGTTAATCATAGATTAAGCCCAACTCTAAGACAGGCTCAAAGGTCCGAGCTCTAAGATAAGCTTGGCATTAGCGAGTTGAAGTAAAAGTCAAAACCTAATCCTAACCCATGCTCACGTCCTGCCTAATGAAGTCCAGAAATTTTAGATCGACAGCTGCCTCTCAAAAATCTCTGCGGCCTCGACGCTGCAGGTCACCAAGCCGTGCGATGCTCAAGGGGTAGGTTTTCAAAGTGCTTATCATCAAGCCCCAATTCCAGGACTCGTGCTCCGGCTACCTCGGCTACAGCGCGCGTGAAAACCTCATCATCATGGCGTTCCGTGGGAGCAAGGATGCCGATCAGTTCCTCGACGAGGGCGTCGACTTCATCTTCAACAAGCTGACCACGATGCCGGTGATTGGAGGAAAAGTTGACAGGTTTGCGCTGACCTCATCGACGAGAACTTCGGCAAGTTCAGCTACTTCTACGACGCATTCATCGCCATCTATCCCGGCGACTTCGAGACGGAGCTAAAGAGGCTGCAACTGCTTTATAAGAATGCTGGACTATTGGTGGGAAAAAGTTTAAATTCTAATTATTTACAGTTTTTGCATAAAAATCTATCAATTTTGGAAGTAGTTATTAAATGTAATATTTTTTAAGCTGAGTTTAATTATTTAAAACCAAAACTCTCTAGGTAGTCGGTCACTCCCTTGGCGGCTCAATGGCTTCCATCGCCGCCGCCTACTCGGTGAAGAAGGGATACTTCACCAGCGAGCAGGTAAGCCTAATTATTTATCATATTAATAAACATTCCTTATTAAATTTTACCAGTTTAATATTAACATTATTAACTTACTAACTCGCCAATTCTAGGTCCGCCTCGTCACGTTCGGCGAGCCCAGAACGGGAGACATGGATTACGCGAAGGCTCACGATGCCGTCGTCAAGTACACGTACCGACTCGTTCACCAGCACGACCCGGTGCCCCACCTTCCGGCCAAATTCTTGGACAACCTATTCGACAACCCGTTCCATCACCGTTATGAGGTTGGGCTTAGCAAAAACCTATACACTGATATAATGACAAAATTTATTCAAAAGATTTAGTGATTTTTTTTTCTAAAATTTCGGATACGCCTAACAACGTAATAGCAAGCATTCTAATCGCCCTTTGTTATATAATTTGACCAATATCAAACGAAAAACTATTGAAAATTGGAAATCAAAAAAATTGAAAATTTTGAAAAGTTGCCCGGAAATCTGCTATTTCGATGCAAATTAACGCTTTTTTATATTTGCGGATAGCCAAAAAAAATTGTAGAAACAATACACTATTTAAAAAACATTGTAGAAACTGTAGAAGTTGTAGAAAGAAATTGTAGAAACAATACACTATTCCCTATCCTTAGCATATAATCGGTTAACAAGAATTTTTCCAGGTCTGGTACCAAAACGACATGAACCCCGGGGCCGCCTACACAGTGTGTGACCGTGCTGATGATGACGCCTGCTCCAACAGCGTCACAAACGTAAGTTTCTCGAAAAGAAATTGCTGCCTAAAATGACCAGCTTCATCTAGGAAAAGCATAAAAACCCTAACTCTTTCAGCAAAACATTCAAGACCACCTGCACTACTTCAACCACGACCTCAGCAACTGGGTGCAGACCGGATGCGCGTAATCGACACACAAACCTCAAAAAAACACTTCCAAAACTTGGGTGCCTAATAAACCGGTGTTTCCTTGTTGATCTGATGGTTCTTTAGACGTTTGGGGGGTTAATATTTATTGCAAGTACCAAATTGCTCAAACAAACAAAAATAAAAAATGCTGGTGTGTAAGGTCTATAATTACATGAAGTCGCGCTTGATGTACTTCCTGCAGATCCATTGTTTCTAAAAGAAAATAAGGTTACAAAATCGTCCCAAAGAATGGTACTCGAGCCTTAGCGGGGGGGGGTAGTTATTTTATATCGACCTAGTAAAATTGTTGCGCGAATAGTGTTTTATCACTTCTAAAAACCCGTCAGTTATCAAATTTGCAAATTCATAATTTTGGCGCAATTGAAAAAAGTAAAATTCATCTTCTTTGACCAAAATTTTAAAAATGTCGATAATTTTAATATTTTCATGAGATTTTTATAAGCAAGAACGGCTTCAAAATTCGCCCCCACCCGCTAACAGAGCTTAGTACCCCCGAAAAATCACCTTTAGTTCTCGGCTCGCGTCCGAGGTGGGCTTAGTGTCAGTGGCGGCCTTGGGCTCCCAGTACTGGTTGGCGCGCTCGTTGCCCATGTTGCTGGCGATCGACAGCTTGTCGACGCTAAAAAAAGGTATTTTAAAAAAACAGCACAAAATACCTGATGTTGTCGAGGCACAGGCTGCGCACCTTCGAGATGTGGGCGCCGAGCTCGCGGTGGATGGCGGCACACTCGATGCACAGCACGACGCCGAGGTTGAGGCTCACCTAAAGTTATTAAATTTTCGAAAAATGCGGTAGGTACCCAAGTCGGGTTGCTGCCCCCACAATCGGCGCACAGCTCGTTCCCCGGGCGCGAGAGGAGGGCGGAAACCTAAAAATAAAAAAGATATAGATAATCTAACAGGTTTTCAAAATTTATAATTCGAAGTGCCTAAAACGTGATTTCGAACACGCCGAAGTTCTAGAAAATCCCCAGAAAATCTCTCAAAATACCGCGTCCAAAATTCGATACCTGCGGGGTGGCCGAGGCGTCGTCCGACGTCGGCGACGTGGCCGGCGAGTTGGTCTGGCTAACTTCGCCGCGCGCGTTGGCCAGCGCTTGTGCGATTTGTCGTTCGATGGCCGCAATCCATTGCTCCTTTTCTTCGGGCGTCGAAGCGGCGAAGATCCAGTGCCGCTGGTCGTGGCTGATAATCTAAAAAAGAAATATAGGTTTCAAAGTCATCATAAAAATTAAAAAAATTAAATTTCCAACCTCAAAACAATCCGGCCGCTCTTCAGTCTTCCCGGCGCTGTCTTTCCTGACGACCTTCTTGGGCACGGAAATAAGCGGGATTGGTGGGGCACAGGATTGGCTGTCCTTTTTCTCGTTTTTGACATTAACGAGTTCTAAAAAGATTCGATGTTGAAATCAAGCAAAATCTTACGATTCAGATGCGGGGACGAGCCAGTCTTGGGCAGCACTCTATTTTGCAGGCGATCCGAGCGGCGCACCGTTGCCAAGCCGAGAAAGACTTCCTTCCCGGGTTTCAACTCGAAAAATGACTAAAAGAGATAATCTCGATTTAAAACAAGCTCGATACCTTCTGATTAGGGTAGTAGGCGAGGCGGCCGTCGTCAAATATGCAGACGAATTTGCGCTTCCACTCGCGGTTCAGCAGGTTCTTCTCGGCGCGTTTCCACAGGTAGGCCTGAAAAGAAGTAGAAATATACTACATAAAAGTACCTGCATAATCGGAATCGTCTGCCCTTGACCGAAATGTCGGTATTTTTCCAGGCTTTCTCGCCTCTAGAAATTCACGATGAAATAAAGGAAAAAATCATTTACCAAGACGCCCGAAATGCTGCGGTTTTTCCGTGTGGTTAGCGGGGTGAAGGGAGGGGCAACGGAACGAGAGTGCTGGTTGAGATGCGAAGTAGACGCCGAGATCCCGCCCGACTTCGACCGGAACGGCATGTGCATAGGGCTGAATAACTAAAAAAAGAAATACAAGTCCTTAGAAACTAGAAAATACCCCAAAGCTGAATTTGCGATGATCCGAGCGTGGCGTTTCGGGGCGCAGCGAGTAGATGCATCGTTGGTTGATGGCTTTTCGAGCGGCTAACAAAGGTAATCACAACTTCGCAAACAGAAAATACCATCCAGAAAAGCGGCCTCCACATTGTGGCCGGTATATGGGCACGTTTCGATGTAGCTGCAGTGTTTGCCTACAACAATTCTTTGCAAAAAAAATAAAGTTCAAACCTAGTTTCATCACTTTTCCGTTGACCTCGGCGCTTTGGAGTCCACGAGTAGGTGCTTTGGACGCCTAAAGAAAATTAGCGCATGAAGGCAATAATTTACTTGAGTGCCGACGGCGATCAGCGGTAGATGATCAATATTTCGGAAATGGCTCATCATGTTGATGTGAGTGTCAATCTGGAAAAAGTTGATTGTCGAAAATGATGTTTTACCTCTTGAAAAGAATCTTGCAGTCGCTCCACACTGAACACGATCAGCACGACGTCGGCCCACATCGTGAACTAAAACGAGATATTTTCATAGAAATATATGAAACCAACCTCTTGAGACGGCATGGCATCTCCTTGATCCCGGATCAGCATCAAATACTTGCGCCCCTGCATCGTCAGCTCCTTCTTGTAGCGCCCGCCGTCGGGCAGGCTCTCGTTGCAGAACTCGTCGGTCAAATAGCGATTGACGAGCGCGCCTTGACGCGCTTGCCCGCAGCCGACGACGCCCTAAAAAAGTTTTATAAACCCCAAAAATCAAGCTTACAATGCGCAGCTCCGTGATCGTTCGGCTTAAAACCCACTCCGGCGATGCGACAAAGGCTTCTAAGCTTTAATTTTTTCTTCAAAAAATTTGTCTGCACCTTCTAGGTTGATGACACGCTCGCGAATGATCTCGGCGTGGTAGTCATCTTCGCCCATTTCTTCCAGTATGTCGTATATCTAAAAAAATCAGCATCGTTAAATTGTAATGGTATACTTGAAAGAACAGCGGGTGAATATTCTCGTATCGCTTCAGCTCATCGGCCAGCTGCCCGGTCTCGTGGCGCAGGGATGCTTCATCGGGCTGGTAGTCCCAGTCGGGGCTGCCGTGCAGCGACTTGGCGCGCGGTCTGGAGTAGAACTCCATCGGCGAGTAGGAGGAGGGCCCGTCGTGTGGATTTGGGCTAAAAATAAGTAATAAACAAGGCTTAAAAAATAAAATAATTACCGAGAACGTTTGATAACACATAAAAATATGTTTTCCTTTGAGCGCCGCATTTAAATAGCTAAACAGGCCCGTAAAACATGATCAAGCTGCTAAAAATTTGAGCAAAGTTTGAAAAATGCCCAAAAAGATAAGAATGGGGAAACCTAAACATTCTATAATTTTCTAGCGATCAAAAACTACTAAAAGTTCTACAAGTACCGAAAACTAGGAGAATTAACAAGGAAAAAAATAGCTTTCGCCCCGCTAAGCGGAAGTCGTCAATAATGTCAACGTCGAAAAGTATCAACCCGCTCCCAAAAAGTCGCTCGTCAATTCGCATGATTCACATGTGCCGTGTGGTCATATTGTTTGCGGCAACAAGGGCCGCTGCCAAGTGGCAATTAAGAAAAACGGCTGTTTAGAAGAAGCCTAGCGTTTTGATGGGAAAATCAGCTAGAATAGTCTAAGAAAAGAGAGCAAGAAGACCCACATGACGGCCTTGAGCTTGAGGAGCAGATTTTTGGCGAAGCCCATTCGTCGTTGGCAGTGCGGTGGGAGGGAGGGCGGCTCGTAGAGTGTCATCCAGCGGCGGCAACGCCAGACTGCCGGGGACTCTTCGCCGATTTGGTGTTTTACACTTGAAAAAGGTTATAGAAATCAAGAAAATATCCAAAAGGATAGAAGTAAAAACATTTCAAACGGGAAAACTTGGTATTCCCAAAAAAAATAAATTTCGTTTTTTGAACGCGGAAATCCCAATGCTGGATTCTTGTGTAGGGTCGGAGCGTCGCGGAATTTCACTTTATTTTTGAAACTCATTTTTTTTTCAAATAAAAACAGATGTTTTCTCTTTTCTAGGGATCCAAATTTAGTAATATTTTTTTGTAAGACATTTCTGTAATTGCAAACATGAATTGAACTTTTATAAAAAGAAAGCAAGCTGCGCCGATAGCGCTGAAATTAGCCGAATTCTTTTAGAAAGTACTTTTTCTCGTCAGTTTCCCACCAAAACCCACACGTTCTGATCGCTTAGGGGGCGCTGATTAGCGTGTGAAACTAACAAAAACCTTTTCGGCCCTTACTTTACGTTTCTGCTCCCAGAAATAAATGTATTTTATTCAAGTTGACCCCAAACTAGCGAAGTCTACTTTGGGACAATAAATATAGAATTTTCACGATTCGCAAAGAATAAATATGTGGCTAGTTTTGCCGATACGAATCTCCCAGGAAAGGGGAAGCTTGTCGAAATCAAGAAATCACAATGGAATGGCACCGTTCGCTGGAAAGTAGGGGAAAGAAAAAGAGGAGCATAAAATAAAGAAAAACTAGCTTGATTTTGATAAAAATCAACAATGGTTGCAAGTCAAAGGGCAGTAGGACTTCATCACGAAGAAGAACGACGCTCGCTTGCAGTACTGGGAGAAGTGGGGGCAGTCGATGAAGTGGTCCACGCATTCTGAAGTGTATTTTGCGTTATTTTGGTGAATTTTGTACTGTAATAATTCGCTTGTAACGCTCATTACATAATTTTTTAAAGCGTCAAGCTCGACTTACTTTCACTGCCCTCAGCCGCATCAATTTTTGGTCGTATCCGGGTCCGAAGCGACTGTTTTATCAGCGGTTTTGAGGGTTTTCGCGTTGTCGCCGGCGTTGGGCCGTCACATTGATAGAGTTTGTTGATCTAAAAGTTGTATTTCTTGGTTTTTAATAGCGCAGGTTATACCGTTAAATACCTTAAGAATAATTTATCGAATGCTGAATTTTTGCGAATTTTTCGTAGTTTTTTTAGAGTTAGAACCCTATTTTCAGTTGCAAAAATATTATACTTTCCATTTCCCACCTTGATGACGTCGTTCTTCGACAAATCATTGGCGGACCCGATCATTTCCGTAAAACCGTCCTCCACCGTCTCGATGGTGTTCTTCCCGTTTCGGGAAAATGCCGTCGAGTCGTAGTGCATGATGGAGAGGTAGTCGTATTTCTCTCCTAAATTTGAAAAATTTGCTTTTAACGATCCGAAAAATGTCTTTTTTTAGCGAGTTAACGAAGAGAACGACGACGAAGAAGAGATAACGAGATTAAACCTCTGCTTTCTACTAGGCCTTGACAGCTACGCACCACTCCGAAATACATGTAGAATCTCATTTTGTTAGTCGTGTTTTCGTTTTGATAGAAGTTGAGAGAGCTTTTATAAATCAGCCCAAGCTTGAAACGGTTTTTGACTTTTCGCGTTATTGTCGAGAGAGACGTAAGGGTCCGGTTTTTACGCTGCTAGTCCCTTTAAAATTGGGCAAGATCGTGTTAGGCTTTGGCGAGTCTCCAGAATAAAATTTGGTCCTAGCTGACCTTGCAAATCCTGCAGCGACGCGGCCACCTTGTCGAATTGGGACTTCATGCCGGGGAGGATGTTGTCCCACACGATTTTGATGTGGTCGTCACGATCTGCAGGGATTATTTCAAGTATTTTAAGCGTCGGGTAGTTAAATTTTTGAGAAATTAGTCTAGTTTGAAAGTGTTTAGAGTTCTTAACCTAATAAAAAAAGCAGATAATACATAAAACCCACCAGCCCTGGAATGCTCGTGCCAGAAGCCGACCGAGTGCATCAGCTCGTGAACGATGATCTCGTGAAATAGGCAGCCACGGCCAAGTGAGATCTCTTGCTTGCCACCGGTTCGGCCGACTTGGGAGTAGCATCTGAAACAGGGCATAGAAAATCTTATTTCTGAGCTTTCGTCTAAGCCTAAGCCTAAGCCTAAGCCTAAGCCTAAGCCTACGCCTAAGCCTAAGCCTAAGCCTAAGCCTAAGCCAAGGCTTAGCCTAAGCCTAAGCCTAAGCCTACGCCTAAGCCTAAGCCTAAGCCTAAGCCTAAGCCAAGGCTTAGCCTAAGCCTAAGCCTAAGCCTACGCCTAAGCCTAAGCCTAAGCCCAAGCCTAAGCCTAAGCCTAAGCCTAAGCCCAAGCCTAAGCCTAAGCCTAAGCCTAAGCCTAAGCCTAAGCCTAAGCCTAAGCCAAGGCTTAGCCTAAGCCTACGCCTAAGCCTAAGCCTAAGCCTAAGCCAAGGCTTAGCCTAAGCCTACGCCTAAGCCTAAGCCTAAGCCTAAGCCTAAGCCTAAGCCTAAGCCTAAGCCTAAGCCTAAGCCAAGCCTAAGCCTAAGCCTAAGCCTAAGCCAAGGCTTAGCCTAAGCCTACGCCTAAGCCTAGGCCTAAGCCTAAGCCAAGCCTAAGCCTAAGCCTAAGCCTAAGCCTAAGCCTAAGCCTAAGCCAAGCCTAAGCCTAAGCCTAAGCCTAACCTAAGCCTAAGCCTAAGCCAAGGCTTAGCCTAAGCCTACGCCTAAGCCTAAGCCTAAGCCTAAGCCTAAGCCTAAGCCTAAGCCAAGGCTGAGCCTAAGCCTACGCCTACGCCTAAGCCTAAGCCTAAGCAACTTACCCGTATCCCTTGACGATGTTCAAATAATCTCCTTCCCCATCTCTCGGCTCAAAGCGGATGCAAGTAGCTCGGTGGTACGAATTGAAAGCTCTTTCGATGGTGCGCGCTTCATTAGGTACTGTAATTTATTTATCAGTTTTCAATCCGATTCCTCAAAAATTTCCGCTAGCTTGCCCGTTTTCTAGCGCACAGAAAAAGCGCAAATTTCCGTTCAGAACTCACAAAAAGCCGTGTCCATCACGTATGGGATGACGCCCTCCGGCCACCGGAGCTGCTTGTTCTTGAGGGCATTGTAGAAGACTTGACCTTGCTAAAAATAAAAAGACGATTTCAACAATTTCAGAACAGCAGCTTACGGCTGACTGGATCAGCTGCGGGTTGACGTCGATGTCGCCCTGGTATTTGCCTAAAAATGTAGATGATCGTGGCGTCAAGATCGAGCAGTTCAAGCGCTGCACAGAAAATAGGGTAATCCGTTGCCCAGGCTTTTTTTGCAAAAAAAAATGAGAAAATAATATCGCTACTCCTCGGATCAAGATTCAACGACACTTCTCGGCGTCAAGGTCGAGCACTTCAATGATTTTTCAGAGCCTTTGGAAAAGCCGTGCTTCTGTTTTTCCGGTAATAACTGGAAGAAGAAAAACTATTTTCAAAAATAAAGTGTTTGAGCTTGACGATCTCGATGAGTTCAAGCAGTTCAGGAGCTTTTAAATGCACGCACCCGAGTTCATCCACCGGTTGTGCCGCGCGTATTTGGGCAAGTACGAGCGAATATCATGGAATAGGTCGCCATAGGGCTGCGAGGAAACGGCCACTGGCCCCACCACCAGCACCACGACGGTGATGACGATTCGGCCTATCGAGAAGACATACCGGCCCATCCCATTGGCCACTCCCGAGTAGTTGACCACGGCCACGAGGAGGGTTCGGGGATCTGTGAGCAAGAAAAATTCATACAGGTTCAACGCAATGGTGTCTAGGAAAAGCAAAAAAAAACTGTGAGTGAGAGCTAAAAGAGAGAGAGAGAGTGAGAGAGTGAGAGAGTGAGAGAGAGACAGCGGGAAACAAGGGGAGAGAGAAAGAGCGAGAGAGAGAGAAAGAGAGAGAGATTGCCGCAGTCGCCGTCCCTTTAAAGGGACGTTGCAGTAACGGAGAAAGGTAGTGAAAAGTAGAATCAGCAAATTAAAAAAATGAAACCCAAAGAAGGACGGAAAATGGTAGTGAAGATAGGAAAAATGATTTAAAAATGTTAGAAGCGCGTGAAATGCTTCATGGTCATACTGTAAAATCACTCAGGATTTTCAAGCGAAAAACCGAAAAAACCCTTTGGGGAAAGGCGTTATACAAAGCCATGTTATTTTTAGTTTGGAGCAAGAGGGGTGGAGCAAGAGAAAATTTTTCAAGCCAGTTCGGTTTTTTGGAAAGGGAAATTCGGAAAGCGCGAATTTTTCGAAAAATAGCAACGATAAAGATCTCAGCAAATTCTGCGTCGAGTCCGAGACGGTCCTATCGACGTTGAAATTTAATGCAATCTGATGCCTTATAAAAAATAAGGATCAGCCAAAGCTTCGAGATTCAAGCCCCCACCATCCCTTGGCCTGGGGATGGTCTCTGTGGGATGGGGTGGGTGTTGAGGGGGTGAATTGACACCCGATTGTCCGGGGCCCTCCAGACCCCGCCGGGGGCAACGAGGAAGGGCCCAGCCCGCCAAAGACCCAACAAACAAACAAACGCCTTCATCGGGCACACAGTCCCTACCCCACACAGTCCGATCCGCATCCTCTTTCCGTCTTTCCGCCTTGAAATGGGGCGGAGACGGCGCGGATCTCTCTCTCTCTCTCTCTCTTTCTCTCTCTCCCTCTCTCTCTCTCTGGTTTCTAGTTAGCCTTCGAACTGAAAGAGGGCTCTTCCCACTACCCGACGAGATTTGCATCGATCCGGATGAACCTACCGGATCTCAGGACCGAAAAAGAAATTTCTAAAAAACAGGAAAATGCTGCAATTAATGCTTATACTGGAGTCTAGAGGTAATAAACCAGAAGTGAGGGTGTAAAGTGGAGCGCTGTGTAGCGAAACGTATGCTACAATACGCATCAATTGACGCGTGCAATCTATGACCCTTCGGATTAAATCGCGTAATTTTTCGGGGTGTCGCTGCGCCTTTAGAGCGACTAAAGGCGCCTTCAAGCTTTCTGGCATTACTTTTAGGCAAACCGAATATTCAAGAAAATCTAAAAAAAGATTATAGCCCTAAAGGAACGAAAAAACAGCTAAATCTAGGAATCTTGCAGTTGTCTATGCATTTTGAACTTAAATAATTTATAAACACGTTTAAAACGTTACTTTATGACTTATTACAATAGCAGACTCCAGAAGATAATATATTTATTCTCGCACAAGGTTCACAAAGTCAACTCTTACAGTGTGAGGAATCAGGTGTAAATAGAGTGGTGGAGAGGATAGATAAACAAAGGGAAAATTATGATTAATTGTAATGATTATGAAGATGTGAAAGATGCCGAAAAACCCTCTGAAATCTACGATAGGAAAGTCCGATAATGCAGATGAGGCGGAGGGCGAGTTACATAGGTAGAAGATACCCGAATTTCCTAAATTCCAGGACACTCCCTAGAGGATTGTCTCCAGAAATGGAATGACGCCATTGTGGTGGTGGACATGTGTGTGACGCCGGGTTTGGAATGGCCACACCCTTTCGGCCAAAAACCGGCCTTGTCGGGGTGCGCGTGAACTACCAAAGAGGCTGCAGAACTGGATGCGTGAACAATTAATATCAAGCAATTGGTTGATACAATGAAATATACACATTTCGGAGCATCGTCTCCTTCGTGTGTCCCTGTGCTACACGCAGCTTTATAGAGCCTGGGTGTGCACTTGAGGATCTCGGCATCCAAACAGGCCTGCAGCCAATGACGAACCATGTGAATCACCAAGGATGTGTCTGTTTTTGATGGCTGATCACAGACGGGAACCTAGGGCCAGGAGCTCTAATATTACTTGCAGAATTTCTTAAAACGCACCTTGATACTCGCAATACTACGCCTACACCTAATTACGCAGAGGCTACACTGACATGCAGTAAATCCAAAAAATTTGGAACCAAATTTCATGTGGAAAATTTGTTCAGGCTTGAAAAAGCGTGCTTTGGCTAAAGGGACGAGCAAGGCTTAATCATGAATTTTTTCGTAATGGATTCTCAGGAAATTTTGCCACCGGCGACACGTGACACACACGCGCGCGGAACTTCCTTCGTCCTAACTCTTGGAAGCGCACGCGCGCCACGTATCGCATACGCAGCAAAATCTAGGTGAAATCAAGCTCAGAAAATCCGTAAATATACCATTTCCGCCATTTAATCACGTAAAAGTATGAAAATAAGTATTTTATGTTATTTAAATTAGGCAGCAGCCCCGACGGCGTCGCGTCGCGAAAAAATTCCAGAATTATCGACTTAAGGAAAACAAAGTATTTAGAGCTAACCACGATTGATTTGGTTAAATAGGTAAAGGCTCTTCAAAATCAGGGTTACGCGACGGTAACCAGTGAGTACGGTAGTTGCGAAGCAAGGTACTGTAAGTCTGAAAGAAGGAGCTCAAAAAGATAAAGATAAGCTTTCAGAAACAAGTTCATAAAATTGATAGGCTCTCCGAGGATGGATCTGGTGGCGCTGAAGTGTTTGGGGACTGTTGTTTCGGGGTCTGGGGCCCCCGCTTCAGAAAGACAGAAGAAACGCGAGGCGCCCACAGCCGGGTTGACAGCTGAATGGAGACACTGTGCGGCGCGGCGAGCGCCCGCAGAAGCGGAACGTCTCCAATACGGGGCGAGCGGAACACGAAAGGAAACAGCACTGGCAGTTTCCCATTTTAGAAATGGCCACATTTCGAGACAACCCGACGAGGTGCGGGAGGGTGGATGGGTGCGGGAAATTCGAGCAGGAAATTCGGGTCTCGGTGGAAATCAGAATCTCGAAAGAATTGGTTGACAAATTTTAAGGTAGCTTTTTCATTCTAAATTTTTTGGCTCAGGCTGTGATTAGGCTTAGGCTTCGGCTTAAGCTTGAGCGCAGGCTTGGGCGTAGGCATGGGCTGAGGCTTAGGGTTAGGCTTAGGCCTGGGCTTAGGCTTAGACTTGGTTTAGGCTTAGGTTTAGGCCTAGGCTTAGGCTTAGGCTTAGGTTTAGATTTAGGTCTGGGTTTAGGTTTGGGGTTAGGCTTGGGCTTCGACTTAGGCTTAGACTAACAATTATGCTAATCGATCGTCGGCATACAGTAGTCAACTCGAAGTTGCCACGAGCCGCCTCACCCTTCCTCGTCTATAGGTGCGTAGCGTTCATTTTTGTGCAATGCAGGGACTGCACAAGCGGTGTCGCGGGTGGGGACGGGTCTTTTGGCGGTGGTGACCAAACATGGCATTGTTGTCGCCATTCCTCCAGGGCGCGGGGCACGGACGCGTCGAATGGCCAGTCCAAACGAACAGGCGGCAAAAAGCAGCTGGCGACAGGTTGGGCGAGAACATGCACAGAGAATGGTCAGCAGCAGGAAGTGTTGCCACCCAGGGAACGCGGGGAAAAAAATTTGAATGCGATCTGGATGGGAAGGGCCTATTTTGGCGTTAAGTGGGGGCCCTATTGTGTTGCGTTTGTACTGTTCCGTACTTGTATCGGTACTATTCACCGATTTTTTTAAAGGCGCGGGCGAGCGACGGTGTTGTTTTGGTTGACATTCACGTCATCCCCATATCTTGGAACAAATTTGTCTGACATACGGTTTGAATGAGTTTTAATATGCGTATACTTGGAGCTCAGCAACTCCGATGACTCGACCAGCTTAAAGGGAGTAGGACTCCCCATGTAAATTAGCATAAAAACGGTGGCCAGATCTTGCTGAATCGTCAGGCTCAGTGGGAGAAAGTTCGGAAAGACATAATTTTTATCTTCCAGGATTTTAGGACGTTTTGCTACATCATTTATCAAACCGTTCCGAAGAACCACCCGACGCCGATTGTCAAAAGGCTGTAGCAAAATCTTGTTCAGAAATAGTGTTCTTGCGCTTTTTACTTGCCTCCTGTATTTTCCTATTTGTTAAAATTCATTTATCTTTACTAAACCCGTGTCAGTATGGCAAGTTGCAAAATCGGCTCGACGCTAGCGGAAGGACGTAAAATCGGCTCGTCATTCGATCTCAAATATTCGCAGCAACTCTTCCGGGTCCAAGACGCTGAGGTCGTCGTCTGGAAATGAACCGCAAGTTATCAATAAAAAGAAGACTGAACCCTTGAATTTTATAAAAAATATAACAGCAGAAAACCAGCAGGATAATATAGTTTCTCACTCCGGGTTTCTTCTTTTTTATGAAATTTTCGCGTTGGCGCGGAGCATAACACAACAACAGAACATGTCATTCTTCTTAACAATCTTTCCCGGGTCCCTGAACTTCTTAACAACCTTCGCCCTTTTCGAGCAACACTCCATACCTGTGGTGGTGACGTCCAGCGGAGTAGATGATATTTCGGACACTTCCTTCCCCTCTTCCAGCTCATCGGATCTGGAGCTTTGGTGAGATGTGGCGAGCTGACGTCCCGCTCGTGACTTTCCCAGCTCATCCAAGCCGATCGGTGACGGGCAGTTATACAGCTTGTTGATCTGAAAGCGGATTTGCTTAAAAATGCCAATGCGTTGTTCTCATGCATCCAGAAAAGGACGAAAATCTTATATGTACAAGGAATCGACGAAATCTAGGGAGAGAGAGAACGAGGGTGAGAGAGCGCGAGAGAGCTAGAGAGAGAGAAAGAGAGAGCGAGAGCGAGAAAGCTAGAGAGATAGTGCAAGTGAGAGAGAGAGCGAGAGAGGCGCTTTTACTTACCTTCCTCTTGTCGCCATAGCTAAGATCCGTGCCAGTACCCATCAAATCCGTAAGTCTCTCGTCGAGACTCTCAATCGAGTACCGCGCATTGGTCGCAAACGCCGTCGCCTCATAGTGCATCACCGAGAAGTAGTCGTAGGGCTCGTCTAAACATGCATGTAAGAAGCCAACCTAAGCCTAAGCTTAAGCCTGAGCCTAAGCCTGACCGAACCCTAAGCCTAAGCCTAAGCCTGAGGCTAAGCCCATCACCCACCAAGCAGATCCTGAATCGACTTTGGCAGCTTGTCGAATTGGGAGGATGCGCCAGCGACAATGTTGCCGTAGTTGACCTTCACGTGGTCGTCACGATCTAGGATAGATAGTTTATAGTGTCTTAATATGCCCTGAAAGCGAGCAGTTGCTGGCCATCAACTCCGTCAAGTTTTCCGAGATAAAAGGATCAGGATAGATCGTGCTTAAACCCACCAGCCCTAGAGTGTTCGTGCCAGAAGCCGACGGAGTGCATCAGCTCGTGGATTATCGTTTCGTGAACGAGGCAGCCGGCTCCGAGAGAGACTTCTTGCTTACCACCAGTACGTCCTACTTGTGAGTAGCATCTAAAATTTTTGTACATTTTAAAGTATAACTGACCCCTCGCCTCGGATAATATTCAGGTAATCCTGTTCCAGGGGTCGTTTTCGGCGAAATCGAATGCATGTAGAATTTCGAAAGCTACGGAACGCTCCTTTAATCGCCCTTCTCTCGTTGATGGCTGAAAAAAGGGTAATTAATGACACTTACCCCGCCTCGCTTTCTCTCACACTCTCTCTCTCTCTCTCTCTCTCTCTCTCTCTCTGTCCCTCTCTCCCGTGATATCAATTTGTTTATTAACCCCGAGGCATCCCTCAAAACAAACGACCTACAGAAATTGGCGTCGAGCACGTAGGGCACCTCGGCGTCGGGCCATGTTTGCTCGCGGTTCTTGACGGCGTTGAAAAACACAAACTCGTCCTGCAAACAACCGCCTTTTGCAATGACGGAGAAGCCGAAAAAGGCCCGAAACACCGCGAAAGACAGCCCAAAAAGGTGTCTAAAACCGAGGGCACTCGATGAAAAAAATCGGCGAGAGCGGCGAAACGTTGCAAGTGCCGTTTTTTTGGTTTGTCTCGACAAGACTTTTCCTAGCAGAGCCAGATTGGCGGTTTTTAAAGGGGCTGTGAAGGTAGGAATTGAGCCCTTTAGAAGACTGGGTCCCGACAACCACACGTAGCGTCAAAATGTGATTGGAAAGGTTTTTCAATTGAGACGACTTTATGAGACGGTTTTTGAGAGGCTATCGTGGATATCAACAAGGCGTAACCTTGCGCATTGCGTAGCTGTCTAGACCTAGTCATGTCAAGGGGTCGATTTTCGTGTTTCTAGTCCTGTTAAGACCTTTTCAGCTTGATATAAACGGGAAAAGAGCGGCATATAAAAAACTAGAAAATTTTTTGTGGAAGAGAGTTAAGATTTGCTAGCCTTTTTCGGAGGTGTCAGGATCTACCGTATCTCAGAAAACTACAGGGTGGCGATTAATTACCTGCGCGTCGCTTTTACCCCAAAAATCAGGCTTTAAATTTTCTCTGATAGAGTGGTTTTACTATATTGGTGGTTGTTTAGTTGCATCCAATCCAAATTTTAACCGGGTTAAGCAATCACGAAAAACTACGAGCTAAGAAACATAAATTCCCGCTTCACAACGCGCATCCCGATCGCATGACCACACTTTTGAAGCCTACTGTAACCATGGGAAGCAGCTAATCTTTTATAAAACGGCTCAGATATGTTGCACGCTTCTTTTCAAACGTAGTAAGCGTTCGAAAACCGACCTAAGTCAAAAGATAAAAAAAGATACAGTATCGAGAACGACATCGGTCAAATGGAAATAAAAACCGCGCGTCCTTTCGATATTACGCGTGAATCTATCGGTACGATATGAGAAAATATTTACAATCCTTACAACAACCATATGCCAAAAGTTCTTGGGTTCATAAGGCTTTATCAGGAAACTAGAATCCAAAAATGCTAGAAATTGCTGACGATTTTTGAGGCGCGCCGCGGGCTGAATTGATGGCATCATTTTTGCCCCAGAACTTTCCCAAAATTCTTCAGAACCGGCCTCAATTTAACAATGCGTCCTATCAAACCAATAAAAAGAGGGCTACATCAACGAAATTGCACTTTCCCAAAAAATCTTTTTATTTTTGAGGTGTCTCATTCTGGCCGATTCGGCTCCAGGCGGAAATTGGTCGTAGAATTTTTGTTATTTGGTAGAGCTAGGGCTCAATAAAAATGCTTTTAATGGATTTGAGCATCTGGAGGGTAATCGGTGGCATCGAACTAACAATAATTTAAGCGCACTACCTATCAAACTGAAAAAATATCGGGCCTTTGAATCGGTACATACCCGCGGCGCGCGCGCTTTTTGCTCGACGACATTTTTCGGGCTGGAAAAAAGTTGAGGGCCACTAACCCAAATTTTTTCTGTGTAATAAGTATTATATAGCTTGTGATATCATAAAATGCAGATGAATCAGAGATTGCTTTAAGGAAAATTCGGAGCGAGCGTTTTCTCTCGCGCAGGTAATTAATCGCCACCCTGTAAAGTTACATTCCATGCATCTTTAATAGATTCCGCAGGTCAAAAATTTATTTCTATTTTTTTTTCATTCACCCCTCTAGGCCAAAAAGTATCGCGTGTAAACCCCATTCTCACAGCCCGCCCAGCGTAATCTCACGAAAATCCGACCAGTGACCCTAAAGGGCAACGATCCGCGGGGAGTATTTACGCGTACTTGGTCTCCAGAATGGCGTTTTTTGGCCTGGACGACACTGGAATCCGGGGTCCGGAAGCCCTGGGGGTAAATATTTACCCTGAAACCGATCGGCGGGAGACTTACCGGTTCGCGAAGAAGGGTCGGGTCAATGTTGATGTCGCCCTGGTATTTGCCTGAAAATAGAGAAGATAGAGCTTAATCCGTAAGGTGTTGTGGGATCTTTGCAAAGTGGCGCGTGTTCACAATTTTTTCCTCAAGTTTCTCCGCTAGTATGCCGCGCTCAAACGTCAAGACTTCTATTTATTTTATTCATTTTTTCTACTAAATTTTCATCGTCAAAATCCGCGGAAACGAGCCCGAAATCAAAATCAACAAAAATTGGCCTATTTATTCAAGTTTATAGGGACGAAATATCACAAAGTTTCCGATGTAAGGATTTTTAAAAACCAGGATCTCCAGCTATTTCGGTTTATTGAACTTTTCCTCCCTAAACCCTGACCCACCCGATCGTAGCCACGGCTGCTGTGCCGCCCCATCGTTCATGTCGAAGCTCGTAATGTCCACCATCGCAGCGCAATCCTGGGGCAAAAGCTGGAGGAGCAGGGGGAGGGCCAGGGACAGTTTGATGATACCGTAGCCCCCGGGGGTCAGCCGATGTCCTCCGCCTGCCCCATTCGGTCGCATAAAGCTGAAAGGGGCAAATGACTGGGTTTTTGCGCATTAAAGAACCATGGAAAAAAGAGGCGTATTTTTGTTGCATGTTTGGAAGTATGAGCATACAAAAAAAAAACAAGAAAAAGAAAAAGGACTGAATGTCGAGAAAAGAAAAATAGTAGGTACGGAGATTGAGCGAGAGAGAAGGAGTGAGAGAGACGGCAGATAGTGAGAGAGAGCGAGAAAGAGGGAGAGAGGGATAACTTAATTTTCAAGTGTCTATAGGGGAGAGCGCCGGTAGATTTTGGGTTGCGCCGAGTAAGCCATGAAAAACTACCTAAAATTTTTCCTTGCTGTCACTGCCCCTTTAAAACAACTTTAATCGTGAGCCAGAATTTCGGGCATACTCCGACAGCGACAATCTCTACACCAGAAGTTTTACCTTTAAAAGCCGCGTCTAGGGCTAAAATGCCAAAATATCGTTAACCAAAATTCCGAAAATAGAAACTAGCATCAGAGCATGTCGGGACTTTCGATGTCGGGATTTTGATCTTCAGGATTCTCGCTGCCGGTATTTGCAATTTATCACTTGGTAAAAAATAGCATCAAAAGATCGTCCAAAATCGTCAAAAGTTAGACAGGACACCGATGTAGGTGCCAAGAGTCCAAGCGGGACACCAAAAGTACCCACAGCATGCGGGGAACACCCGTTTTTTGTGTCGCCCACGTCGGCCAGGCTGCAAGTGAAACTTGGCCGACCGAAGGGTGGGTGGGGTGGGTGGCATTCAGAGGGGGGGGGGGAAAGTGCCGGGGATGGGCCCTTTGGGCTCTTTCGCGGGACTCCAACTGTGAGGACGGTAGAGAGAGAGAGAGAGAGAGAGAGAGAGAGAGAGAGACCGGGGGGGGGTATCGTTTGGGGGGGTCCAGGCCTGCCGTCGTCGTCATCGAGAGGTGCTCGGTGGACACACCAACACGCGCATCCGCATCCGGGCCCCCTTTCGACGATCGGTCTGTCTGCTGTCTGTAGTTTGTCTCTCTCTCTCGTTCGCTATCTCGTTCCGCCTGGCTGCACGGGCCAAACGACGACCCCGCTACACGTGATGCGGTTGATTGGATTATGCAAAGGGTAACCTAAGCCTAAGCCTAAGCCGAACCTAAGCCTAAGCCTATGCCTAAGCCTAGGCCTAAGCCTAAGCCTAAGCCGTATCGTCGATCACGGAGCTCGACCCAATGGCAAACTCATTCAGGCCAGCTAGAAGCGAGTTTTGAAAATTGTGACAGGAAACATCCACTTCTGCAGCCACCAACTTCTTAGCAGGCTTTTCCAGGCTGCAGGATTCCAGGCTTGGTAGGGCATGCGAGCAGAGTTCCTTTGGGAATCGTCGTCGTGCAGTGGGACCTAGGTTCTAGGCACGCAAGCAGCGATTCTTGTGGAAGCTATACTCCCAAGATCGATTCCGCAAGTCCACACGTTAACGACAGACAGATTTTGACTGCAATCTTTCTGATAAAAAATTGTTCAACAACAGTTCAAAGTAATTCCCTTCGCGGCCCTTTTAGAGCGGTGTTTCCAAAGCCTGTTTTCGAACTCTGCAAACACCAATGAATCAGTCAGGCGTTGGTACACAATGTGTTCTGGTCCACACACCACTCAAATGAACCGGGTCACAACATCATCATCATCATCAGCACGTAGTTGACCCGGGTCAGGCCCCAAAGTTATGAGTAATCGTGTTGCGGCCCCAACCTGTCTATTCAACTTGTTGTGCTTGTTTGTACATTTTTTTGTGCGCAACCAGATTGGGACCATTTTGTGCACATTTGTTGCGTTTCGTGTAGATTGATTTATGCGTGAGTCATAACAGTCATAAGACTAGCCAAAACTCGTGTCTCGGCCTCCCGGTTGACCGGATCTGTGAAGCCATTTAGCTGGTCAGTTTGACCCTAAAAAGGCGGCTTATTCCGAATTGACTAGTCGAATCCGAACCGTATTTTTCAATCGCTTGAATTTGGCTATCAGCAATAACACAATATTCTATTAAAAAAATTTGCAGCCATTTGTTCAAAACTCAAGTTAATCAACTTTTTTTAAAGAACGACGCTGGACCAAGACCAAGAAACAGCACTTATTTTAGGACCTCGTCTTGATTTTTTCGCCGAAAAGAGATCGTTTAGGGCTTCTTTCAGGTGGAATTTGATCTTTTCCTTGTTGCCACCATCGCCTAAAAATTCGGAATTTAATTTTTTGCAATGGAAAGCATTTTTTCCTTCTCGTGAAAAAGGTATCTTCCGCATTTGGCCACTGTTTTTAGACGTAACTTTTCTTTCAGCAGTTTTAGGTTATTAGAACTCCCATTCGAAATTTTTTTGGATTAGAAGCACCTAAAAATAGTCCTCCTCCACCCACTTCCTCACCCACACCCAGGCCCGTAGCGGAACCGAAATTTCGGGGGGGGGCCCAAAAATTTTGGTGACCTCCCCCCGTCGCCACTTTTAAAACATCCGAAAATCGCGTCAATAATAGCGCCGCAGGCAAAAAAAGCCAAAAAAGCGTTCGCTATACTCAAATTCGTGTGAAAACCGGCAGAAAACGCGCCGCAGGCGAAAATTTTTTAAGAACAATTGATTCACCAATGAAAAACCAGCGCCGCAGGCAAAAAAATTTTGAAAAAATCGGCTTCAAAGAAGCAAAAACTCTTAGAAAAACAGTAATAAACAGCGCCGCAGGCAGAAAAATTTTTGGAACTAAAAATCATAAGGGTCCCCCCTTATAAATTTTTCGGACCTCGACCGATTTCGGGGGGGCCCAGGGCCCCCTGGGCCCCCCCCCTCCTACGGGCCTGCCCACACCCACTAAATTTTTGGCAGCAAACAGTGCATATATCAACCCCAATTCGGAAATAAATGACTCCTGACAGGTGCTATGGGCCAAAAAAGTGCACAAAAACTCCAAGAAAAATAGAGCAGCTGGAATGTTTTGATTTTCATTGGCATTTGTTGACCCCGATTCGGAAGTTCTCGCGTTGATCAAGGAAGCTAGGCTTTTTGAGATCATTTTAGATGTAAAAACGGATGTTTTAGAGTAGCTAAGTTCACAAACTTTTCTCGAATCCTGAATACAGTAATCCATAGATCGGACTGCAAAATTCGAAAAACAAGCATTCTAAATCCTGAAGGGTAAACACGAAAGCGAGATTTTCCGCTTGATCCTTGACGGCAAGCAAATCCGAAAATCCGGGTTTTAGCGGAGTGTCTATGGTAATTTATGGAAGGGATATGGTAGTCCCTAGATTACCAGCTTCTCTCTCTCTCTCTCTCTCTCTCTCTCTCTCTCTCTGCCGCTCTTCATTCATATCATTAACACTATATAATCCAAAACAACGGCATAGTATTCGCCAGGTGACTGGCCCAATTCACACCCAGGGGAACCAAAAAAAGTACTAGATAATCCCTGGGTTTCCGGTCGGGAATTTCCGAAAATGTACGATAAACTATGACCAAACATAACAAGCGCACATCCTGTGAATTGATGCGTCAAATAGGGTTTGTCAGAACTTCCTTAATTTGTAAAAATTTTGCAAGTAAATTAAATCCTGGATTTTTTAACATTACTAACCGCCAGGGATACCGTGAAGGATGAAAGCCTTTGGATTGGGCTTAGGCTTAGGCTTAAGCTAAGGCATGGGCTTAGGTTTAGGCTTAGTTTTAGGCAAAGGCCTAGCTTTGGCTTAGGCTTAGGCTTAGGCTTGGGTTGAGGCTTTGGCTTCGTAGAGATTTAGACTATGTATTCGAGTCCTGTCCACTTTCGGCAAATTCGGGTGATCTTTGCCCTGAAGTGCAGAGCACCCAGAAAAAAATCATCGTTTTTAAGAATAATGATGGTTGAATAATGGTTTTTCTTGCAGATTTTTTATGCTGGCAACCAGCTATAGCGAATTGGTCTCGGACGTTGCTATGAAGGCGTTTTTCTAAGCAAGTTTTTGGACTGAATTTTTTTCTGTTAAAAGCTGATCTTTGTGTTTTTTCAACTTGAACACAATTTATTGAAAGGAGAGAGATAGAGAGAGAGAGAGAGAGAGAGAGAGAGAGAGAGAGAGAGAGAGAGATGGAGAGAGAACCTAGAAACAAGGCTTGAACCACGGTTCGTCCTGAAAGTTCAACTTTCAACCTTCATCCCACTCCTCAATTTCACAAAATCTGTCCACTGCCTAGTTATATATTATCTCGCGTAATTGTAGTGTTTTGTTGTTGTGCTTTTTCTGGTGGGTTGCCGGTGTTCTTGCAGTTCCGCTCCGCTACGTTTTACACCAATTTACGAGGCGGGCACACCATCAACAGCTATGTAAATACCCATTCCGCCTAGTTAATGATATACCTGGAAAGGTTTTTAGACCCAAAAATTTGGTCAAAACACTAAGAAGCAGTTGGAAGAGCTGAGATTTGGAAGCAGAGATTAGGTGGAGTTGCGCCTAGCGAATAGGTGTTCTCTGTACTTGAGGAATTGCTACCGTAACCCACGAGGGCCCGCCCCGCCTCCTCTTTTCCGTAATCCCTGAAACGGACCGGCCACTTTGTTTGGAGGTAGGATTTTCATTTCAATGGCCTTGGGACCCACGAAGTTTTGAAGAATTTTTAGGATCCTGAATTTTGAACATTTGGAAGTTTAAAAATTTATAATTTTATTAGGATTAAAATTTAGATAGAACGTACTGTAATAAGACTCAGGAATTATTATGCTGTCGCCTTGCATTTCTCTCCTATTGGTATAGATCTACAGTACACCTTATGCACCAACTTAATCCCAATCTCTGCACGCTCTCTCACTCTCCCTCTCTCACTGACTTTCTCTCACTCTCACTCTCTCATTCGCTCTCTCACTGACTATTTCTCGGCTCTCTTCCTATGCTCCCTCGCGCTGTTTAAGGAGCAAGAGACCATTCTTAAGTGACGACTTGAGCCCAGATTCCTAACCAATCCGCTGCTCTGCACGCGCAAGAAATTTCGTCGAAGTTCTTTGTTCCCTAATTTGGCGAAGCATCATTGCGAAACTAGTGCCGATTCTATCATTTCGACATCCCCTTAATCATTTCCGATTCGGCGAGCTGTTTATCCAGTTTTTTGGCTCCCCGCAATCTTTAAAGATTGCCCCACTCACCCTATCAATCAGCCCATTCGAATCAACAAAATGCAATGACGAGCTCGGCTTCTCTCCCGTCCTTTCTCTCTCTCGCTCTCTCTCCCTCTCTCTCTCTCTCTCTCTCTCCCTCTTTCTCTCTCTCTCTCCCTGAAGCTTTTCCCGGTTTTCAAGGACCCCTGCTGCTGCAAATTTGAGGCGCATAGATTGCGGTGTAGCGTGGGTAATTGGGTGTGGGCGATTGGTTTATTTTTTATTATTTCGTCGTTTTTTGAGACCCTTTTGAAACTTTAATTTGACTGAAATGATAGGCTTGAAAAGGCTGAAAGTATCATATGATGACTTTTAACGAGGATCTCCGGCTTTATGATTAATTGCTGAGGTCAGTGGGAAGTTTAGGTTTAAAAGGGCTAGAAATTCGAAACTTTTATCTCTGTGTGAGGGGTAGGCTAAACTTTGGCTTAGCTGTCAGCTTCGCTTTGGCTTAGAAGTATGCTTGGCTTAGGTTCGGCTTAGGCTTAGGATTCGGGCTAGGGTTAGTTTAGACCTAGGCTAGCTTAGGCTTAGCTCAGGATCCGCAGGCTTAGCTTAGGCTTAGCTTAGATTTGAAGTTACGACCCTGTCCACTCTAGAGACACTTTCGGATATTAAAAATACCTGATCGAAAAGGCCAGGGGCCAGTTAGTTCAAAAATTTGTCGCAACTCCGGCCAATTCAATTCAATTCCGGAAAACCCGGCAACATCTGGACCTGAATTTTCCACAAAATTCACCTGATACCTTTGAAAAATCCTGAAAATAGCCTTTTTCCGGATCCTGACAAAGGTTCCGGTTGCGCAGCTATTTTCGCGCTCAGAACATTTTCTAGCAAATGCTACGTGCCGATTTAGGCGGTCGAAATGATTTCGCTGTGTTTTCATCCTAAGCTTTTGCTTTGGCTTCCTCAGGCACTAGAACACACCTGATGTTGGGTCAAATTGGGGGTGAGCAGCGAACATTCCTAGTTTTTGTCGGCTACACAGCATCGTCATGCTCATAATTTGGGGGTATTTTTGAGCTCGATTTCAGGGGAATGTGCCGGGATGTACCGAAACGTGTAAAAACGTAGGTGTTGGGCCAATATAAAGGGTTTAGAGCCTGCTACTGAAGGGGATGACTACGGTAATCACTCAGCAAAAATCTTTTGATCTCTCGATTTGGAGGCATAGCATTCTGTCAAGAGTACGTTTCTGAACATCCTCACAATGCACGAGATATCGTAATTCACCAAATCCGTGGTTCCATATTAAAATGTTGCAGTTTTTTAATAGCTGTCACGCACCCTTTAAAACAGGTGAAACGAAGCTATTTGGCTATCGGTCCTTTTACAACACGATGAATCTGTTGCTTAGTGAATTTGCATTCTATCAGCAAGTTTTTCTCCCACGCTCTCTCTCTCTCTCTCTCTCTCTCTCTCTCTCCCTCTCTCCCTCTCTCTCTCCCGCTCTCTTCTACTATCACAGCGTTTAACTCTCATTAGCCCGTTTTCGATTCCTGCAATCCGATAATTTTCTGAACACTTCCGCAGGTACCGTTAATTGCCAATATCCGCTCAAAAAGGCCGGAAGCGGATTTCCAGCTTCGGAACGCGCTTTTTTGAGGTCAAACAATAACCCCGGGAAGGTGCGAATGGAGGCTCAATGTTTTTGTCCACTACTTAAGCCCTACAGGGTTCCCACCGTAATCTGCTGCAATCTTTAGCCGCCCCCCATTTCCGGGATTGTTTTTTGTGGTTTGGTGGAAGCGGATTTTTCGGTTTTTAGCGAAGGTAAGCCGACAATTTTTATGAGCTTTGAATTTGGCCTTATGCAGTTTTCTCGTCTCTCTCTCTCTCTCTCGCTCTCGCTCTCTCTCTTTCTTTCTGTCTGTCTCTCTCTCTATCTCTCTCCCTCTGGCTCTCAGTTTGAAATGGAATCTGTACTTACGGATCCGACTACGCGACGAGCCGTACTACAATGTATCCGGCGTACAAAAACTTTAGGAATAAAATACCAGAAAGGCCAAGCAGGTGCCAATTACGGAATTTATACTACGAGTCCAAGTAGGCGGGGCTACGAGGCGAGAATGGAACCCTTACTCTGAACGGGTAGGTCCTATGAACGGTTGGAATCTGGGGGATTTTTCGGGCACTGGGACCTGAGCCTAAGCCTATGACAGAACCTAAGCCTAAGCCTAAGGCAGGGCTAAAGCCAAAGCATAAGCCTACGCCCTTTTTCACGTATTTCCTCCCTCATCGCATCATTTCCATTCATTCTCCGATTCCCTCAAAAAATCGCGAAACCACAAAAAATTCCTAGCGATGCTTCACCTTCTCCCATTCACGTAGATTATGACAAGTACGCTCCCCACGCTTGAAAAAAGAAATACGCTTTTGGATTTTCGTCTCTCTCACTCTCTCTCTCTTTCTCTCGTATTCTCTATCATTCTCTTTCACTCTGCCCTCAATTCCTTGCCCACCCCACCCAGCTTACGCACAATAGCACCGGGCATGACTGGGCGCATTTTTCGACACCAGGGAATCGCGTCAGGCCCTATTTTTGTGTACCTCCCAATTTTCGACAAATGGCAACAAAATATTTTCGTAGCGCTTTTCGTGTTTTTCCAGATTCGAATAGCTGATGTTGGGAGGAGCGGATCATTTGACTCCGCCCCTTCCTGCCCATTTTTGGGGGTGTGGGATTACGGTAGCCCGGGGAGGGGCGGCATATAGGCCAGTGGGATCGAGTATTTGAGTCGCTGGGAATTGGGGTGATGGCTACAGTACGCTGATGGGGATACTGTTGATTCCCAAACTTTCAAAATTAAGTTGGGTTATGTTTTCCTAAAGGGGTTCTGCTAGCATGCCCTTCTTCAAGCTCTCTTCTAGCTTGCTCTTGCTCAAATTTTTTGGTTTCCACAATCTCTCTGCTAGCTTGCCCCTTTCCGCATTTGTTTTCTTCCAATTTTCTCTGCTAGCCCGCTCGATCCCAAGTTTTTTTCCTCAAGTGTTCATTGCCAGCTTGCCCATGCCCGTATTCACTCTCAGCAATTTCTCTCTGCTAGCCTGCCTCTAGCGGTTCCTTGTCTTCAAAGAATCTCAGCTAGCTTGCCTAGATTCATATGATGAATTCCACAACTTCCTCTGCTAGCCTGCCCTCGCTGCCTACAATTTTTCGAAATTCTCTCCGCTAGCCTACCAAACCATATTTCCCCCCACTTTTCTCAGCTAGCTAGCCCCTTGAGTTGCTTGCTAAATGTTCATTGCTAGCCTGTTAGAATTGTTGAGAATTTTCCCGAATTTTCTCTGCTAGCATACCCCTCTACCGATTGATATTTCCTCAATTTTCTCTGCCAACCGGCGCCCACCTGCAAACTTAATGTACACAGTACTTTGTACTTCTTTCTGACGAAACCCTACCCTGTTACCGTAACCCCAAAATTATCGCGCTTCCCCCGCAAATGTGCGAAGTTTGGAGCCAATTATTTCGAGCGGTTTTAGCCGACAAATTTTGAATAACTGTTCAACGATAATTATAGCTTCCAAACTCCACGTTGCACGCGAAAAACAATTTGTTCACTTTCGATTCATAAAGCCAAAATGGATGTTTTCCCTGGACTTTCGGTGGGAACTCATTAGTCAAAATGGTCAAACGGAGATCCCAGTCGAAAATTTGGATGTTGACGGTAATTTGGGGGTTTCACATCAGGAACCGGAAGCAGCATTTAACAAACATGGCATTAGCATGGAGATGTAGTAGCCTTTAAAGATGTCGAAAGGTTACGGTAGCGGAAGATGGGGTTTAAAAATGCGGTTCCTCATTATCCCACGTAATTTATAGGAGGGAGAAGATCTTTGAAAATAATGTTCATAAGCGATCGCTACTAGATTTATTGTTTTTTCTTTCCGCAAATCGTCTCTGCTAGCGTGCCCATAAGTTTTTCTTCGTCCCACCTTTCTCGAAAGCTTTCTGCTAGCTTCCACTTCTTTTTCCTGCCCTTTGTGCCTATTTTATAATTTTGTCTCTCTCTCCCCTCTCTCTCTCGCTCACTCCCTCTCTCTCTCTCTCCCGCTCTCTCTCTCTCTCCCTCTCTCCTCTTCTCGTTCTCTCTCTTTTTCTCTAACCCGCTCTCTCTCAGTCTCTCTCGCTCTCGCACTCCCTTGCCCTCGCAAGTTCGCCTTCGTCCTTTTCACAAATGATCTCTGCCAGTTTGCCTCTCGTCTGATTCGTGCTTAATCCGTACTTTCCAAAATCTGATTTTTTTCCAGAATGCAACTACTGGTGCTCATCAGCCTAATCTCCCTGGCAACTGCCGGCATATTCAGTTTGCCAGACCACAAATCACCAGAAACGAGGTGGGTGTTTTACTGATCCGTCCGACTACCGTATACCCCAATTAACCCGAATCTACCCCAATTTATATCCCGCCCCCCATTCACCCAATCAGCCCCTAAAAATGTGATGCTGAATTTGGAGTAATTCGGAGCGGCGATATCAATGCTGGATTATCCCATGGGCCCTGGGATTAGTCTCTCGGACTCCCGGACTTGGTGTGGCGTGTGGAGCTAAAAGCTACCCCCACGCATGAGTTGTAGATCGGAATTTCCGTTTTTCTAGAGGGACCAGGAATTCAGAATCAGGGTCGATTCGCGGCTTCTGGAATTAGGCAAAAACCAGCTATCATTAGTAGTATTCCGGAAGAAAAAAATAAAGTAAAAAAGGACGTAAATGAACTGGGAAGTCCGGAACCAAAGGACGAACTCTTACCCTGTCATTAGGTGTACGTCGTAGCACCCGGGTTTTTAAGAGATAGTGAAGTTTGAGTCGAAATAGCTAAAGATTACTAGCCGGGAAAATTTTCAAACAAGCTTGAATTTTTCAGTCCCCTCCAACGAGTCCGAAGATCAACAAATGCCGCTTCCGGAGTGCCTACGCAGCGATACGGTGTCTACCAAAGGAATTGTTTCTTCTCGCCCGTGCAATGCTACTTGTTGCCCTACCGGCCGAGGCATCAGAATAGGCAACGGTTCGTTTTAGTCGTTTTAAGTGGAATTGGGAATTGGGAAGATGAACAGGGTTTTAAAGGTACCTGGAAGTCAAAAATAGCTCTTTAAGGAATTTTTGGAATTCACAAGAACATGAACAATTAATAAAAAGCTATCAATAAGCGACCTACGTGTTTTAAAGGGATCAGAAAGTCGAAAATCGGCCTAGATGCGTAGTCAAAATTTTTTTTGTCTGCTGTATAGTCAATTTGCAACTTCATGGACATCTATCAGTAGGATTTTCGCTTCCTAACACCTTTAAAAGCTCCGTTTCACGCCATTCATCCTCAAACATCCATTCGTATTCCATTGTTTTCAAGAAAGCCACCCAAAAAGCTTCAGAAACTCCCCCAGGTGCAAATCGCGTACCTAGTGCTTGGGCGCGTTGCGCAGCCTCCGTGCTAATGCCATAATGACCCGTTCAGCTCCGCGTGAAACTTCCCCAAAAACACCCGTGCACCTGGTGTTTTTCGCCTGGGCAGCCAAAAATAGTGAACGGGTGATAATAGGCAGTCTAGGGCTACGTAGGCATCACCGAGCTGCAGTACTCGAAAAGCACCTGGTTTTTGGGTAACCGGTCTCCGGTTTTTTGGACTGAGCGTGATGCGGTGTTCTGAGGATCAAAAACCCAAGGGTTGGCGTAAGCCTAAGCCTGAGCCTAAGCCTAAGCCTGAGCCTAAGCCTAAGCCTAAGCCTAAGCCTAAGCCTAAGCCTAAGCCTAAGCCTAAGCCTAAGCCTAAGCCTAAGCCTAGGCCTAAGCCTAAGCCTAAGCCTAAGCCTAAGCCTAAGCCTAAGCCTAAGCCTAAGCCTAAGCCTAAGCCTAAGCCTAAGCCTAAGCCTAATCCAAATCTAAGCTTAAGTCCAGACTCAGTTAGTATGGATTTTGAACTTGCCGGTTTCACAAAAGGCATCCAGATCTGGCCCTCTTTACTATTGATGGTAGGGTATGATTCGTAAATTGTAGCTTTCCGTTTTTTTTGACAAATCTCACGCGGATCCCGCCTCTAAAACACACCTTTTTTGGCAAGTATTTTTGGCTCAATAGCTCATACGGAAGTGGCTGCTTAATCATGGGGTTCGATAGAATTCGGGTGCGCTACAAAGTGATGCGATTTGGCAAATTTTTGCAACAATTTTTCAAGCGCTCCCACGCGCCCCCGCGCCTCCCACGCCCGTAATTTGGGAATTACGTAATTCGAAGCATATGAAGGGAATTTTGATGGAAACTAAAGTCTAAAATTCGCCCTGAAAAGGCTATAGGGTTCCATGACTCTGCAAAATGCAAATTTTCCCGAAAGCTTAGTTTTAAAGTTTGAAAAATTTAGGAAAAGACACGCATTTTAAGAAATCACATACAACTCTCTAATTTTCAGGCGTCACCTCCGCGTCCATCGGCGTAAAACGGCTTAAGCAACTTACGAAGCTTAGGCTACTTCATCAACTTGAGCTACTTCGCTGACTTCAGTGACTTAAGCGACTTCGCCGGCTTCCGCATTTTCCGCTGCTTAAGCGACTTCAAACATCAGCCATCGGAACCAACGCTCTGTCGAGCGATCTTTTTACCCCTCCCGTAATGCTTTCATGTTGTGAATATTATCCCCTCAATTCCAGCAAAAAACACTCCCATGTATGGATCTCCCCCATAACTGCATTTTTCAATTTCCTTTTTAACTTTATTTTATTCTGGATTTTTCTGTTTCCAGCAGCCAAATAGTGGACAAAACGGGCAAACTTGATATTACAGTACCCCCATCGCCGTGCCTTGCCAGCGCCAAGTGGCTTGTGTTTTTCACGTCATAAAATAGTTGTATTTTTGTACCTAATTCGTCGTTTGCCTGTATTTATTTTTGGGATGCAAATATCAAGTGATAAATGGTTCAGAACCTTTCAAAAATTTACATCAGGAAAAATCGCGGACAGGGTGAGAGAAAGAGAGCAAGAGAGAGAGAGAGTGAGAGTGAGAGAGAGAGAGTGAGAGAGCGACTGCGAGAGGGAGAGACTGCGAGAGAGTGAATGAAAACGACACAGATAGGGTAAGCGAATGAGAACGATTTTCAACTCTTGAAAAAGTTAAGAAAAAAGAGAGCGGCAGAGAGAGCAAGAGCTAGGGAAAGAGAGACAGAGATATCCAGAAATTGATCATTTTTCTGGCGCTTCTTTTTTCCAAGCTTAACCCGAAAATTCTGGGAATCCGACCCATCGCTTGACTTGTTGGTTCCGGTGCTGCTCCGTTTGCACATGTATTTTCCACTGTCTTACGAGGTTAATCCGGTGTTCGGGGTACAAAATGCGCTGTTTGGACCACCGCGCCATACCTCGCGAAACCTGGCGAGTTCGGGCTGCAGATTCAGAAACATAGGAAAAGTAGGCTGGGGGTGTGTGGAAAACGAAAATAAAACTAAAAACCAGGATGATATGATTTTTCGAAATTGTTAAGTTCGAAGCTACGGTATTCACGTTTTCCGGTAGCTACCAAGGACCACAAATCTGATTTTTTGTGGTAATTTTTTTTGTTTCTATAATTTTTGCCGAAATTAGGCCATACTCGAAGGTTGGTGGGCACGGTATTGCAATCATACATTCGCTCTTAACATCCAAAGTGTAGATTTTTGACTAGTTTGTTCTAGGTTTTGTGTTTTGTGTTTTTGTGTTACTAGTTTTTAATCTTAAAAAATTAAAAAGCGCTTATATCTGATCAGATTTTAATGTAAAAAATCTTTCCTTTTAATCTTAGCAGCTCCGTAACACCTTCTTCCTAGCTTAGTCAAATCCTTCTTCAAATATTTGAATTTTCGATCAATTTCGCGCCTTTAGTAACCTTTAGAATGTCACCTCAATACAATTGTGTCTGACTAATTTTGAATCCGTTTTTTTTGCTTCCAAAAGCCGTTTCCGACGAAAATCAAGACCTCAGGGCCAAGCCACCCGGATCAGTGGCTAAAGAAAAATGGCGTCCTTTTTGCACGCGTCGTCATTGGCCGAGCATTACCACCAAGCTGAACCCCAGATTTAAATTGAGTCAGCGCACGTTTTTCGGGGGAGAAAATGGAAATGTCGGGAAGTGGCAATAAAGGCGCTTGTTGGTCGGGTCTTACGCGACCTTTTTCCGGATTTGGCGTGGAGCGTTTTACGTGGGCATCAAAATACTAGGGAAAATGAAGAATTCCGCATTTGGGTAGCGAAAATTTCTGAAAATTAGTAAGTATTCAGGACAATTGAATTTGAGCTGAAAAATCGGCGATTAATGCATGTTCCGTTTTTGTGGGAAGCAACTTTCAAATGTTTGCTCTGTCTCTCTCTCTCTCAGTCCCTCTCGCTCTTTCTCTTTCACGCTCTTTCTCTCTCGCTCGCTCGCTCGCTCTCTCTCTCTCTCTCTCTCTCTCTCTCTCTCTCTCTCTCTCTCTCTCTCTCTCTCTCTCTCTCTCTCTCTCGCTCTCTCTCTCTCTCCCCCTCTCTTTCCCTCTCTCCCTCTCTCTCTCTCTCTCTCTCTCTCTCTCTCTCTCTCTCTCTCTCTCTCTCCCCTTTCTCTCTCCCCCTTCTCTCTCTCTCTCTCTCTCTCTCTCTCCCCTCTCCTTCCCTCTCTCCCTCTCTCTCTCTCTCTCTCTCTCTCTCTCTCTCTCTCTCTCTCTCTCTCTCTCTCTCTCTCTGTTTCGCTTTCTTGATTTGGGCCATACAAATGACCCCAACTTTTCGTTGTTGTGTTTTTCAGGAGAAAGGGCAGAATGCGCGCTCGCCACCCGATTTTCGGCCAGACCCCCGAATAATCCATGGCCAGCCGGCTCGTGGTCTCGATCTCCTCAAAACCGTTGTTATCTGCCGGGTTCTGTTTTGGTGCTGGGTGTGGTAACGTCTGCCTGACAAATTCTTGTCGGGTATTGGCCGGCTTATAATTTTTATTGTGCCCCGATACAGTACGGAATTTCTTGAGCGCAAGGGCGGCATGAGAAACCGACGATGCGGATGTAGGGGAATGTGGAGAGGTTGCTGAAAAGGGGAAGTTAAGCCGAAGGCTACGCCAAAGTCAAGCCTGTGCCCAAACCTAAGCTTAAGCCTAAGCCCAAGTCTGGGTACATCAACTCACCGAAATCCCCCGTCAAATTGCATATGCTCCGCGCGAAATGCCCGCTGGTCAGCCAATGAGACGAGATCTGGCTAGATTCAACTACAAATAGTAAAAATTAACTACCATAGTCGGATTTCCTGAATGGCTACGCCCAGCTACAAACAACATGTAGACACCGCAGCGTCCTGGAAACAAACATTTGGTGGTTGATCTCTTTTTCTCGTAAGCTAGCTCGCTCACTCTCTAACCCTTCCACTCACTCACTCTTTCTCGCTCTCGGTCATCCTCGCTCTCGGCTTCTAGCTTGCTTACCGTTTTCACATTTCGGAACAGGTATCAGTGTTATTGCTGGGGAATCCGGTAGCGTCGTCCAGAGGGCTCCTGACAACTAGGCTTTCTCGCTCAGTTTCTCTCTTTCTCTCTCTCTCCCTCACTTTCTTTCTCTATCTCTCCCTCTCTCTCTTCATCTCTCTTCATCTCTCTCACATCCCCCACCATTCTCCTCCTCAATGCAAATATTTCCGCCCGGACAGTAAAATGAGCCGATCGGCGGATCCGTTGTTTGGAATGGTTGTATCGTGGAAAAATCTCCATTTATCGACTGAAAATTTGGTTGAACTCCCGCTTCACAGCTGCTGCAGTTGGCTGAAAATAATATTCTTGGAAGAGAAAGAGTAAAAGGAGAAAGAAAGTTACGTGAAAGAGAGCTGATTATTGACCGGAAACCGGAAGCACACCTCAAAATACTACTACCGCAATGCTTACCTTGACTATACGGTTGGCTACCGAAAATATTTGTGTTGACGGCGTCGGCTGGAATGAAGAGTGATAGTGGGGTCGGAGAGCAGGAATCCTGAAAAATGGCATAAAACCTCTAAAAAAATCTCGTGCGGCCCGTTCTCTCTCTTACCTCGTCCTCTTCCTCATATTCTTCCGTTTCGAATTCGGGCTCTCGCTCTGGATTTGGAGGAGTATAAGCTTCTACTTGATTAGTCGGGATTTTGGGTAATTGGGGTTCTGTAGACGTAATGTAGGGTACGGTAGATGCGATGAAAATTTCCTGAAACGTATTTCGCATATGTAAGAAATTTTCGACATACTTCTGGCTCCTCGACGATCGAATTTTCGGTCAGCACGTAATCGTCATAAACAAAGCCACTTGATTCGTAGCTTTTATAATTTTCGAGGGTAATTTGCATGCCTGTAAAACAAATATTTTTAAATAGTACCTTTTTAAAATAATTTGATATTTATAGCTGTTTTCTGAAAGTTAAACAACCGAAAAAAAATGTTGGTAAAAATTTGGCACAATCGAAAACTCAGTTTTTAGCGTCTTTGATGTGACTGGAAATGAATGTTTTAGCGTTTCAATACGCGTAATAACTTTATTATACCTACCACTCCCCTCCAGTCTCGTCATATCCTCAAAAGCCTCATGACTGAACAAATATCCCAAATCATCTTTTATTCGGCGTATTTCTCTGCATTCCAAGGCGCAGAATAGAAAATTTAATATAAAAGCATTGGATATCCTCAAAATCATAGTTTTTATAAAAATATTATGAGGATTATGGAGTCGTAAGTGAGATCTGGGTGACTAGAGAAAGCGGGTTGACCTCCCACCAGGGGGGGTGGGTGAAAGCCTAGATCCAAATCGCGCATACAAAAAACGGACATTTCAGTTCTCACAACCCATTTTGGGGATCGGAAAAAGGCCGGAAGTGGAAGGTGTCAAGTGTATTGAAGCGGAATTTATATATATACTCCGAAATTCAAAACTTTAAAGATGACGAATCGCGAATGGTCTCTGCTAGCTAATAGAGAAAGCGAAGCTACGCTCAAGCCTCAACCTGAGCCTGAGCCTGAGCCTAAGCCCAGGCCTAAGCCGAAGGCTAGGCCTAAGCCCAAGCCTAAGCTCAGGAGATAGCACTAAAGGTAAAACTCCAAAATTTACAGTAATCCGCCACCGATTCGGCTCTTCCCGACCCAGGCGACGCTTCTGGTCCGGGCAATCAAAAGGTAGAAAAGCAGAACTACACGGCCCAACAAGCCTATAAAAAAGCGCCGCCGCCCGCGCCTGCTTCTGATACCAGGAGCAGCTGGGTGGAGAGGGGGAGATGAAGTCGAATACTGAGCTCATTCTGTCCAATTCCGCCAGTGGCACCCTGGATTCCAATTAATTACTGTAGACGCGTAAGAGCAACTTTAGCTGGTTCGATCGCTCAGCTACTGTAGATCACGGGACTTCAGTTTTTGGGTGCACCCAGCGGGGTTTTTATTACTTTGTGAGGCATTCCCCGTTTTGCCGATAAAATCCGGGCAGCAGAAGCGCACGGTTTGGATCCTTGTCTATGGCTTCAATCTTCAAAGGGCTTTTGTTTCTTGCAAAGGTTATTCAATAAATCCTAAATTTCGTAGTCTTTCAGAAAATTGTATCTTTTAAATTATCAAGATCTGGCTCTATCGGGCCATTTTTGCGTTTCTTTTTTTTTTTGATATCTCCGTTCACCTTTTGGTTATTTCAACTTTTCTGGATAGCTTAAACCTACTTATTTTTTGAGCATTGAAACTGTAATAACTTTTTAGCATTTTCAGATATCGGTAGCACTTTTTCGATCAATTTGCGACATTACCAGATTTTTTTGGCGTTTCCAGGCTCTGGTAATTCCAATACGCAACTCTTGACGACCGATAAACTCATAATTTTTGCAAAATTGCAAAATGCTATAAAATTTTGAGAAACTCCTTGCAAAATTTTACTTTTTAAGGGCTATCAAGTTTGTTTTTTCCATTACAAGCCACTTTTGGATCGAACACACTTGGAAGAGCATTGATTTAAAGAATTCAGAGGTAATTGAACACTTTTTCTAAATTTTCTATTCTCCCGCTCTCATCTCATCTCTCTCTCTCTCTTTCTCTCTCTCTCTCTCTCTCTCTCTCTCTCTCTCTCTCTGTCTTCCTCATTTTCCCACCAGTCCCCCGAACATCATTTCCGACCAAAAATCCACGGCAGCCCTCTAAAAAAAGGCGCGATGTGTGTCTTGTTTGTGTATGTAGATGTCTGTTGCCCCGCATCTCACACCGTTCCTTCCCTATTCTCGGGCCGGTGTGCACAGGATTCTGGTGGAATGGGCAATTGGCAGCCAGCCCATTGTCCTCCCGACACCCATCTACATTTTTGAGGAGGCCCGGTGCTTTTTACGGATTTGCACTGGAAAGGGGGAGACCGTCTGAAAGTCTGTGTGTGTTTGTGGGCATCGAAGAACGCTTTTGGTTAAAGGGAGCTTTCTGTCTCCTTTTCTCTCTTTCTCTCTCTTTCTCATGCTCTCTCTCGCCCTCCCTTTCTCAATTTGCATAACTCCTTCCAGATGCCACCTGCGCGGCCGCCGATCGTCTTCACGGTGACCCCCGCCGACAGCGAGGGCACATCACAGTCCTCATTTGATGAAGACTATCCAGAGGAGCCTTGCGGAACCAAAAGCCCTACTTCAGCTACGACCCCAAACCTGAACCCGCTTTCGCCCTCCTATTCAGCACCTGCTAAATTGGTAAGTTTTAGGATTGGCTGACGACACTCCTCAACTGAAAATAGGGCCTGGAAAACCAACTGATATTTTTGGGGAAGCATTTAAATGTGAATGTCTCTGTATCTGAATAGGCCTTTAAAAGGCAAATTAAGGTCAGGCGGCTAGCAGAGACCATTCGAGACGGTTTTTCACTATTTATGCGCTATCTCACAAACTTCAAGCGGGGCTTGAATTTGCAAATAGCAGGTAGCCAGCGGGCAGAGACCATTTTAGGGAACACTTTGCCATGATACCCGGTTGAAGGCAATACCTGACACTTAAATGGCGCGTTAAAACTCATTTTTCAGGCTCCCCCTCACTCCGTTTCCGCATCCGGCTCAGGTGCTCACAGCAAGTAAGTCAATTTCATTTGGATTTTGATTTACTTAAGCATTAAAGGTTAGCACTGTCGTTTAAATTCTGAAATGTAAAAATTTTCTTTTTACATTTCAGAATTACATTTTTTTACATTTACATTTCTACATTTCTCAGGGCTTTTACCTTTTTTGGTGGTTTCGGCTTGTTGCTTTATTCGCAATCTTTTTTTAGAAATTCTAAAAAGCAGAGACTATATTTACCGATCCAAGCGCCTTGGCAAAAAATGATTCGACTCCCGCTCCCCCACCTGCAAAATCATTAATTTGAAATCGCATATTTTGGCCGCGATCACACCCTGCCCGTACCAGACGCGACCCTCGTTATTCGGGATCGCGCGGAAAGAGGAAAGGCGCGGAATCAAAAAACAGACACAATCCGTTCCAATGACCCATAAAGGGCCGCCCGGCAGCTTATCAGGGTTGATCCTCGCTGACCGCTCAAAGGCATAAAGCTGGGGGGTACGGTAGATGTACCCAGAAGAGTGCGTTCGGGAGAGGTGGAAATTCCGGGAAAATGAATGGGGGTCATGAAAACCAAATTGAGGAGAGAGAGACAGCGAGAGCGAGAGCAAGAGAGGGAGCGAGAGAGAGAGAAGAGAGTGAGCGAGAAAGCGAGACAGGGGGAGAGAGAGCGCTAGAAAAATATGCTATTTAGAGAGCTATCAGTATATCATCTATTTTCAGACACGGCAGCTACCTCTCCTTACACGCCAAAGAATTCCTTCACGATGTGAAAAGCACAATACCCATTGCGCATATCCGGCGGATAGTCACCGAGAAGAAGCTAGGATCCTATGACAGAGAAACGCAGTTTTTTACTGGCAAGTTCTAACAATCACAGCCCGACTTCGAGCAGTTCACCAGCTTCTACATAACCATCAAAATTCAGATGTAACAACAATGCACGGTCCGCTTCGTGTTTACGTGGGAAATAGGCTATCCACCTGGTTCTGGGCAGCGATTATGATCTGCTCGGCGTCGTTACTCATCTCCCAGGTCGTCAACATCACCACACTGTACACCAGCAAGCCGATTGTTTCTCAGGTAAGAGAGAGAGAGAGAGAGAGAGAGAGAGAGAGAGAGAGAGAAAATAAAACCCTTTAGGTCTCCTTCCTCATCGAGGATTCCGGCATCCAATTCCCGGTGGTCACCTTCTGCAACTTCAACCCCATCAAGAAGTCGTGGCTGCAGAAAATCAACGCGACGGGGCAGTTCAGTGAAGATTTACTGGACTATTTGTTACAAGCCAATGTTGAGATGCAGGTGAGAAAAACCAAAAAAGAGGGATTTGTGAAAGACTACGGTAGCCCGGGCTACACTACGGTACTGGCATACCTGATATCGTAATCCGATACTGTACTTGGAGCTAAAGTCTTCCTGGCTACAGTATTCTTAGCCAGTTTACCGAGCTGCTGTACGATTTTCTTGCGTCTTTTGCCTTTGGACTACGGTCTTCCAGATACCGTAACGGGGCAGTTTCCAAGCGTAGTTTCCGAAAAACTGCGGCTTCTGTGTTTCTAAATACCGTAATCTCGAAGACAAAAAACGGAAAGTGTAAGAAGTACTAGAGTTACCGTACCCTTTTCCAGGCTCTCTACAGTAATGCTAACCCAGCCGAGCTGGCGGCCGGTCAGAAAATCATGGACGCCTACAAGAAAAATGTGGATCCGAGGCTGTCGGTGGACAAATTTTTCTTTGATGGAGGGTGAGGGCTGAGAATTTATTTTGTAGAAATTCAAGAATTCATTTCTGAAAGCTTAACCTTGGTTTAGATTTGAATGCAATGAGATCATGAAAATCTGCTCGTTTGGAGGGCGAAAATTTGACTGCTGCAAGCATGCCGAGTCGGTGTTGACCCCGTTGGGAAGGTGGGTGCGATTTTTTATAGTATGGTATGTATCCCGAAGCATGATCTGCGCATCAATGGTATCGTAGCGGGAAACAAAAACATCAAGAAAGCTAATTACAAAATATGGCTGTCTACAAATATAGAATTATTTGGATGCAAATTTCCCCAAAATTTAATAAAAAAAAACGATTTTCGAAAATTGAATTTTCCTACTTCCTTCTTAAGCCAAATACGCAAATTTAGACCCCTTTTGGTATTTTGTAATTAGTATTTTTGATTTCTAAAAAATGTTGGTCAGTTTTTTTGTTGAATAGGCTAGAAAATTAAATATTAAATTATCATGCCTAAGCGTTTTGGGGTAGCTAGGTATTATGCAAGTCAGAAGCTCGCAGGCAAAAAAATCAGGATTTCGTCATTTTGCGAAAAAAGCCTTTCTGTTGAAAGAACATACAGACTGACTACAGTAATATTATCTTTATCCTCAAAGTATATTTTTGAATTAGAAACAATTTTTAGGTGTTACACGCTCGACCTGAGCCGATTTGGTGAACCTTGGATGTGGAAGCAGGTTGCGGCTGGCGAATATAACGGGTAAGCAGTCCAAAAAGCCGTTCAGAGCAGCGTCGCGTAGGCGCAAAGACTTTTCACACCTACACCCCAAATTTAAATACCCGTCTCCGGGTACACTCGTTTATTTTAACGACCCACATCGGTGCACACACTTGATACGCTCCATTGAAAGGCTTCAAACTTGAGCCGCGGCTTGAAGCTCATCTCCCTCTCTTTCTCTCTCTCTCTCTCTCTCTCTCTCTCTCTCTCTATCCGGCCAAGTCGAACGCCGCCCTTTTTCTGATATTTCTGAATGGGTGCAGGCGATCCGAGCCGTCAGGATGACCTCATCTCCAGGCTGATCGCTCAATTTTCGAGCCCTATCACGTCTCCTGGGCGGAATTTCTCGCCGGGGCTTCTCCGAATTTTATGGCCCGTCGGCGGCTCGCCTTTAGACTGGCGACGTGCGAAATTGCAGGGGTCAAACAGGGGAATCCCAGGGACTTATTGAAAAAGTTTAGGCCTGGCTTGGGCTTGGGCGAAGCTTAGTTTTATGAGCGGCTTAGGCCTCATTTAGACTTAGGCTAATGGCCAAGGCTTAGGCTTAGGTTGAGCTTGGGATTAGGCTTCGGTTTAGCTTAAGCATAGGCCACATATAAATATGCAAAAAAAGAAAGTAAAGAGTCAAGAAATTACCATTTTCAGGCTTCAAGTGCTGATGGACTCCCACCTCGAGGAGATTTCTTACAGCGGATCTGGAGGTTCGAAACCATGGAAAAATACAAGTTTCTGGATTTTTTTAGAAGAAGCAGACCCCGTGTTTACGAACTCGTTTGAGAATGGTTTCCGATACTTTGTCCACGCGCCAAAGGTATCGAAAAGCCCAAGAAAAATATAGACTTTTCTTTGCTCTTTAGACTCTTTCATTCGTAGCCTCTGAAGGGATTTCCGTATCCCCGGACACCAGAGCCTATTCTTCGATCTCATCTACAAATGCGAGTTTTTATAGGTTTCCAAGGTTTTTTAAGGGTTAGCAAGTTTCAAAAGCGCCCCTTTTTTGTCTAGGTAACTTCCAAAATAAGTAGAACAAAAAAGAGGTAAAGCTCGTGAAGAGCTCAAAACACATTTTCTTCCTGGCGTTCACTTGTCGAGACCTTGTCATTTGAAGGGTCCATTTTTACGCTTAATAATCGCTTTAGTCTATTTCTGTATTTTAGTACGTTCTTCTCGATACGCAAAATTGGGGCACCTGCGTGACGGAGTGGCCTGAAAAATACCAGACTGACATTCGTAAGTGGATATTAATCAAACGCAAATGTATCATCTGAACGAACCTCGAAAGTTAAATTAAGGGCTGTCACTGTCCCTTGAAAATGCATAAATTAAATCTATTTCATTATTTTGATCAACTTTTATGGGTTTTTTGTTCAGCGTACTCGTCCGGAAACTGCGCCCTCCAGTGCAAGGCCCGTTTCTACCACGATCGGTGTGGATGTGTGCCGTTTATGTACAACCTGGATTACAGTAGGATTTTAATAAAATTTTGAAGATTTTTTAAAGATGGTAAATTGTTTTTTATTGCTTGTAAAGCTTCAAAAAAGCAAACTATGTTTTTTTGGCCAAAAATATATTTTTTTTACTTCAGAAAAACCCACCTGTACCCCGCACGAGATGTTCGTATGTATGGAGGGCACTGTCAAGAATAATGGTGGCGATTTATAGTCGAAAATATTTAAAGATAAAATAATATAAAAATTGGGATTTTCGTTTAGGCACCGACTTTGAGATGCCAGACTGCAAGGACTGCGCCGTGGAGTGCGAGTCATGGCAGTACAACGCCTTCAACTCGTATGGTGTCGGATTTTCGGGTGGGTGATCTTTAGGAAATCTCTATTTATTGAGACGTACTTTTTTCGATACTTAATACTAAGCCTATACCTTTTTTGTATTTTTATAGGGTTCAAAACGTCAAAATTTCAACAACGAAACATATTTTTGTAAAATCTATTTTAGTACAATCACGCATCTAAAGCACGATTATTCCGCTTTAAACTGTTTATTCTCGTATACTAGTGTATTTTTCAGAGGGCTCAATCAAATGGCTGATGGAGAGGAACCGAAATTGGACGTACGATCATATTAAGTTGGTTTTTGCATTTTTTTAGAAATTTTTATGCACAGCATGTTCTGAATATTATCATAAAAATTTTAAAAATATTGTCTGATTCCAGACAAAACTTCCTGGCCGCCTCGATCTTCTTCAAAGACCTCACCTACACGCAGTACAACCAAGTGAAGGGAATCTCACTCTCGGAGACACTCAGTAAGTTGATTAAATGTTTTTAAACTCTTGAAATTGAGTTCATTTATTTTGGTATAAAATTACAAGTCTATTTCGGGGCTTCCAAACAAGAAAAACAAGAGAAAACAACCGAAAGAGACCCGATGACAGTGGCTCCCTTTGCCCCCCAGAAACGCGCGCCACCTGGCCCACTCCCCGCGAGAGGGGTATAAAAAGGGCCGCGCCCGGCCTTTCAAGCGACCTCTAACGTGCTGCGATGAAATCACATCTTTCGGGGCATATTCACTCATGATGATAAGCTTCAACGCTGAGCAGATTTTTGTTTTTATGATTTGGAGATAGGTGGAAGATACTTTTTTAGTATTTCTAGATAGATCCTGCATAGAAAAAGCTATAAAACCAGACGGAAAAATATACCTGAATAACTATCAAATAATTAGTCTACAAAATAATTAATGTTTAAATTAAAGGTGTAGCGTTTGAAGTGGGATTAATTTGGGCAAAATTAAAAAAATGGTAAATGAAAGAAATGAGACAAATAAAAAGAAAATCCGGTGTGAAAAATTTGCATTCAGGTGACATTGGCGGAAACATGGGCTTATGTTTCGGAATGTCGGTCATCACCTGCACCGAGATCAGCATGTTCCTCGCCAAGCTCTTCTGGATAACCGTCTCTAAGAAGCGGCGCAGCTACATGGAGGAGAAGAAGCAGAAGGAGAAGGTTAGCTCAAATCCCAAATGCCGTACCTTCAGATTTTCAGGAGAAAGAAGAAGCCGTCGATCGGATCGCGTCGGAGATGAACATCGAGCGTCTTTTTAAAGCCTTCCAAAGTCAGCAGCATGTCTCAGAAGAGCTGCCTGACAAAAGCCATACAAATATTTCGATTGATTTGACGGATGAGGGATTTCCGCCCTCGGAAGACAATACACCGCCCGGCTCCAACTCGGAGCGACTTTGCTAAATTTGCCTGTATATACCGTACCCCACGTGATCCCATTTTATGCTTTTCATCAGTTATGTTCTTCAAAATATCGAAGTTGTTCTTGTCGAAATTCATAATGTCAAAACTCAAAATGTCGACAGTTTCAAGAAATTTTTAACGTAGTCTTTGGGACCATTCCCGAATGCTTGCTGATAGTCGAATTCAACATGCTGGAATATCGGCATTATGAATTGCGACATTCGGGGTTTCGAAACTATGAAACGTTGGCCATTCTGAAAGTCCACTTGTTTTGTTGTTGCCCTGCCGCCACTTGCTCCTCCGATCCGGTCATTTATCTACGGCTATCTTTTCAGAATTGTATTGTGATTTTGATAAAGAATTTTATTCATATTTTTACATAAACATTGTGGCCGCATTTTCGAAAAAGCTTAATAAAAACCAGAAGCCTTGGCAAGTTTTTACATCGGTCGGTGTACGGCATTCGAACATTTTACACATGCCGCACCGGGACAAACAGCACATTTCAAATCCTAAACCTAGATGTCGGCTCCGAATCTAACTAATTAGCATGGCAGCCCGAGCCTAAGACTGCGTTTTTTTTATTTAATTTGTAGTAACCTTTTACTTTAATCTTGTATTACCAATTTTGTGCCCTCTTTTTCGAAATTTCTATGGTCCAAGGAAGATTTAACGAATTTCAAAATACAGAAATTTGCTCCGAACTGGGCACTGTTTACGACAGGTTTGCGAGCAGCTCCCCGGGAATAATTTCTATTTTGGCCAGAACGCGTATTATCTCGTATTATCTCGTATTATCGAAGTTCTTCTCTCTCTCCCTCTCGCTCTCGCTCTTGCGCTCTCTCTCTCTCTCTCAGTATATCTCTTGCTCTCTTACGAAATTTTTTTCTGCAAGTTGCTTGCCCCAAAAAATTCCCAAATCTGCCATCATCATCTGCTGGAGGTTGGAGACCAGATTTGGTTCGAACTTATGACGAATTTTTGCCGATGGGCGTGTTTGCAAATGGCGTGTCGACCCACATCGTACCTATAATCCCTACCGTAACCCCGGGGAGGGGGAGGGAGGGGATCCCCCGGTTGCAAACTAGAGCCTATAAAAGGCCTTCCGGCGCACACGGGTACCAGTGGACCAAAATGGGATTAGGGCCCGGCTCGCCCGGGCCCGTACTAATTATTCCGGTTTTTGAGCTGTTGGGATGGAAATTTAAAGGGTTTATCATGGCGAGGGAGGCGCCATTAATGCGCAAAGCTTTTTTCTGCCATTTTTTTGTAAAAGACCGGAGCGTGGAACATGTTGAAATAAAATTATCGGGGACTGGGTCTGGGTACAAACCAGTCGCAAACCGTTATCGCAATGTTACTGTTTCATACCGGCGAAATTTCCGATTCCCAAGGTCTTAGGATCGATCCTCTAGGTATAGCCATCTCGAGAATCCTGGGATATGGCGTTTTTTAATCTACGTCCCATAGGAATTGCCTCTTAAACTTAGTGTCCAAAACCTAAGCGATTTCAAGCGTTTCCGGAAGCTGGACCAATTAGCATGGGTGCAACGAGCAGCCCGGAGCACCCTAGCAGATTACTCGCTAATTAGGCGCCAGGTGTGTGGGGCGGGGGGAGGCGAGGATTGACGAGGAAGATCCGCTTCCGGCATGTACTGGATCCAGATTGGACCGATTTCATAACTTTTCATGTTTTTATCATCTTGTCTCTGTATATCTCTCTCCGCTCTCCCTCTCTCTCTCGTTCTCTCTCTAGCGCTCTCTCTCTTTCTCTCTCTCTTCCAGATCAGTACTATTCTCGTGAATCCCTCGAACCCTCGAATTCTCCACTGAACCCTATCTGACCGGGGTGTAAATATGTGTCGAAAGTGCCGTTTGCTCCGTTGGCCCGTTATCAGCGCTCGGCTTCAAGTCGGGGGTTGTTGCCGAATATTTGGTCGGATGCAGGTGCTGATCTGTCTTATCCGACGGCACCGTGCGACACACTTTGTTTCTTTGCTCACCTAACCGCAAAACGGTCCTCAGAGCTTTCAGTCGGGGCTTATTCTTTTAGGCGCATCAGAGGGTTCTGGCATTACCGATATTTTTCCTAGCTTGCAATTGAGATGCTTTCGAGGCCCGCTTGGTCAAAGAATCTCTGCTAGTTCAATCAAAGCTACTCCGAGCTCAAGGAATCTTTGCTAGCTACCCAAATCTCTAGGAATCTTTGCTAGCTACCCAGATCTCAAGGAATCTCTGTTAGTTACCCTACGCTAGGAATCTCTGCGTGCTACCATGACCTCCAGGAATTTTTGCTAGTTACCCCGATCTCAAGGAACTCTGCTGGCTATCCCGATCCCAAGGAATCTCTGCTAGCCACCCGCTAGCAAACTGATACATCAAAAAATCGCTTGCTAGCTACCCCGGTTCCACACCGTACCTTTTTATCACCCTCGGATACCCCTACATTTAGCGGACCAGAAATTCGGGGGCCAAAGTACCAGTAAAAACAGCTTCTGGCACAACTCCCAGGCTCGTAACACACCTGCCATTAAACTTTGCTTTCTCGGCCCTCATTTGTTGATATCCTCACACAATTAATAGAGACTTCCGGTTGATTTGTGATTGGGTGAAGCTCGATTTGACATTCTGTGTTCCCAAGGCGAAACGAGCGCTTCCCGGTTCCCCAGGGGAAATAATTACAATTTGCCCTGCCGCGGGGGGAGCCCGAGGTGGGAAATTTTCAAAATAGTTTCCAAGAAGTGGCGACAGTGTTTCGGAAGGACCGTAGATCACCACGCGGGCTGGGAAATACGGCTTTCGCTTTGCGGTGTGCAAATTCAGGCTGTGGGATTTGGGAAGGGTTGTCGATTTTTGGCTTCTACGTCCAGAGGAGAGAGAGACAGTGAGAGAGAGAGAGATAGTCGGAATCTATCAGCCACTTGCTCAGCCTGGGTTCCTTCGAAAGGTCGAGCTCTTCAGTTTTTGCATTTGCATCTCTCTCTTTCTCTCTTTCTCTCTCTCTCCCGCTCTCTCTCTGCCTCTCTTTCTCTCTCGCACTCTCTCTCGCGCTACGTTGCTCTCTTTCGCAGTCCGGTAGGCTGGCACAGATTCTTTACGGAACCTGAAGGATACTAGCTTGGTTCTCTCTATCCCTCTATTTCTTTCTTTCTCTCTCTCTCTCTCTCTCTCTCTCTCGCTCTATTTCTCACTCTGCCTATCTCTCCCTTGATTAAGAAACAATAAATTTCGACAAAAAAGCGCCTTACACTGGATTCCCCCCTCAAAAATCTTGCCGTAAATCTACATACTCAGCCGGCTTAGCCCTCTGCTACACCTCGGTTCGTACTTACAAAAGCCCTGTTTTCCCGGGGACTATAATTCGCGCAAATCCCCGCCTCGCCGGCTCCAAGTGGGCATTCATGGTTCAGCCGCCGGACGCTGGCTTCAACAGATTTTCCGGATTACACCGATCGCTCCCTGGGCCCTCCCCTCTTCGGTCTTGTAAACAAAATTGCCTGTAGGCTCGAGCGTCAATAACCTACTGTATACCTGGGAAAAGAGGTACGGTAGCGAGTCACTCACTTGCTCCATACTAATATATATTTTCCAAAAATGGCATCAAGACTTGAACGTATATACTACCGTACATCGTAGCATCTGGATATCATTCTCTTTCTCCCTCTCTATCTCTCTCTCTCTATCACCAGGGACCAACAGACCACCGTAGATCCGCAGTTTAGTACTTTACTCCCTTCCCCCATCACCTGAGCAGCCTAGAATTGCCAACCTCCAGGGGACGCGCGTGGAACAGGTGCCATTCCCGATTTCTGATGCACTCTGGTCCCTCAGTGGCCGACAAATTGTATATTGCGCGGAGGCGGAAGTCATTTTCTTTATATCTTGATTGCGTGTAGATTGGCGCTCAAGGAAAGGGCGCCCATTAATTTTTTTTTCTGCGCGAAAGTACGGGAGTGCTGAGCTATTTTCTGATCGCTGATTTTGTAGCACAGAACTCGGAGCAAAGTACGAAAAGCTCCTAAGATCTTCGTTGGATTGAACGGACAAATCAGGTAAGTCTCGATGGACAGACGCGACGACGCGACGCGACACGTTACGCATTTCTGCGTCGGATTCGCTTCAACACGCTTCACCCGGATTTTCATTTTTGTTCGGAACTTCAGTGATAATTTCGACGGACTAATGGCAAAACCTCTAGAGTTGCGTTTCCGGCCGCGACGCAACAAGTGACGTGCGTCGCAAGGATTTTTTTTGTGAAACTGCATCGTATTCAAAGCTTTGCTCTGAACTCGCTAATACATAGACGGAAGCTGGCCGCAACGCGAAGCGTGACGCGTGCGAATTTTTGGGCCATTTTCATTTGCCGCCACTTTTTCGCAGCTCTCGCTCACTCTTTCTCTCTCTCTCTCTCTCTCTTTCTCTCTCTCTCTCTCCCTACCTCTCTCTGACTCTCTCTCCTACTTACTCCAACACTCCTTTTCATTCCGCCAGGAAACTTGCATGAATGAAACTAAAACAGGAATGCGAAGCGCCCCATTACCAAAAACAAGCTGACAATTATGTGGCTGCAGTTTGGGCAAAGGCCCGCCCTTGGCCTGGAACGATATCCGTACTCACCGATCCCCCGGGGGATACAATGTACGAGGGCAGGTGGACATTTCGTGATCAGCTTTTGGTGGGGCCAAGGAGTGGCTTGATAGGTCGCGATTCGCCATTCTTTTCTCTTAGCGAATTCACCCGGGGTTTAGGCTTGGTTCTACGCTTCGGCTTAGGTGACGCTTGGGCTAAGGCTTGGGCTTAGAAACAGGCTTATGCTCCGATTTCGGATTCGATTCATCTTCCTTTCAATCCCGATAAATTAGCAAAACCGCCAGCCAGTGGAATACACACGAAGTGGTCTCGATCTATGCAACGACCCATCAGGACAGATATGGCTGGAGACGCCACGAACATAAAATTCGCCCCAGCATACCCTAGACAAATATGGCACGTAGGAC